TAAATGCTAAGGGGGAGCACACAAAGTACTAAAATTAATAAATTATTGTTTAAGTTGTTAAATATATCCTTTTAGCTGTACGTTTTGTATATTGTGTAAAGAGTTTCTTGACAGTGTCAAAAATGTGAAAAGTTATTTCTTATTAATTTTTTGTTAAATCTTAAATTGTTTTGTTTATGTTTTTGAATATTATCATTAAGAATTATCCAATAAATAGATATCCATTGAAAAAAATATTAAAAATCTTACTAAAAGCGTTATATTTGCATGCAACGTCAAAAAATATTTTAAATCTTCAGTGTGTAAACAGTTTCTTGACATACTGTAAGTTCGTAAAGATTCATGATTCTTTAAATAATTTCCCTAAAAATTTATTTCGAGGTTTTATTTTTAGAATTAGAGAAACGTTAAATTATTATAAACGGACAAGAAACATTAACTGGGCTAAAGAATATTGATAAAAGTGTGTTTGTAAAAGAAGGTACATAAAATCTTTACCGCCACTGTGAGCCCATGTCATAGGCGTCTCCCTTGGAGAATCAATTCAAAAGAACTTCTTTTAAAAAAATCAATAAATATAAAAGCTCATTTAGGCCTATCTTTTATACGGACACAATTATTTCAAGGCACAACACACACACATCGTGTCCAGTGACGATAAAAGGTCATGCCAAAGAATTTTTACCAATTGCTGCTGGGTCGCTCAGTCTGGGTCGCGAGACGTCTGACTAGACAACATGCAAATTGTAACGGTAATCATTAGACGCACACACTCAGACGCTCTCTCTCTCCGAGCATTTCACTTGCGTAGTGTAGTCTCTCTCGCTCTCTCTTCCTCGGTCATTTCTATGCTAAGTTCGACGGCCTTCTTACGTAAAATCAACAACAACGAGCGGCGGTATTTTCTTCTAATAAGCAGGCTATTGGTGGAATCCGCGTCTGTGGCGCTGGCGGGGGGATGTGCACTCCCAGTGTTGCCACATCAGGCGAATCATCAAACTCGTTTTCAATGTTTTGACTAGATTTGTTCGTATGCGTGCGTGTGTGAACGGTGAGTGAGTATCTTTGCAACTGTACAAGAACAATACGTAAGGCCACAAGCAGCATAAAAGCAACAACTCAGCACAGGGCGCAGACGCCAAGCAAACCGTCGCACCTCCACCACCGGCTCCCCAACCTCGGCCATCCCCCATTCCTAAAGTATACACTGTCTGTTTGTCTTTATGTATGCTTTAGATGTGCCTGTGCCTGTATGAATGTGTGTGTGTGAGCAATTTTTATTTTTCTGAATGTAAAGGAAGTGGCACGTACTGTACTACTCAACTCACCGCTGCCGCTACCGACGACAACAACAACAACATCAGTGACAGCCGGATCAGGCTGGGAATTGGGAATGAGAGTGGAGAGCGTGGTATTTGTGTTCCAATTCCGCGTCGTTTCTAAGCAGCGGTCAGAAGCCCGACGGCACAGTGGTTGCAAAAAGTGAAACCGAAATTCGTGGATGCTCGCGATCGGAAGATAAGAGCGAAAGCAGCCGGAAATTGTAAATGATTTGTTATGTTGACCCTGGTTTACGGTTGATAACCTCACTATCAAACAGTTCTACACAGTTTTAGCATTTCTTAACGTACTTTAGAAATGCTCAATAAATAATATTAAATTTAAAAAACTATTTTTTTGTTTAGAAAAATGTTCAAACAGGTTAAACCACTGTGCAGCGTCTGTGTAGTCACAAAAGTCTGGTGAAAAGAGGTGCCACCGAGGAAAGGAGATAGAAGGAAAGAACCGGCTGAGGTTCGAGTCTCCGCTCGGCAGACAGGCAAGTTGTTCGCTCGATGGATGTAAAAAGAAAGACGCCATGCAAAGAAGGGGCTGGATAGAGGATGGCGGGCGGGTGTGCCGCAATATTATAAACAGGAAATGGAATTTACCCACACGGATGCAGCAGCCCGCACACACACTCGACTGTAAATTGGTTATGTGCCGACAAACGGACGTGGTGCTTAATTGACAAATGAGCATATGAGAGAGCGAAAGAGAGCGGGAGCCCCGCCAGTTGATTTAAATCAATAGTATGCGAAAGCTTTACACAAGTGTTTGGTTGCCGTGCGTCTGTGTGAGAGTGTCAAGACTGCCCGTGGAATGTGTAAAAAACGCGGCCAACGACGGCAATCAAACGCCGAGAACGGCCAGAATGTTGAACTCTGGAATGCGACTGGAAGTGGGCAAGAAGAAGCATTACACAGAAGTTACGGGACTTGGCACGGTTACTAATCACGTTGGTGGGGGAGGAGTAAGGAGTAAGGAGGGCAGGGAGATACTTGCACCTGACCTCGCGTATGCCACGCCCAGTCGCCCAGCCAGGGCAGCTGCTGTGGAAACTATAAACATGTTGCACAATTGCTGCGGGTGCTTGCATCCGCATATGCTTACTATGTATACGCACACAGAGGCGTGATTGCAGATGGCGACGACGCAGCGAGCAGCGTGTGTAGTTGGTTCTCGGAAATGAGCAATGAATGAAATTTTGTTGTTTTCAGTCACACCTATACACACAGATACATACACAGAGCGCATGCCGCACTCGCGATTCGGAGCAAGAGAGAAAGTCTACACGACATGCGCTCTAGAGGTAGTGTGTGTATACAATTTGTTTACTTTTTGCGCTACAATTGGCAAATAAAACAATAGAGCAAACATAAAGCGCATTTTAGCGCACTAACCTACATTAAGGTGACCCCGAATGCATCGCGGAGCCCACGCAAAATCAATGCAAGTCCACAAAACAATTTTCCCGTTTAATTCGCAACTCTCCGCCTTTATAATAAACAAAAATGTCGGCACAGACGAGGCGCAACTGTATGTGGAAAGGAGACGGCCATATTAAAAAAAGACACATACACATGCTGCTTGCGGCGCCCACACATACAGGCACACACATTTAGATATCAAATACAACTACTGCGTAAAACCCGTAAAACCAACATTTTTGGTGTAAAGCTTCACCTTGTGGCTTTAGTTTTCCTTTTATTTTTTAAACTTTCATTTACTACTAAAGTACACAGCGACTAATTTTATCTTCTCTCACTTAAACGCACAATAGAGTTTCACTTTTTCCGTTTTCGCAGATTTTTCTCGTTCCTCTTACACTTACTTTGGGTTAAGCTTCTTCCGGTACACTATTTTGGCCGGATTTTGACATTTTAATTTCAGAAAAAAAAAACACATTCGACTCTTAAAATCTCTCGTGGTCGATAATTTACGGCTTTTAAAATCGAGTAGCCGATATCTCTTGGGGCACTTGGAATCGAGTGTTCATATCGATAGCATCGGTGTTTCCGAAAAATATTCAACGGTGATTTTTCTGCTAACAGCTATCGACACTTAGAGCCTGTACGTTATAGTATATGAATAGAGATGATTTTATTAAACAAGAAAAGTGCAAATACAGTCGAGTTCCGATAATTCGAAATGGCAAGGGGATCACTTTTTTTTACGAATTAGACGGGAATTCGATTTATCGAGATTTCTATTTAAAGGGGCTCAAAAATGAAAGAGTCGAATAAACGGGGTTTTTACATTTCACATCATGTTTACATATGTATTTAGCTTTATTAAAATTAAACAAACATAATAAATATGTATATTCTTTTGTAAGTTTTTCAAATTAAAGGAAAATTAAACAAAAAATTAACAAACAAAATTAAGCAGAAACATTAAATTATTAAAAATGAAAATTCAAGATTTCAAATAATTGGTAATTTTTTATTGCTTCGTGTTTTTTTCTTATATTTTTTTCATTGCGTTTTCTAAACCTATTAGGTTGTCAAACACACTATTTGGCACATCATGAGTCGAAAAATAATGTTTAAGTTGAGGAATTAATGCTCTGGTTTGTAAATTCTATAAAATTTCTTCTCCGTTCTGATGCCTGCAAAATCTAACGTCGCTTTAACTACAAAATATTTCGCATCGCATTACGATTTATAAGAGGTTTCGAAACAAAATTACAATTTATAAGAGGTTCAATATTCTTTGCGTTGCGCCAAATACTACGAATTAACGAGGGGACCAAAATGTATGGAATTTTTACGAATTAACGAGTTTTTTTCAAGGGGACAGAATTTTTTACGAATTATCGCGATTTTCGATTTAGCGGGGTACGAATTATCGGGATTCGACTGTATTAAAATCATAATTATGACCTCAGATGCGCTAGTTTAACTTTGACTTCGTTTGCGCAACGCCTTTCCCTTATAGGCCTTGAAGAAAACTGCACTACAACTTTTAAAACAGCTCTTTCCCCGAACAAGGGTAAGCTTTTAAATGTATTGTTAATATTTCACTAATACAGCAAAATAAAGACAAGAAAATGTATGTTCTTACAGCAGAAACTAGTTATAATAAAAAAGGAAGCAAGCTTTGAGAGTTTTACGTTAAGACCCTTGCATTTTCCATTACATTAAACTATGACAGCAATATGATATGCACGGTAGGCCGATTTTCATACAATTAAAATATAAATTCCAGAATAACACAAAATACCTGTATCTCCTCAAATTAGATGAAAATATATCGAAAACTGGATAAGTTATATTTTTTTTCCAATTGTTTCTATTGTTGAGTGAGAATATATAGAAGATTGCGTAGAAACGGACATACTGACGGACTCACGGACTTAGCTAGATCTATAGGGCTGTTCATGCTGATCAAGAATATATATACCTTATAGGATTGGAAATGCCTTCTTCACTGCATTACAAACTGCTTACTAAAATTATAATATCCTGCAAGGGTATAAAATTCAACATGATATGCTCACTCAAAAGTATTCAACAACGCTTTTTTATTTTTTAATAATACACCCAGTATATAAGAATACGTTTTTTTTTTTTTCTTAAATATTGGATAAATCGATTTTACTCCGAAAATATCGATAGCAGCAATATATGTTTTTCAGTAGTATGCCCAGAGCTACATGTTGATAAAAGTTAGCAAGATTTTTTGTTCAAAACAGTTTGGCAACTCCGTGCGACGCCATTTCAAAACAAACGCGCGGCAACGAGCATTTTTCACCCCAAAATAGTCTGTGAAAAGTCGCTAGATAAAGCGGAAAACAATTAAAAATGGGAGCCAAGGCATCGAAAATAGAGGGCGAGTACCTGCCAGATACACCGACACTCAGGAAATTGCGCCTGGCCAGCCAGAGGCCCGAGAATGTGGAAATGACCACCCCTATTCGTGAGCAGAACAACGCTCTGCTAGATCCCCGCTCTCCGAACGGATGTCGCACGCCTTTGAACGTAAGTTGTGCGCTGGTACGGCTGTTGGGGAGCTAACCACAGTTTCTCTGTAGTTTTTGCAGCCCGAGCCGCAGATGCCGTTTGAGTCTGAAATGGTGCAGCAGGCCACCAGCGAAAATCCCTTCTCGCAGCTGCGCAAGCGCTTGCTGAAGGGCTTCTCCCTTAGCGATCCTCGCTCGCCGCAGTTGAATCGCACACCCCTTGTCCTGGATGAGGTGCGTTCATTAAACCTGGACGACACCTTCGCTGACCTCTTTGTGGACACTAGAGCACCGACAACTCGCGCGGAAATCGCTACGCCTCCACAAGTATATGCGCCACCTCAAGCGGATGAGAGCTGTGACAGCTTTGGTACGCCGCCGAGCACCCACAATAACAGCTCTTTGGAGATCGTCTCACTGACGTACGACGAAGAGGAGACCATGCCTTGCGACGCTCAGCTGCAGCAGACACCTCCTCCGCCGCCGCCGTCATCGCAGGTGCACTTTGATCCACGTTCTCCCAGCGTAGGCGTTGATCGTACGCCTATAATGTTCTGCGACGACGAGGACGAAGAGGCGCGGGAGGCTCAGATGCTGGAACAAATCCTAGAGACACTTACACTCAATTTAAGTGCTGGCGGCAGCAGCATGGCCTCGTTTGCAGACTCTGCGGCAGAGTCTAGTGTAGATCCTTCGACAGCGATGCCGGCCAACAAGCATTTGGAGCGCGTCCGGTTGGGCCACAAGCGACGGGTGCCACCACGTAAGCCGGCAAGGGCCAGCAAGCCCAAGATCTACGTCGACCAGGAGGAAGAGTCTCCGTCAAGGGGCGGTGTTCGCACACCGACTTCAAATACAACGCCGCTAAACACCCAAAAGCGAACACCACTCAGCTGTGTCAAGAATCGGGCTCACCTTCGTTCTCGTTCGACGGAAAAGGAACTGCAGAAGACGCCGTTGCCGCTGCATAGCCTCGACGATCAGCTGAATTTGGCGGAACGCTGCAACTATTAGCGGCCATTTACTAACCTAATTTAGTAGCTCCAAATGCCTTTCTAGCCCACCTATACATATAGCATACCAAATCATTCATTCATTTTCACATTATTCATTCTTACATTTTATATGTTAAATACAACATTTTATTCGTAAATGGATTATCTATAGACTTGTGTCTATGCGGGTCCTTCGTTTTCGTCCTTTAAAAATTTTCAGAAGAAGCTTCAACTTGTTTAATCTTACTGTACTGCCGTATTTATTTATATTGGACGATGAATGCCACTGCACTGCACTCTTCCCGGGTCTTCTGAGGTACAGGTATTTTTTTAATTCTTACCTAAACACTAGAAGCTTTATATACAAAACACATTTATATATTTATTCCTTTATATATTCTTAAAATTACATAAAATACTAAAAGAAATAAGGCGAGGTTCCATATCTATCTACATCTGGTATATTTCAAGGAGTGGGATGATTCTTTTGATTCGTTTTCGAAAGGGCTGAATCCAGGTACAGACTATATCGAAGTGTTGGAAGTTTCCTGCGGTTCCTGTCTATTTCCGTTGTCCTTTCTTACTTTGCTTACAGCCGTCAGTCGAGCACTGCCGTACTTCTCCCTTAGGTACTTTTGCACATTGCTATTGTACTTGCGACGAGGATTATCCATAGATTGCTTTGGATCTTCATCACTTTTATTGGCCATCAAAACAGACGATTCATTTGAGGGCAGCAAGTCTGGTTGGAATTCTTTGATTTCTCTTTTAATCTTGGTGCTGCTGGTAGAAGGCAGAGTTGGTGCATTATTGGTATTAAAACAAATAGCTGGGGATCTGGGATGGAGCTTATCTGCAAGTATATATATATATATAGATATAAAATATAGCTAATTTAATTATTGTTTATACATACCATTAAGTTTGCCCTCATTGCTATTGAGAGTGGCACCGCATTCTTGATCCTTGGAGAGACTAGGACTTGGCCTGCTACCACCGACCTGATTACCAAGATATTCCAAATAATTGCTATTTAATAGCACGCCCTCATAGTTACTTCGAGCATCAAGGTTTAATTCGGTGACAATTCCATTTGTTGATTTAAATAAAATATAATTTTTACCCTTTGCAGGATCAGTGGAGTTCGATGGATCCAACATAACCTTTCTATCCTGGACAACTCCCACGCTTACGGCACTGACTCCGCCTCCAGCTCCATCGCCGGAATGTGGCTGCAGAGCAACACCTATGGGTGGTGGCAAGTGCGTGTGATGTCCATTATCATGAAGTTTTTTGAAGCGCTTGTATGTGAAGTAGGTTATCATGGACAGGAGGATCGAGATGCTCAGGAACCCAAGAGCTATAAGGCTTATGATGGCAAAGAGATCAGTGCTGAGAAGGGAGCTCCGCTGTGGTGTCTTTTGGACTACGAGGTTTATATGAGCAGCATCTTTACCTCCGGGATTCTCAGCCAAACATGTATAGACTCCCTCATCACTCTTCTTGGCATCCAGGATTGTGAGACGTGACACAAAGATATCGTGGCCAAATTGCTGATCCTTCGCCTTTTGCTCCCGCAATATTTCAATATGAATCCTTTGCTGTCGAAGACTTTTCGCCGACATCGAGTGAGATTCGTAAAGTTGCTTATTGAAGTCCCATGCAATGACTGTGTTGGGAGTTCCGAGCACCCGACATATAAGCGTCACATTTGCCTTGGATGTGTTGATGGAGGTACCCAGACCGGGATACACGATCTTTGGCTTGCAGGCAAAGGCCTCTGGCTGATCCTCGATCCACAGCATTCCACGCAGCTGCAGTGGATAATGACACGCGGTGGGTGGCGTATACAGATTCATGTTTATAACAAAGTTACGGAACAATTGGAGGTCACAAGTGCAATTCCATGGATTCTCCACCAACGACAAGGTATTGAGCTTATTTAAGCTCCGAAAACTCTCCGTTTTGAGTATCTTAAGCTCATTATTGTCCAAGTAGATCTGGGATAGAAGCGGAACGCCCACAAACGCCTGGGAATCTATGCTTTTAAGGCGATTGTGCATGATTTCTATCTTGTGTAGGTACTTGAGGTTGTGGAAGACATCCCGGCGAAGGGTTTGCAAGAGGTTGCCATTGAGCAATATAGCTCGAACCTTGGACAAGGCATCAAACACATTGGGCAGTAAGTCCGTGAGGAAGTTATTCGACAAATCAAGCTCAATTAGTATCTGCAGTTGGCTGAAACTCAGCTTATTGATGTGCTTCAACGTTCCGTTGCGTATGATGAGCTTGTGAAGATTCTGCAGGTGATTGGTGGAAAATGCATGCTCCTCCAAGTAAAGGATGCGGTTATGCGACAAGTCCAGTACCTGAACCTCCGGACTTAGATTCTCGGGCACACCACCGAGGCTTAAATTCCGGCAGTCGGCCGTCTTCTTGCCAGAGTTCCATTTACAGTGACAATTGCCACAATCCATTAGCCAGTCTCCGCTGGTGGAATCTAGCAGGAACAGTAGTCCCACAAATATGCATTTTAATATATAGTTATTAAAATTACTGCCTGGATCAAGGCTGTGTTTGCTCTGGCCAAATACACTTTGGATAGCCATTGATTATTAAAAACATCAAGTTTGAATTATTGTTCTTTGCACATTAAAGTTATTTTCATTATTTTTTCGCTCCTTAAAGTGGCTGAGCTTATAGAGTCCTTTAAATTGTCAAAATTGGCAGAATCCATTCTATTACATATACAAAAGAAAAAGATATTATTTTTGATAATTTTTTTTGAGACACAAAAAGGAAGCACTGGTCTTTTAGTCGTTGGCGATGAAAGTTTACTTCTCTTTACAAATTATTTTCATTTACAATAAACTTCGTTACCAATCAGACTTAAAGTTCTTCAGGTTTATATATTGTTTAATAGCAAGTAGTATTTTAACCATATTTAACCAATTTCCACTTGTAGGTCACAATACAATTTTTTCTGTGTAAGTATCAAAAGTGTGCAGCCGCCAAAAAGTGGAAAATGTTTTTAAAAACGCAATGGTATCTAGCACCACCATAGGTTTTCTGAATAAAACTTGTTTCTGGTTTATAAATTTCAAAATAATTTGCCCTTCTTCTATTTGCACAATTTAGTGGTATTGCCATTTCGTTTGTTTTAGCCAGGCCTTCGCTCTTGACTTATTTTCGCTCACACACACCCTTTTTACCAATATCAACAACTGAAGCGCACATTTTCGACAATAACAAACCGCACTGTGACTCTGACCGTGGATGCACTTTGTTGGCTTACCTATGTATTGACAAAATTTATAAATTTTCTATGTTTTGGTGCTGCCAACTGCAACTGCAGCGAACTTGTCCACAGACCTCTCTGGGAATACATTCATTGACTAGACAGTGCATTTTGGTATAACAGAGAGCCTCCATCAGCGCATGTCATATAGGGATAGGGCGTCCATCACCTACGGTTTGTCGAATCTGTTGTGATAACACCTGAAAGCATTAAATGTTAGTTAATCAGAGATTAAGACCTCCTTAACAGTCAAAATTAAATGTTGTATAGATATATTTATGCTAAATATTGCTTATAATTAGAACCTAGAAAACCATGTCTCTTATGCCCTGTCAGTATGTTAAATATTTAAAATAACAGTATTAAAATTTTAAATATTTATATTTATGATTTACATATTTATATTTAAGACCTTTAAGGTGTTGCCTTAAAAATTAAAGTCCTGAATGGTTAAAAAATGCATTTCTAATTAGCGCCTGTTGAATGTGCTGCTTGTTTTATCAGCTGTTGTCAATTGAAGAACCTAAAAAACCAATATAACAAGGGAATATCTGTATTTTGTTTTTTTATAAAGATATTTGAATACTAAGAAGTAAACAGAGTTAATTATAAAAAACATATTTTATATTTTATATTTATATTCTATAACTTGTTTAAATTTAAATCAAATATATTTCATTTTAAACAGAAATTCTTAAAAGCAGATAACAGCTGTTACGGGTTTAACATCAACCCCTAAAATCAGTGAACCGTTAACAGAAAATTGTTGATAGATTTTACAGACTGATATGATTAACAGGGCTTGCTTATGGAATCGCATTGTAGGAGTGACAGTTATGTTAATAACATAAATTTCTTAACAAATTGCATTTTTTCAATGTTTTGATAAAGCTCAGGAAATAATTTAGTAGTTTTATTGGTCGGAGTGCGAAAGTACACGCAATAAATGTAATAAAATCCATTCAAAGTTATATAGTTGTTAGTTAATAAGTCTATATTTATTTCGATAATACACCTATTTTTAATACAGTTTGTTTATTTTTGATTGTTTGTATTTGGTTTTGTTTGGTACATTCAAATCCATACAATACGCTCTTCTCAAGGGCGCCTCCAAACATGGTTCGTAACGCGCATCGTTTTCATTCCGTATTTAATAAATTAATGGAAACAAACAGAATTTTTTAAAAACATAACAAAATCGATTCAAATCAATTGTTCAGCAATTACGATAATCCTTAGATTTCGGTGTTTTGGTTTCGCTTTTATATAAGGGACAACAACTTCAACTACGGAACAATCTGAGGCTGGAGGCTGTGTGAATCCCTTGTGGCTATCTACGAATAAGATTAGCATGTGGGTACCGACTGGTTAATAGCTGCGCTATGTGCTTCCACAAAACAACATCAACCGTAACAACGCGATTTCCTATCTTTGGCGTGGAGACCACCACTACGTTCAAGTTTTTGTTTTTTTGTTTTTTTTTTTTTTTTGGAAAAAAGGGGAAGAGATTTCGTGATGTGTAACGTATACAATGCCATAGAGCTAAAGTTTAAGAGTGTTCCTACTTGTGTGGGTATGCTTAAGACGACGAGAGAGATTTTTCTTAGACAACCACAGCCCCAGCCTCGGAGCGGCTAACTGGCAGGTCGGGGCAATTTTTCCAGGTGTCCGATAGAGGATCATAGCATTCGACAGCATTGATGGTCACTTGTGCTCGATAAAAGTTGACTTCGCAAGGCTGGAAGAGGAGAAAGTTAAAATATTAGAATAGAGTTGGTAAAATATCTATATATATCAATAATTTTGGCATTGCGATGTCTTACCTGATCCCCTCCAGCCACATAAAGAAGCCCATCAGCTGCGGCTACGGCAGGAATGGCTCGTGGCACGTTTAATGCACAAACGGTGGACCACTTGTCCTCGTCGAAACTGTAACGCTCCACGGAGCTGAGAATGTCTTGACTAATACTGCTGCCGCCCACCACATACAAATAGCGATCTAGGACGGCCACGCCCATTTGGCAACGGGCCGTTTGCATGCGGGCCAATTCAGTCCACTCCTTGGTCACGGGATTATAGCTGCAAGAAATGAAAATTGTAAATATCAAAACTTAATTGCACCAAAAAGGTATATACCTAATCAGATCCGGCAGATGACGCGTTGTTGTGGTGCAGCCACCAACAATGTAGATCAGACCCTCAAAGCTGACCACTCCCATACTGAACCGAGGCTGCGGCATGCTACCAATCAATTTCCAGAGGTCCTGCTCTGGATCGTAGCACTCCATTGAACCGCCAATATCATCGCCGATCCAACCGCCAACAGCAAACAGATTGCCACCCATGGTGCAGAGGCCAAATTCGCAGCGGGGCACAATCATTGGGGCAATCGGTTGCCAGACATCGTTCTGCGGATCATAGACCTCACCATTGGCCAGAATCTGGGACCCGCGCTCGCCGCCCACCACATAAATCTTGCCATTCAGGGCCGATACGCCGGGCAGAATGCGTCCCACCTCCATCGGAGCTGTCTCTGTCCACTCGCGTCGGAATATGTCGAACTTGGCCACCGTCTCGAAGATGCAATCGGCCGAATTCCAGGTGCGTGGCGTGTCCCTATGGGATCCACCAATGATATAGATGTTCTTCTTGGCCAACTGCCGGGGGCAGACCCGTAACGGGACGAGCTGTCCACGCTTGGACGCAATGTCCCGGCAGATCGACCGCAGGGCTATCTTCACGGACATGTCGCGGCAGTCGTCCTTAAGAGCCTTGTCGATCACCTTCACCGGCACCAGCGCCATGCGTACGTGGGAGAGAATATCGAAAACGTAGCACCGACGCTGCGTTACATCATGCTTGATCCACCGCAAAGCTGCCTGGAACACCTGCGACTCGGAGTCCACACGGAGCAGCTCAGAGTTCAAGAGCTGTGAGAGCAGAGTCTGGGGAGTTTCCAGGAACTCATCCTCCAGGGTTATCTGTGAGGAGCACAAAATAGGAGTTTAGTTTATATTAGTTAAAAAGATAGATATCTGATCAAGTTTATATGCCTTACGTCTTATTTATTAATACATTATCCTTTTTTTAACATGTTTTCATTATAATAATCCGCAATTACGGAATATTATTGTTAAAACGGACCGAAAAAATTTCAATAAATTCTTTGTTACATTAACTTTTCTTTCGACTTAATTAAAATAAAATGTTATTGTTATAGAAATGGAATATTTGTATATATATATATACATCGACTTAGTTAAGTTTATATCCCCTTTCTGTTCCTTTCTAATGTATTAGTTATTGGCCCGGCAACAAAGTCGCCAGGCTCATTAAAAAATTGAGTTAACACTCATTAGAGTGTTCCTCTCCACGGAAATCTTTAGTAAAAGGCGAAAGATTTATTCGACAATTGAAGAGAAACCAGAGTGAATAATCAACCCCGAACACTCCGTGCCTCATGCTAGTTTGGTTTGAACCAGTTGGGAATCGTAGGGTCACAACGTTGATTTCTCATTTGCTACCTGCGATAAGTTGTTGTAGGACCAGAAGAACCGAAAAAAATAGGGGTTCGTTTGCTTTTTTACAAACAATATATATATATTTGTAAAATATATGCATCAATTACAGATTTACAAAGTTTAAATCGTTTTTAAAATTTCTCAATAATGAGTTTTAAATTATATTTATGAAATTTTTTGGGGCTGATAGAAATAAAAATCCTCCTTCGATATTATTTTATAACATACTTTTAGGGCATTAGAATGAGAGCGTACCCTCTTAACTAGCTTTAAAATATTCTTTAGTTGCCCAATTTGAAATACTCTATGATTTGAGATCTTAGACAAGCCACCGTTAGAAAACCTTTCAAGTGCATCTAACTCACCGCTGGAAAATTGGCGTGGACAAAGTTCAGTGCACTCTTGGCCAACGACTCACAGTTGTGCGCCTCCGCGAAGCGTAAAATGCCCAATGCATTGGAGGCGTGGAGCTCGCGGCAGAGGAACTCGCAGCAACCATCAACCACCTCGTTCAGCTGCAGCATGTCGGCAGCGGCGAGCAGTTCCTGGACATTGGACTGCAACAATAAAGGGGGCTGTAAGCGCAAACACTAGCTTTTAGATTTCGGCAACTTACCTGCGTGATTTCGCAGCGACCCGTGTAGATAAAGTCCAGCAGAATGTGCAGTATGTCGCCATCGATGGTGTGCAGCACCACCGACTTCTGTTTGACCTCATTTAAGCCCAGCTCGGGCCGGAACATTGCCTCAAAGTAGGCACTGGCCGCGCTGAGGACCGCTCTGTGGGCACTGAGTGTCGCCCCGCCGGCCACGATATCCACGTCGCAGAAGCGGGACTGCTCGCGCAGCTGGTTAAGATTGGATAGGACCTTGAACGGATACTGGGCGTTGCAGTAGGAGGGCAGATTTGTGCGTTGGGTGGCCGCCGCCGCAGCAGCAGCTCCCGATCCCGTGGAGTTAAAAAAGTCGGCATCGCTGTTGGTGGGATTCGGATTCGCATTTGCATTGGCGTTCGGATTGGGATTGCCATTGCACTGCAAGTTATTCGCATTGTATTCGTGGTGTATCTGGTAGGTTTTCAGCGGTGGCATTTCGTCTACTTTTGCTGTCGCAGCTTCCTATATATTGGGGATTGCGTCGATAAATGCACTTTTTGGGGCAGCAGCAGCAGCTTAGCCTTCTCACATTCAATTGGATATCTTAATTAAACTTAATTGCTGCCTTTCTCGCCCAGCTACAACTTGTGCGCCGTTGTTTTTGTTGTTCTTCGTCAGTTCATTTTTCTTCAATCAGAAGAGACACACACACACGCACACACAAGCAAATGCACACACCCGAAGCACAGACTTTCATTAAAACGTATACGTTGACATTTGGCAAGCAGATCGACTTGGTATCAATGTCTATTGCACCGTCCAGATTAACCTAATCTTAGCGTTGGAACATATTTATTTAACGGCTAAAAACGGACATATTTTTCTTGTTTTTTCAATGCACTCTTGTATGTATGAGACCAGCACGCCATCTGGCAACGCTCGACCCTTCGAGATGGCAGTTTGTCCGTTAACTCATCTGCCGTTTGGCAACTCTACCGGCAACTTATCGATAACTTTGTTGTTATTTAATTATTTTTAGTTTTCATATTAACTTGTTCGCTATGCTATTGAGAAAACTATTAAGCATCCGATTTGCACCCACTGTGCGCCGCTGGGCCAGCACTGATCCTCTTAGCTTGCAGAACAAAAAACTGCAAGCGTACCTGGAATCCCTTCGGCAAGAATACTACGTCCTTCGGGTGAATGCAGCTGGAAACAGCAAGTTGTACGAACGCCTGGGTCAGTTGGAGGGAGTGGTTACCGCATTGGAGCAGCGGCGAGTCCTGGAGCGTAATATCACAAGTGCACGAGACTTGGAGCTGGAGAAGGATGAGGAAATGCGCGAACTGATGCAGGAGGAGAACAAAGTCTATGCGGACCTGTTGGCCAAACAAGAACATACGCTGTTGCGAGAACTCCTCACACTGACCGACGACGAGGCTTATCCGGCGCTCATATTCGGTCTGAATGCCGGAGCAGGTGGACAAGAGGCTATGCTGTTTGCCCAAGAGCTGTACGAGATGTACACCGGCTACTTTGATCACATGGGCTGGGAGTATGAGGAGTTCGCTCGCGAGACCACGGACATTGGCGGACTGCGTCACGCCAGCTTGATGGTCAGCGGAGACGATGTCTTTAGCTGGCTGCGCTACGAGGCGGGTGTCCATCGGGTACAGCGAGTTCCTGCCACTGAGAAAAACGGACGCATGCACACAAGCACCGCCTCGATCACAGTGATTCCTCGGCCCGCCGATGTCCAGGTGCACATTGCGGAGAAGGATTTAAAGATCGAAACAAAGCGGGCTAGTGGAGCTGGTGGCCAGCATGTAAATACCACGGACTCGGCGGTACGGATTGTCCACCTGCCCAGCGGCTTGGCCGTTGAAGCTCAGTCGGAGCGTTCACAGCTAAAGAACCGGGAACTGGCTATGAAACGTCTGCGGGCACGTCTTGTGCAACAGCAGCTGGAGAGCGTGGAGGCTAGCAAGTTGGCCACAAAGAAGTCCCAGCAAGGCAGCCTCAACCGCAACGAAAAGATTCGTACCTTCAATTTCGTCCAGGACCGCATCACCGATCACAGGATTCAAGGCGGCACACTGCACAACCTCGAAGGTTTCCTCAAAGGCGGAGAGCAACTGAGCGGACTTATAGAGAAGCTACAGCTGGAGCACCGTAAGGACCGACTGAAAGATCTGCTGGAGGCATGGCAGCCACCCCAGGAAGCTAGCAATCAAAGCTAGACAGCATGTTAGATGTATTTTGTTGCAACATTTTTACGCCTGCGATTAAAAAAGAAATATATATTAGAAATATTCAACTTATAGCCAATGTACAGCCTTTATAGGATACAATTACCCAGTTTTTTGTATGTAAATGCCACTGTTAAATCAACATTAATTTAAAATATTTTATAAAGAATTTAAATTGATTCTAAAGTTAACGTAGTTTCTGGCTCACACCCTAATATTTTTATAGTTTGCATAAATTAAAATACTGATAAATTCTGTGTTAATTGCTTTTTTTTAATTACTTAATCACTTAATCCAGAAAATTGTACAATTGATATAAACAGAATTGGGGAGAAAAACCCCCAGTTTTTTCTCAACCCACTCTCGCCCAATCAGCCACACTACCCATGTGCACAAGGTGCTCTTTGACTGCGGCCTCCAGAATGTCACGGATTTCTCGACACCCGGCCATTGCCGTCTCGATAACAGTCTCCAGATGATCTATGTGAAATCGTTGGCTCATCTCGAGAAACGCGATTTTCTCGGCATTGGGCAAAGCGGCGACAGTTAGCATTGGGCCGCCGGAAACCTCCTCGATGTGCGAGATGTCGGTTAGCGGGATGTTTGCCTTGCTCAGGGAAGCAGTGCAGGCGACAATGAACTCGTTCAGGCAAATACCGGCATCGATTAGCGCCAGGGTGGCCGCGTTAAGGGCCACCGCGTAGTTGGCTCCGTCGGCCTGCAGTACTTCCACATAGACGTCGATCTGGGAGCGTGGATACAGCTCTGATTTGATGGCTGCACTGAGCGACTGCTGGAGGTAAATTTTAAATTCGAGAGATTTTCGATCGCCACGCGGCCTATTCTTGCGTTCCGCAGTGGAAAACGTAGCCTGGCTGTACTGACAATTGATCACCAGATCGTTGGAATCCGATTTTTTGCTCTTGGCCTGGTGCGGGCCGTAAACCGCGGCCAGAACCTTGGTATTTCCCTGCTCCATGTACGCACTGCCATCAGGCTTTTCGAAAACACCAAGCTTGCACTTGATGTGCCGCAGCTCGTGTGGCCGCCGGCCATCCAGACGCAAGCCCTGCTCACTTAACAGCTCAAAGTTGCTACCCATCTCGTTCTAAATTATTTTAAATTTGAAAAATAGTTAAATGCAGCACGTGCGCGGCCACCGCTTTTGTTTACAATTTTAGCCGCGAGTGTTGTAAACTATGTTTGGGAATTTCATTCGGCGTTAACAAATACTGTCAAACATGTCGAGAACAATATCGATATTTACATGCCGGCGCTATCAGCTGTTTATGGCAGAATAAAATGTCCTAAAAAAAGCCGGCTGTATGGGTTATTCAGTAATCGGTTGGTCACATTATTTGTGTTACAAAAAAAATAACAAATATATAAATAGCTTGTGGGTTCTGCAAAAATCGACAAAAATAAAGGAAATTTAGTTCAGAAAAGTAAAATAATAGTGCGAGCCAGCACCAATCTTTCCAGCCATGTCCAAATCCAGCGCAGGTGGGTGTATAATCTCTATGAAAAGCATCCAAAAACTGAAACAGACGCCGCCGGGCGCCAGTGAAAACCAAAATAAATACAAACACATTTCCTTGAAAAATAACTAAAAATATATAAATTTACCGCAATTCGCAGCACGCTGGGTGAAGTTCTTTAATGCTGCTGGCATCCCATCGCCGGCGGCCGCCGGCTATGCTCATGTTTTCGTGGAGAATCGCATCCAGGACGACATGCTGCTGGACCTCAACAAGGAGTACTTACGGGAGATGGGAATCACTTTGATGGGTGACATAATCGCCATTCTCCGCCATTCGAAGAGCGTCTGTGAGCAGAATGCCCGGGACAAGGTTCTGACTCCAGAGCCAGTCCAGCCAGTTGCCTCCAGAGTGGTGGCTACGCAGGGGGTCAAGTCACAGGTCGCATCAACGGGCGCCAAAGGTAAGGTCTCGCCGCCCGCCAAGCCGGCAAGACGCGTGCTGCCCGAGCACGAGGGAAAGTATAAGGTGACTCTTCCTTCGGGAACCACGGAGCGCAGCAAACAGATTTTGGCCAAGCGGGAGAAACGTAAGGATGAAAATTGGGCTGGTCTAAGAATCAAAAAACATTATACGGCGTATTATCATTGCAGTTTATTCCGATCGCGTCAGTAGCTCGAAGAAGTCGGATATCTTCTCACGCCTTCACGCAAACTCCGGCGAGGACGAGGCCCAAGAGGGTATCGTTTCCAGCTCAGGCGAGTCTAACGTGCGGGTGCACGTCACCGGAGCAACAAAGCTGCCTGATACGTCCAACAACAGTTCCGTATTTGCGCGCCTCGGCGGAAAGCAGTCAACCACCTCGCCTGTCCAGGGTCCTCTGACCAAGGAAATTAAATCTATACTAAAGAACAGCCAGCGGTCGGGGCTGACCGGAGGAGTGACAAAGAACTCGCCAATTGTCAAGGCCAAAAGGGTGGCACCCACATCTATCGTAAAGTCGCAGCAGAAGGTTATGCTCGTCCATAAAGTTCCGCTAAAACGGGGCGACGATGAAGACGATAGCATGAATGATAATGAAAGCAACGAGGACGACGACTACTTGTCCAGTGCTGAGAGCGAGGACATCGAAATGGCTGTCAGCGAGAAGATTGTGAAGTTTGCCTCCACGGCGGAGATTCGAGAAATTGCGCCAGAGCCTTCAAACAAAGCCAGGCACGGCAAGAACTTTGCCAATAACATAAAATCGAGGCTGGGAATGGGTAAGTTGTGTTCTTAGGCTTAGTTTTACAACAAACTAATCTCTTTTATCTTCCTTTTTAGTATCAAAACTTCACGCAACAAAGAAGACCTACAATTTAAAGGCATCACCTACTAAAAAAGTACAGGGTCGTCTTAGTCCCGTAAAGGGCAAGGCCATACGTATGAGAAGCGATGAGTTATTGACGCGCCAGGACACGCTGCCCGTACACAAGCGGTTGGGCGGCAATAGCTCAGCTCCTGCTCCCACCAGGATACCACCAGCACCGCATCGCCAGCAACAGCAGCAGCAACAGCGGCGCGATCAGCACCAGAATAGAAAATATGCACCTCCACGACGTCATAACAGCATGAATGCTGGTTATAACAAGCAACGCGGGCAATCTAACAGCTCTGTCTTTGACCGCCTGGGATTCAATAATTCAATGTAAAAAATCTAAGTAATATGATGTCACTTGTAGTTTGTTTTAAGTTCAATACCCTTTAATTTTGCCAGTAAACGATGTTTGAATTAACTTCTTGAAAGTGTTTAATGGGAGATCTCCTAAACTTTATGAACATATTAATAATTCGTGGTTCGTGATAAAAACACAAATATTAATTCTGTTGAATGAAAATGACTGATATTAAGATCTTTTGAAAAATGTGTATCTCAGCCGATGTGCTACTTTCTTAGAAAATCCTACATTTTGTAAAATCAGTGTTGCTGAAACAGACTACCCGAGGTTCAAGAATAGCTCTTCTTTTCACAAAGGTAATCGAGGTGCCTTGCATAATTCCATTAAACTTGTAAAATTAGTTCCCAAGAATGAACGATAAATGAGTTATAGTTGATTTTTGAATGTTGTATTTATATTTTAATGTTAAGAGGTATGTACAATTATTCTAGATCTAAGCTACTACGGTTTGCTTTCGTTAATATCGTACAATCTGTCCAGGTGGGGCACTTAAATGTATTATCACTGGTTGCTAGGCAAATCACTCCGTTGCGTTAGGTTTGGGGCCCATTAATCCTTCTTCATTAATGCAGCAGGGCTTGAAGAGCCTGACGCCATTCCACAGGCCAAGTGTTGGCATCCGGATTGATGCTGAGGAGTTGACGCATCTGGAGCACGGCCCGTTGTTTCTGGAGCATGTAGGCGTAGGCCTGGTGGCCTAGGAAAACCGGTGTGTGCGTTGGCGTTGGTGTGGTCATGGTATTGGCCGGAAGTGGTGAAGAACCAGGATACTGCGAATGTTGTAACTGCTGCTGCTGCTGTGGTGGAGTGGTGGGCGGTGTGGGAGGCAGGGAGTGGTACTGCGGTTGGTGCTGCTGGATCTCCGTCACCTGGCGACGCTTTCGCGGTGTGTTCTCGCTGAGGGCGTACGGCCGGAAGAGCGGTGTTGACGGAGAAGTGGCGACAGCCTCCTTCTCCTTGCCGCTGCTGGTCTTCTTGCTGAACTTTTTGTGAGTGTAGGCGGAGGTCTTGAACTTTTTGTGTGTGTAGCACTCGGTGGTCTGCGATTCGTTTTGATATTCCATGTTTGAAGGTGCCATTATTGCTGTTGCTTAGATTTCGGTTTCGTATTGAGATGTTTTCACGACGGCTGTTAGGGCTCGACTGTGTTCCTGGATGCTGCGCAACCTGGATTTTATACCCCTGGACGATGACCTACCTGAGACAGGCCTGAAAGAAATTATCATTAAGGGCGACTCTTCGCCTTGTTTATGGGAAAATCTACGTTGACAAAAGGATGGCATTGTCTGGTCGTGCGGAGAAAAAGGATTTCGGCAACACCCACACTACCTGTGTAGGTGACACGCTGTTACCTGCTCGCCCAAAAGAAAGTCCTTTGTAATTAATTTTTCATTTGCTGCTGCAACGGGCTCGCACCTTCTTTTTCTATTCTGTCCTCAGACTGGATGCAGGTCAGCAGGGATTTCCTGGAATTTACTCGAAGAACGTTTTCTGGGAAGAATCCGCTGGCCGGAGATCTGCCAGCGCCTGCGCTTGCCACTCTTTGAAGCCAACCTTAGTTCGGATCCTTATCTTGCTTACCGCTAATCTGCCTCATTAAGTTCTGGTCCAGAGTTCTCGGTTCTCGGTTTTCGTCTCTGGGTTCTGGATTCTGGGGATGCCGCTGCTTAGTCACAATGGTCATTGAATGGAAATTTATTGGGATTTTCCCGAAATATTGCGTGTGTGCATAGGGATTCGTTCGCTTGAGGGATTTGTGCTCAGCGTTGTCAAAGATTCTAAGCACCTTCTAAGCACCTTCTGTCATAAAGAGCATTGATCTTAGAAATAGGTTGTTTTTAAGATATATAAAATAGCCCTGGAAATATGTAACTTGTTCGTCCATATTCGACAGTGAAGGGAGGTTATATTTCAATAATTCATATTTAAATTTAATGTTTTTCTTGTAATATTTCAATAAGGTGGAATCATGGGCTGATACGTAATAGATTGATTGATAATTATTTATTTTAACTCAGTCAATCCTGGAAATCTTTCGCTTACTTGAGAGAAAAAAACATTTAAGTAGAAAAATATATAAATACTAATACTAAAATATATAAAAATAATAAATGTTTTTAATTTTCTTAAAAACAGAACTCTGAATATATATTTTACTTTCTTTTGTTTATTTTAATACCCAACGCCCCCTTTTTGTAGATCTTCCAGATTGTATCACTTGTATCCTGTATTACAGACTCCTTCCGTTCAAGAACAGATGGAAATTGATCAATATATAAAGGAAACAATTAAACAATACAACAATCTTTCACTATAATACTTTAAGGGGACAAAGAACCCATTTCCCAGCCAGCTTGTTGACTCTACACTGTCAAAAATTCACTTATCTAAAAAGTAGTTTTCATAAACCAAAAATGTGAAGATTTGTATTCCTTTAAAAGATTAGAAAAGTAATAACATAGACTCTAATATTTAATAATATTTTATTCATATTAATAAGGTATTAAGAAGTAATAATAATATTATTTCCCGACTTTGCTGAACTAAGATTAAAAGAATTGCGGAATAAATGTTTTCTAAAGTAAGAAACGAGAATCAATTTTTAGAATTAACTAAAATTAAATTATATAATATATTATAAAATTAAAATCCGTATTAGAGTACACATTATTCTTTTAATCCCCATAACAAATTATAATTTTACAAATATAAATAATGCCTAAAATATTAATTTAAAATAATACAGTAAATAAAAATTTAACCATATTTTAATATTTAACTATACAAATTCAAAAAATGATAAGAATTATTCTTGAATTTAAAAAGATTTTTATTAAACTCTCAATTTATACTTAATATTTTTACACACGAAGTTTCTCATATTAAAATCGTATTATATCAATATCAATTGAAGAATGTGCTTATTTTAAGCTTAGTTATGATCGATTTCCGATGCGATCCTATAATTTAATTGCAAATGCAAGTAGATTTCGGTCTTTTGAGTGTTATAAAATATATGTCCAATTTCTCTCTGTGTACTCAAGGACTAGTCTCAAACCCACCTGAAAAAGACTCAAATCCGCTTAGGCGAGGGAATACCAAAATGTGAGAATTTGAGCCAGCGTTCTTTGACTGCATAAATCAATGGACAAAAGGGCATTGAATGAAACGAAAAATCCGACATAATGCCGGAGACACCGTCAGAAGGAGCATTCAGTAATAGACGCGAAGTTCTTTGGTAAGGGCTGTGCCGGAGCATTGGTTTTTCAGCTGTCAGAGGCTGAAGTCAAAGATGCGTGTTTTTCGGATCAATATCTCGGTATCGAAAACGGGACCGCCGGGCACTATTTGTCTGCTATTCAGGTGCCACAAAGAAGGCCGAACAATAGCGGGCCGGCAGAGAACTTGGCCAAATTGAGCGCCAGGATTACACAGCGGTCCTAGATCCTAGAGATCCCCATGCCGAGGGTCGGGCGAACAGGTAATTCCATCGAAAACTGTCGGCCATGTAAACAGACGGAGGAAGGACGACAACAACTGGTTTATGACACCCTCAAGACTCGGGGCGAGCGAGTGGAATGGAATGGAACCTACTAGAGAAAATGCCAGCCGGCGGATTAGGGACACCCTATTCAGGTAACAGCCGGGACTGTGCGGGTGATTAGTTCGGGACATCTTTGCCGAATGAATGAACTGCGATGGGGAAATACCTGGATGGAATTCCAGGTACTTGGTGGTGGGAAAATCTTTCGGATTTTGGGTCGCTCGTTTTTGTGGGAGGCGCTCGACCTGATTACCTAGAGTTGCATAAAACGGAATGCCGGGAGGAGGGGCAGCACAGTAGCCACAAAGACACCAAAAGGCACACACACTCAGCAATCTATCAATCAATCGACGATCATAATGGAGAACTATAGCCACAAGAAATTCACAGCAGCTCTGAAGCGGAAGCGCAGTCAGGACTCTGATTCCGACGACGATGTGGTTTTCGTCATGGAGCAGCCCGGTCAGCGAACCCCCGAACAGCCCCCATCCAAGCGTCGCTTCTTCCGTCCTTGGTTGGATGAGCCAGAGAAGACAAAGCAGCCGGAGCCACCACGCAAGACCATGGTAACACCACCATTGGTGGATCCCACCTATCAGGCCAACATGGTGCGCAACCATAAGCGACGCCAGCGCAGTCCTCAGGAGCAACTGCGTCGGGATCGGAACACATTGGCTAGCCTGCGCCACCGACGATCTCAGCAACAGCAGCAGCAGCTTATCGAGCAACAGTACTTGACGAATCGGATCCAGCACGAGGCCAACCTGGAGCAACAGATTCGCCTGAGTCTCTACTATGTGCGGTTCCTCCAGCAGACCATGGCCAATATGGAACCACTGACACCGACGCAACACCAGCAGATGCTCCATGCCAGACAGGCCACCACCCAACAGCCTTGAAGGAATATTGACTTGACGCTGACTCAGCGTTCTAAGTACTTGTATATATTAATATTAGGAATAGCCAAAATGACCTTGTGATTACTTTTAAAGTATTATTTATTTGTTCAGTTGACTTAACAATAAAATTATGAAAATGTTATTAAATTCATTGGTTTTTTTTATTGCGAGCATTAACAACATAAATTGGGTTGAATATCCCATGTTCCTTTTAAATTAATATCAACAAAACTGAGAAGCTGAAGAATAATAATATGTAGTTCGAGCTAGAACAAAGTTAATGATTCGGTTTTAAACCTGTCTTTAAGAAACTTAGAAATCAAAAATTAAATCACTCCATATTTCAGTATTTTCAATGGTACTCTAATTAAGGACTACCCAGTTTAAACAAAACAATACCATAAAAAACCATTAAGAAAGTAACGTGTGCATGACTTTGGAATATCTGGCACTAACTTTTCTGTGCATTTAATTAAAGAAACAATGTGTTTTTCCATGGCACGTCCAGCATTAATAGCTTAAAACTATTCAAAATTGATGTAAAAATTATATAGACCAAAAGAAATTAAATTATAGAGAACTTAGACTCAAAACAAAGTTAGAGACTCTACAAACTTTATAAGGCAGAAGCAAGGTCGAGGGAAATAGACGATATATTTAGATATCGTTATAAAAAACTTTCTTAACTATACTCGTATTTTACTCAAATTATTACATATCGACTTACTTTTTAACTAAGGAAAGACTATAGCTTAGTAAATGATTTGTGGTAGAGATTCTAACTTATCATTCCAGATTTATAAAGTATCTCTTAAATAAATAGTATTGTTTAGTTAACCACTTCTCATAAAGGGCTAAAAACGTTATTTATATTTGAGTAACTTAATTTAAGTAAACTGTAAACTGGTTTCGGAAAAGTGCTTAGTCGTACTTTATTGGTCACACATGGTAATACATCTACGACTACTGTGCTTGATAATAGCTTGACTTAGTGATTCATACTAATAGTAACATATATGGAGATATATGTAAATGATTTTCAGATCATTGCGAATAAAATAAATTGTTATTTGAATTGATTTTGTAATATATAATCAATTCCGCAACGACATATTATCGAATTAACACATTCTGGGGAAATACGGTAATTAAATTAGTATTGGCTGATAGCTTCTGATCACATCTATGCGAAGATCCGTGTTTGGATTTATGTAAGAGGAAATTAAGTCATCCCAGTAGTAGAAGTAACTAGGAAATACTTATGTCACCGCATAGTAACGGCATATTGATATTTATTCGATTGCAAATGAACAAAAACATTATTAAAATGGAAAATTATAGGTGACAAGTGTTGTATTTTCAATACATTATGTATAACTACTTATTTTTTATTAAGTATATAAATTTCATGATTAAATATAATAAGGAATGGAAACAAAGTTGAGGAAGCTTAATCAGACCAGCTAGTAGTGAAGCATATATTCACAGGTTTTTTATTCGAATTGTGTGAACGTTTGATAATAAATCAATTCGCTTTGTATAACATTTAAATAATTATATGTAAAAAACATATGTTGCATTGCATGCGTATGTATTGTAGAGCAACGAAATTATATTTGTGTATTATACTAATTCATTAAAATCCTATTACATTTTCTATTGTTCCTATAATAGCATTTTTTAGATTTTACTTTTAATACGCATATGTTATAGATGTTAGAAACATAATTATGAGTTTTATTAGGTTTGCGTTGTATAACCCATAAATTGGCAGAACTGGGAAAAAGTGCATAACTTCCCCAATCAGGTAAATAGTATGTCGAATGTGTTCACAACTCTATTCTTATCAATTTCTAGGTAATTAAAACAAAAGATATGATGTCAAGTCAGGCTTGAAGTAAGAAACAACCCAACACACAACAAAGAGGGATCAACTATCGGGATCAATAAAAAGAGACTCGTAGTAACTCGGTCTAGAACTTTCCTGTTCCGGTGACCACATTTGGCGGGTAGTTCAGGTAAAACACTAAAAAGGATTCAGATCAAGCAATTAGCAGTGATCGAGCAGGTCATAAAAAAGAGATTCCTTAATCCACTCACAACGATTACCTAACACGGGATGCGCTAATCCCTTTGTTGACAGACCCGCGACAACTGGGTTTCCCTTTTGGCTACCTGTAGGTCCTGGACATGTGTGCATATAAACAGGATATCAAGCTCAGGGGTAATCATTCAGCAAGCATTCGCCAAGCGAGCAACATCAAACGAGCCAAGTTAACCAAGTCACATCATAAAATGGAGACCACAGCTAACTACGCCCACAAGAAGTTCACCGTTAGCAAGCGCAAACGGGATTCGGACCAGGAGGATAAGGAGAACATCCTCCAGCAAACAATGGATCAGCCTATCACTAAGCGTCGCCAGGTCCAGGGATTCTTCCGACCATGGCTGGACAACGAGCAGAACCAGTCCCAAGGAGCAACATCCCCCATTCCTGCGGGCAAATCTCATGGATCCATTCCCGCCGTCAGTCAGTATCACGCCAACATGGTGCGTCATAGCCAGGCGAAGCGCCAGCGCAGTCCCAAGGAGCAACAGCGTCGGGATCGTAACACACTGGCCTGTCTCCTCAGCCGACGAGCCAAGCAGGCGCAGGAGGAGCGTATGGGGCAGCAGTACGAGCAATATAGGAGGCACCATGCCGCCATGCTGGAGCAACAGGTGCGCCTGAGCCTCTACTATCGCCATGTCCTTCAGCAGGCGGTGTTCCAGCAAGCCATCGCCCCAGCCCCTGCCCACTTGCTGCCCCAGCAGCAGCAGCAGTTCCTCCAGCAGATGGCCCTCTCACAGCAGATGCTCATCTTTGGTGGTCAGCATTGACCTCTGACCGGGAGAGCGACATATTCAGCGACTATGGACAGCCCTATAATGTGATTTAGTTTTTAAGCCTTTGCCTAACTTATTTATTGTTGACTTTAAAATAAATTCTGAAGAATTCATTTAAATATTCCGAGATATTTTACTTTAATTGTGGGGGGTTTACAATTGCTCTTCTTTTATAATGTGGATTAATTTGATTAATAATTCTTGCAAAAAACCCAGAAAGGCCTAAGAAGTTTTTTTGATTAAACGGCTTTATAAAAATGAAAGATTATTAAAAATACGTTTTCGAAATTTAAAAAATGTTTTCATATAAGAAGAAAACATCACAAATTTAAAACTTCTTTATTTAAAAAGAATATCTTAAACCTTAAACAAGAAATAATTTGAGACAATCCAGAATTTACTATAATATTTAATCAAGTCGTTGTTTATTTAAAGTTTGCGGTTTTTGTAATTTTGTTGGATTAAAAATTAAACAAATAACATATACACTTAATGACACTCATGGAAAATACTACATTCTAGTTTACAATGTAATTCTTAATAGGCTGTTAATAACCGTAACGTCTTACAATTTAATTTGTAATTTATTAAGAATAAAAAAAATTTACATTGTAATTTCTATAAATCCAGTTCCTTAGAGTATTGTAATTATACAATTATTAAAAAGTTGATTTTGAGAGGGCTTTTCTAAACACAATTAAAGTTGTAAATTTTTGTAAGATGTAAGATTTGTTTTGTCAACAAATATTGTAGATATTCAAGCGTTCTTTGGTGATTATTTCCCAGCTTAGTTCAACAAGTTTTCGTGTGTTCTTAAAGTGTTCTCAAGGTTCAAGCCCGAAAACAAAGAACAATATTGAGACACAGCTGAGCTTTTGCCATTGCCCTCGATCCAGCAGCAAATATTGACTGAAATCGGATGCGGGATATATATACATATATATCTATTTAACTATATATACAAGTCTGTAAGGGGTCGCGAAAAGCTCCAAGTTCAAACCCAGTTGTGACGCAGAGTTTTGCAAGCGTTAAACCTGTGTGCAGTTTTCAATGTTAAATAAACTGGCCAAAAGCAGATCAACGCAACTCGGCAATTGGCCGAAAAATATGTTGCTGCGGCACAAGTGCAAAGTGGTTTTTTTGGGTTTCCATGGCCAAACCGCGACGGAAATTTTCTGCACTTGGATTTTCCATCCGCTGCCATAGGAAGTCGAGAGACGGCCAGCAGTATCAAATGGCCAACAATGAAAATTAAAAGTAATTAACTGCGCTCGCAGCGGTTGCGCAATGCTAAAAGAGTTAATTACGTTTTGGGACGAGGGACTTCCCCCTGCCGCCTAAACACTCAAATTAAGTAAAGCTCTGTTTTTCCACTCAGTGCAGCCAGGTTCGGATTCAGTTGGTTGCACTTTTAGTGGGGGCTCTCACACAAGTTTTCCATGCCTCTATATACATATATTTTCTTCAACTGATAATCGAAACTTCCTTGTAGGCCATTGATTTTTCTGCTTGGCGGAGCCATTATGCAAGTTTTGAGTTGACTCCCATTTGATCGAGTGAAAGCCCACTCGTCTGCAAAAATAAAAGTAGAAATTAAGGCAAAGGTATAACCTCTAATTAGGCCGTTACCTAATTCCCAGCCAAGCAGGACGAGAAGAATTCAAGTTCGCAAGCAGACAATGTATTTTACTTGAGTTGAATGAGGAATGCAGATCGAAAGGAAATGTCCGATATGATATATAATGTATGATATGAATAATGAGCTCAATGTATTAAAGAAAATATCGTTACAAAGTTAATATATTAAATTTTAAAGTATAGAAAAAATCTTAGAATATCGACATTAAATAAAATATATACTACAAATATGGTTTAATTCTGTTGGTGTTTTTCCTATTATATTGATTAGCAATGAGCATTTTTATATATTTATATATTTTATTTATATATTTTAACCGCTTCAAATGGCTGCATAATAAAATATATCTTAAGCTCTTAAATTTAATTTATGTATAAAGCGTTTCATAATACAAATAATTAATATATCGAGTTATTTGAAACATTTATCGTACATATAACCTGTAACCTGTAACAAGTAAAACCTGCAATTGAAATCATTGCAAATCAAATGTATATAATTTTATAATTATAAAAACATATTAATCTATAATACTAATTATATCATTCAATGGATGTTTAAATAATTCTATTTATTTATTATAGTCATTGTCATTTAATTAATAGACTAAGGGTTAGATCAGAATGTTGTAACAACTTTTACATAATTAATAAGAAATAAACTAAAGAACTTTCAACAAGTATTTAACGCTATAACGATTGTAAATAAGCAGTTCATACATACATATATGTATAAAGTTCAACCTTTAGCGTGACCGATATTATTATCCAGGCTTAAAATGTGCCTCGTAGCTATAACTAGCTTTCATTTCTGGTTAGTTATAGTTGCAGCACAATGATGACAGGTGAGTGATGGATGTAGAAAAAAAGGTATTAACTAAGATAAGTAACATCTAATCAATTCCATTTCCATAGGTGCAGTTTTGATTGGTCTACTTTGCTGTCTTTGGGTCGGAGTTGCAGAGGGAATACCTCACCTCCTCCCGCATTTGATGGAATTATTCAAAACCTTGCCGATTTCTCTAGATTCGATCGATTCGAAAATAATGGGCATTTTAAAACCCGATAAGGGATATGATAAGTCGGAAAATATGGGTATGTCTTAACTCATACCCATATACAATTTTTTTTAATTAAAAAAAATGTATACATCAGACAGAGGTTATGTTATTTCACATTTTTCCTCTCGATGCATATTCCTTAATGATATGTAAATTAATTTAGAAACCATGATAATGCTTTCGATAAATATAATAAAGAAATCATACCTTGAAACTGATGATATATCTTAGGCATTTTGTTTAAGGGTAAGGGAAATCAATTGTGTGACATAAAACATGGTTTTATATATTGGATATAATTAAATATATTATATTTATTTGGAAGTAATCATCTTATTATTTATTCTACTTAAATGCTTACAACTAATATTTGGCATTCATAGTGTATTCTAATTATTAAGCTTTTAAAGATTACGTGAATTATTAAATAAACTTAGCAATATAAACTTAAATAAGTTAATTATAGTTATAAATTACAATTGAGCTTTGATCAAGATATATGGAAGATATATCTACTCCCTGCTATTCGATCCGATCAGGAAGTCAATGGAAAAGTTTCTCCTGTTATTCCCCGCTCTGACTATCCTGGGCGAGAGTTGGCAGTGGTTCACCCGCTCCACCAGCAGCTTCAGCTGATCCAGATAGACCTTGGCACGCAGACTCTGCTCGGCCATCTCGTGGTGGGTTTTGAGAAACTGATCGTACTCCTCCTTGACCTCCAAGTCATCGATCTTCTTCTTGCGCCGGCTCAAGCGGCAGGCCATGGTGTTCTTGTCCCGGCGCTCCTGTTCCTTTGGCGTCCGCTCCTTCTTGGGGAACTTTCGGACCATGTTCACATGGTACTTGCAGATATCTCGGATGGCGTTGACACTGATCGGGTTGGATGGCAGAGAGTGCTCCGAGGATACGGATGCGGTTGATGATAGCAGGCGTCGTCGCTTGGGCAAAGGCAGGAACTGATCCTGATCCGGATCGCTGAAGCACATGCTGGAGGATAACTCATCCGAAGCTCTGCGACTGCCTGAGCTGCTGGAGATGCTGCAAGGAGTGTTGCTCCGGGTTATGAGCTCCTCCTTGATGAGCAACGCAACCTTATCAATGCTTCGGCTCACATCGAACTTCTTGTGGCGATAGATTAGTTGGCTGACTGACTGCATGTTGTCTTCTCAAAGTCTCTGGGTTGACTGATGGTCCAGTGGGTGGTGCTGCCGTTTATAAGTCCTTATCTCCCGCTTCCCAAATGATTAGGTTTATGATCTTGTTTACACAAATCGAAGAAGTCGCCATTTTCACTTTTTGCAAAACGAAAACAAAGTTATAAATGACGCCGATTTGCCTGCGCACGCGTACCGATCGCGCCATCTCTTTCGCACTCGCACGTTCTTACCTACGCGCCACCCGCTGACCTCCGACCTCTTGTGTCTATCTGCGACATGTTTGTTCTTGTCCGGAGGCGCAGCATGCGGTAATCCGCTCATTCAATTCGTGTTTGTTCCTCTTTTTCAGTTTTCATTGTTCTTCTCTTTTGGTGTAACACATTTTAGTGATCCATGAGGCCATTTTCTCTTGTTATCTTGGACCGAAACGAATTCGCATTCTTATATTCATGTGCTGATAAGATTTTGCTTTGGGTTTTCTTTTAGGCAGATTAATTGTTGGTTTTGGGGTTCCCCTTGTGCCATTTTTACTACAATTGAGATAAGACCGGCCAGATTCAGAGATATGTACATACATACATATATGAAAATGGTTGCTTCTGTAATTTATTGCTAACAGGGAGGGATGATTTAAAAACTATGATTCAAATAAAAAAAATAACAAACGAATGTATCACATACTGCCATCAAAATTAGAGGTATTTAAAAAACAAAAGAAAGGAATAATTAGTTTACCCTTCACAAATTTTTAGGCATATCAGCTTAGTATACTTGTGAAAATACAAGATACTTATATTCCCTTTTGAATGTCTTTGAATAAACAGATACAACTTAGAAGATAAGATGTTACTGTCATAGCACTTTTAAGTACAATATCTCATTTGCATTGTCAACCAATATATTCAAATATGTTGACTTGGTCATGGTTGATTTAAAATGTGTTACAGAGACCTCAATTAGGCACTCGTGGAAAAACTTGTTTCTTATATTAATATACACTATAATATGTCTAGATAGATAGAAAAATCTAAATAATTAGTCTTACTCACTTTATTAATAGTGTGTTTCCATGCAATGTTAATAATATTAGCTTTCTTAAATATCTACATTATAAGTCAAAATACATACATCGATAAGGCGAACAGCAAATATATTATACCCAATGTTTTCACTTTCTGAAACACTAGCAAAAAATAAAACAGTGGAATTGAGTAACTTAAAAATTAAAAGCCTCAAAAGAAAACTTATGTTTTTTAAATTAGGCAGACATTTTAAATACGGAACATTCGGGTACCAGATATTGTAAATGTTCTCTGTTTCGACAAGTATTGAGTATCTGAAGTATCTGTATTTTTTTCTTTGATTTGCCCAATTTTTCTTATATATCTAATGGCATTAGCTTATCTTCTCACTTTAAGGTTGTCAACATAGTAGATGCCGAATCCGAAAGATGACGCCAAAACGAACAGCAGGGATTCTTTTTCATACCATACCGTCTTCAAACAGAGCAGTTTTTGAGATAAGATAATCTATTCTATTCAGTAGATATCCGGACAGTAAAATATCGAATTATAAACGAGCCTATATATTGTCTTTGAGAGTATAGAAAAACCATTAAGTTTATAGATTGGTTATTTAGTTTTATTTGTAATTTATAATTTACTTGGGCGGGATACTATGAATACCATATCTTACTCAAAATTGAAACACAGAAATCATGTTCCGGCTGACTTATCATCAATGTCTTTGTATCATTGAATAAAATACCTCAAGAGCTGGTAAATACATATATTTAGACAAACGAGTTATAAAGTGAAAGTATTAAAATTTTATAGTTATTTGCAATTAATACTGGATTATATATTTTGTAAAATCATGTTGTGAGTTTTCTATTCATAAGAAAAGTAAATCTTTGCAGACTTCCCTAATAATATATGGTTAGGCTAAACCAATAATGCTAGGAATTAAGGTGCCGCCGGGTCATCCCATTGAGTGACCTGTTTTGATTACTAACCTATGGGATGCGATCTGGGAACTGGTGTCACCGATGCTTCGTAAGACGAGGAAACATCGTCGGACAGCTGCCGGTAGCGGTAGTCAGGTCGAACCGGGTCGGAATGGGTCGAGCTTAGTTAAATCCAATGGCTGGGTGGCATTAGCTTCACGACTCTCCGAGGGAATTTAATAACGTCGTTTGTATTTCCCTACTGGCTTTTGCATTTGCTTTGTTTTCTACAGCTGACATCGCCGTCGTCGTCGTAGTCGTCATTAGTTTGAAGCTATTTTTATTACCCGCCCCTCGGTCCGCCCCCAGAAATCCCTATTATTTACTAATGCTGCGCATCTGTGTTTGTGTATTGCGTTTTGTCTTTGGTCTGGCACACTGGATTTGATTGGTTTTGCTTTTCGCTTTCTTGCCATAAATAAAAAGCCCGCGCTCGCCAGAGCTCTCAGACGTCGATAAGCACTTGCATCGGCCAGGCTTAATAATCATTCAGCTTTTTGATAACCGATAACAGTTAATTTGTAATACTATATTTTCTATTTTGAAAATATAATAATATATTTTACTTGTAAAAATGTGGAGAGTATTTTGTGCTTTCGTTTTCATTTCAATTTTCGGCATCAACGCGGCAGATGATGTGGGAGTTGAGTTGCCACATGTGGAATTCAAGCCAGTCCGGGAATTATGTGAGTTTCATCAATAATAAAATGTGAATTAAGTGAAGTAAATATTAAACATAAATAAATGAAGGTGTTGAGAAATATATATTAAAATATTGGACCAAATTAAATTCTAGGATAAATTATTATTTTGTTATGGACTTGTTATAGAATAATAAATTAGTGAACTTGAAATTCAAAATATTTAATTATGTAACTGAAACATTTTCAATGCTTTTAATAAAAATTTGTTCTAAAGTGGCTTATAAAATCGAGAATGCAGATATTTAATAAGCATTTTTTTTAAATTTCTGTTTATATATACAAATGTATGTCAGATGCTTTATCAACTGTAAAAATGATCGATTTTTATTTTTAATCAGGTCAAGTTTTACAAAAATGTAGAGTAGATGGAATGACGATAGTTCTATTACTATTATATATTATCAATTGTAAATAAAAGTATTTTAATCAGGTATTTATATATCGGAAGTGTTAAGGTCTTAATTGTGTTGCAGAAAGTATGCAATACTTTAATCTTATATACTTCATTTTGTTCTGAGATTTTGTGACAATAATTTTCAGATAAGCAATTTTTAGATTAAAAAAAGATTTTTTTTTATCTACAGTCAGTTCAATAACTGGAATATTACCGGTAATTCATTTTTCTTATATAAATTTATTTATGATCTTTACGCTAAGCAGTAGACTTCTTGCTCGTCGACATAAGTCTTTTTAAATGAGAAGCTTTAAATTTTCAAAATGTTTATTATTATTTATGATAAATTATCTTCTATAATTTGACACTTTAGTAGACCTTGAGATGTAGTCGTAAACTATATAAGCTTTAAATTTTAAATTTGAGGTTCAACGTCGTTTCGCAAAGATCTGATAGCAGTAATTGTGTGAAGCACGCAATTTTTGTGTGAATTTTATAACAAAGCATTATCTCCGAGTATCTGGCAGTCAAAGTTCCGAAACAAATTACCTTTATTACTGAAAACTGCACAGAACTTAGATATCTAATTGGCATAAAATGTGTACAAATCGTTACTAAACATCTTGCGAGACTTTTTAATCAAGAATTGTGCCTAAAGTGCTAATGGTTAATTAAGTCCACTTTTGGAGGCGAAATAAACAAGCAAGATGTATAATGATACAATTAATATTCTAGACTCGAAAACAGAATAATAATGTTATCCATATTTGCATAGGACAATTGTAAAAAAATATGAACACATTATAAAGCAAAAATTTGTGGATACATATTTTATATTTATATTATCCTTTTTATTTATTTAAATAATGTTGTGATGATGACATATCTACCAGATTTTTTGGAACTAAAAATAAGAATTAAAAACAGAGTTATTTATCTCTATTAAATTTACTATTTTCCTTAAATTCCTAAAGTATTTATCCTGAAAAGAAAGCAAATAAATAAAGCCTTATCTATCAATGTGATTATTTTATTTGTATGCATGAGAATATATCAAAATTATTTTTAAAATATATTCTCAAAAGATTTTATCTTATTGTATTCTTTAATTCAACTCTCGTGTTTTATTTGTTTGCAATTTTTTGAATGCAATTAGAATGATGATTTATTTGGACGATGAAAAGCGTTAAATTAAGATTGTCATGCTGATAAGTGGTATCTTCAAGCAGCTTTTTGCCGAAAATAAACGCCTGAAATAAAAAAAGTGCTATTTAAAGTACCTCAATAGCCAAAACAACAATTGCAATTGTTGGCTTTATACTTTAATTGTTGACCGAGTCAGACATGGCTGTAGATATAAATAAGACATGCTTATGGGAGCATATAAAAATAAATTGTTCAAGAATTGTCAAACGAGTTTGCTGCTTCAGTCTTTTGTTTGAAGCGGGCACTTCCGGTGCCGACCTTCTCCCAAGGTACATTTGTAGATACATATACCAAAAGCCACAATTACGAACGCATTTAAAGCGAAACGAACTTGATATGATTCAAAACAATTTCAATTAAATACATGAATTATCGCTTAAATCGCCTAACAAAATCCAATTTAAATCCAAAACAACAAATAAATTGCGCATGACGCTGGCTGATTGACCGAACGGCCTGAATTATTCTCGATTAGAAAAATGTCACGTTCTGAGCATAAACACACCGATCGCTCACGGGCTATGTATGACTAACGCTTATGTTTAAATTACATAGAATCTGTCAAGGTTCCCCCGCACGTACTAATTATATTCGCTTGACATTCGACAGCTAACGATATTCCGACATGTCGGGAGAGCGACCTGAACATAAACGAGTGCATCAAGCAGGGCCTTCAGCAGATAACGCCACGCATGAAGTACGGCATCAGTGAGCTCAACATACCGCCCCTCGATCCCTTCGAGATGGGTAAGAGTTCCTACAACTACAATGCCGGTGTCATCCAGGGTCGCATTTCCATGAAGAAGGTGGTCGTTCGGGGATTGAGCGATGGCATCGTCGATAAGGTCGACTTCCGTTTGAAGAACAGGCGCGTCCGCATGGAGATTCTGTCGCATGTTCCTCAGATTCTGGTTGATGGCTTCTACAAGGCTGACATTAAGCTGAACGACCTGAAGCTCAACCCCAAAGGTGCTTTCAACATTACCATGAGTAAGTTAATTCGAAGAACCCATACTTAAGACATAGAAATATTAAATCTAAAGACATTTTTGCTCATAAAAAATTCGTTCTGTTTATTACAGCCAATGTTGCAATGAGGGCAAGACCAATGGGAGAACTATATGACCGTGATGGTCACACATATCTGCGTCTAACTAAACTGGAGACTGAGCCCAAAGTGGAAGATCTGCATTTCTATGCCAACGGTCTGGTGCCCGATCCAGCTCTGAGTAAGTTCTTGCCAATACCTTACTTCTTCTATGTATATGTATATATATTTCTGTTTAGACGATGTCATCTTGGACTTTATCAATCAGTATTGGCGTCAGCTCTATCAGGCCATGCTACCCGAGACGTTAGCCACCTGGCAGCCCATGATTTTAAAGTCTTCAAATGACTTTTTCGCTGCGTTACCATTCGATATGCTTGTCACCAAGAATTAAGTTCTCTTGATCCTAATTGCTTTACTTAAGTCGTTATCATTTGTTTTTACTGCAATAAATATTATTAACTAACTTAGTATTTTTAAAAGATTCAGTTTATTCTACTATTGCGTAGCTTAGTTGTTTTTAGAAGCTTTCGATATTTTAGTTAAGTTTAAAGTCTCAGTAAGGTCTCGTTTTATTTCTACTTTACTTCATTTTACTACTTAACTTACTACTTTTATATTATAGTTAGATTGCGTTTTAAAAACTCCTAAACTGTTCATTTTGATATTTTGCTCAAAGTCTAAACAGTGTTATAACTCTTATTAATATTTTTTATTATTTTATTAATAATATTTCTAATAATACAATTTAAATACTTTTAATCATTCCCCTTATCAGCAAATATAAAATAATTATAGTTCGGGCTAAATAATTTGTAGACTTATAAGATATAACTTTAGAAAAATAAAAACACTTTGGAAACTGTGTAGTACATAAGTAAGTATTAAAGGAAACAAATTTGGCAGAATGGCAACGAAAGCATTAAAATTAATGTAGCTAAATTAAAATCTAAGCTCATAAAATACAGCTTTCAACCACACTAAACTACACCATCTCAGATCCAACTGGTTTCGAAATATAAATGAAATCGGGGCGTCGCTGATTACACTTTTCATTTCAATTTCAAACAGATTTCTGCAATAAGGCAACAATTGAACACTCATTAAACATTGATATTGGTTTCTTATCTACAAATGTACATAAATATATATAGACTTATAATATTCAATTTTCTGATAAGGTGTCCAGTGCAATGTGAGTTTTAAGTTTTAGAACACAGCCTTGTTTAATTTGGAGCCCATTTGTTTACACAAAATAATGTTTGTGACTTTCTGTAAATTTAGACAATGGATTTAAATGCGCCAGCCGATAATAGTTACTTAAATTGACCGTGAAAGTTCGGCTATTATTTATTTAACATAACATTCAGTCGAAGTGAGACATCGCACAAAGTAAGACCTTAGTTCAAATATAATAATGTTATATAATATGAATAATAAGTCAACCGATAATAGTACTTTATTAACATAGTATAAGTAAAGAAGCCAATTCCAGTTAAATCATTAAGATAACTATAATATATACCATTTGAATGGGCACTCATCGAGTCAACCTCAAGAGCAGAGCAAATTTGCGTTTCTGGTTTGAATGGGAAGCAAAGTTCAGGCCATATTGCCAGGTTAGTGGCTATGACTCACCAATGAGAAGCTTTTCTTTAGGCTTGATTTGGCAGCCCTTCGAGTCCGCCAATTAAACAACCGACTTAATATCCAAAAGAGGCTACCCCTTGATTATCCGTATTCATTGTGGGTAATTATTTAAAGAATTTATGGCAAATCATCGCTGTCATTTGTTATATGGCTTCAATAATTTTTTCTATTTAATAATACGACATTATAAATCAGAGGACGGAGCCGGTTTTGTGATCAGTCAAAGTCTAACTGTTTGCCGGAAAATGTTTCACTGATTTACAAGTAAAATACACACCGCTTAGCAAGAGCAAAGTGAGTTAGCAAGTAAGTCTCTAGTCAGAGACTTGTGCAATGTGCAGCTTTGTGCTAATTTTGAGAATAAAATAGCACGGCTTGGGATCTGAGAGCTTCAGTTGTTGATTGACGTTCTAGCCGCCGCCTTCTGTAAGCTGTCCGTGACCAAAAAGGATTATCCCAATTTAGCGTGGAAGTGTAGTATAGATTGCATTATATTATATACGCAATGCATTGCGTCGTTGGAATGTTGTGCCTGTTGGCCTTAGGCGCCACTGCGGCCCCCACTGCCACAAGTATCCTAGCTGGTGAGCAAAAAATCTAGTTTATCCAAGTGTCAGTGCGATTTAATACGATTTTGGAAAATGATTTACATTAAAGATCTGCCAAAGTGCGCGGCTACAGATGATCAGCTGGGGGAGTGCGTCAAGGAGATATTTAATACGTTGACGCCGCGCCTCAAGGATGGCAATCCTGAATTGAAAATTCCACCCTATGAGCCCTTCAATCTCAATCGCACCAGTTTCCAGTACACCAGTGGCAATGCCAATGGTCGCATAACAGTGCGCAATGCCAAGATCTATGGGTTTAGCGCCAATAAGGCCAAGGACGTTAGCGTCAAGGTCAGCAAGGACAAGGTCAAGCTGCGACTGGTCACCTATATGCCAAAGCTGAATATTGTGGGCAGCTACAAGGCTGACTTGCAGGTGAACCAGCTGCAATTGAAGCCCAAAGGAGACTTTAATGTAACACTGAGTGAGTGCGACATAGTTTAGTTTATTACCAGCAGGTCCTTACTGGGCTTATGTCCTTGCTTTCAGAGGATGTGGAGACAACGACACTCACCGATGGAGAAATTTACACAAAGGAGGGTCACCGATATTTCCGACTTAAGAACATAGACACGAAGCCAAAGATTGGAGACTTGGTCATCAAGGCCAATGGAATATTTGCTGATCCCGAATTGGGTAAGTTTGCACTTGTTTATTTAAGTTTTTTATTTAAAAATATGAATATATCAATGCCACTTAACTTGGAGTAGTATTACTCTATACAAATTATAAAGAAATTTTGGTTGAAAGAATGGTAAAGAAGGTAAAAAAACTTTCAATAAAATTCTAATCATAGATGATATATCTTTTCTGATGTACCCTTGTATAATCTTTCCATATCAAAATTCTATTAAGAAATACGGGCTGAACACATTCGTAAGAATTCCAGCAAATATAGTTTTATAACTGAGCAATTTGTTTGCTAATAGTTGAGATTAATGCAGCGATGATAGCGAATTATTATAATAGCTTTTATGAGTGCATATAAAATGAATATGGAAGGAACGAATTGTATAATTAGGAACCCCTACTTATGGCATTATTGGCAGCAGTATAAGTGATCAAGTAAACTTTAAAAGCTAGAAGGGAAAAGAAAAATAAATACATCATAATATTTTATTATATTGGAGCTTCCCAACTAACTGGGAATATTTACATAGAGTTAACTAATAGAATTTTCCAATGCACTCGATATTAAGATAAATAAATACTACATTTCTTTATTGCATTTTCTCTCTGAAACTAATAGTAATTCGTAATGTTTTTGTTTATATTTGCAGATCAAATCGCTTTGAATGTGGCTAATCAATATTGGCGCGATATCTATGGCATTATGCTGCCAGAGACGAGACAGTATTGGCAACCTCTGGTGCTGCGAATGTTCAACGAGGCTTTGGAACTGGTTCCCATCGACCAGTTTCTACCCGAGGAGCAAAGTTAATTATTGATCTTGTGATGATCGCTTTACTGCTAATAAATGGTTCCATTGCATTAACTGCAATTAAATGATAATTGTTGTTAAATTGGTAAATATTCATTATAGGCGCCATTTGCCTTGCCCTCTTAATCGCGACGACAAATTGAAAATTCAAAAAAACAAGTTTTATTTGCTTTTTCATGCCCCAGTTAAATGCGTAAATTCATTCACAATTACAATTATTTTCCACCAACCCGTACCCGTGTTGGGGTGACCCAATAATAACGGCGATAATGGGTTAAGTGCACCTTGCCGGTTGACCTTCACTGGATTCCATCAACTCGTGGAGATTGTGGAACATTCCCAGCTCAAGTGATAAAAGTGAATTTAAGCAAGACTGCCTTAGTCAGACAGCTTAGTTATAAGGGGGTTTTGCAATTTATTATTTAGTTGGGCCGAAATCCCGGCGGTACTGCAATACCGGGCCAACCCGCGACAGAGGTGGAGCAAGCTCCTAGCACTCCGTCTATTTCCAAAAATCAGTTTAACATTTGTTGTCCTCCAATGGAGGAACTATCAGATGTTAAGCTGATAAGAACAGATACTACACTTTGATCTTAGCCATAAGGCCGAGAAGCGATAACTGGAACCGGTAAAACCCAAGGCTCTCCATACACAAACTGCTAGAGCCAGTTGGGAATTATAGATGACAAGGGAAATAAATTGTATCTAACAATATCTTGCCTACTTTAGGGGCTTGTTTACTTCAGGTAGCTACTGAATGTGTGCAAGGGTAAAAGATACATGGAATTCAAACGTTTCCAATGAACAAAACAATATTAGAAATATGGATTTAAGGGATGAAATAGTTTAGACAGAAAAAAACTGAGGCATATTTAAAGAATATAAATGTATGGGCAGAAATAATTGTTTAGAGCTAGTAATTCAACTAGAGAAACACTTAACCCTAAGCCATAAAAATTAGAAGGAACGCTGATGACGCACTATCCAGAGCTTTGGAGTAAACAGATGCCAGAGATGTCAACCCATTTGCCCCTTAAGTTAATTTTTCTGTAGAAATAATGAGTTTGCTGTAACTAAAAGCCGAGGTGGAACGTATTCTGAGCCAAACAAAATCTTTAGAAATATAATTTATTTAGAGAATATAAGTGATTATAGTTCTACGGGTTGTTACATTTATTACACGATTTTGAATGCCTAAATTTCTGTAAATTTACTGGAAAGTCAGATGATTACATTTCACATTGCCACCTTATTATACCAGAATGAAAACTAAATCCATAAATCGTCTTTAAGTATGTACTCAAATCAATTTCTGGATAAACATTTTAGGGATCTGTAAACTATACAGACAAATAAAAATGAGATAAATATCTGAAATTGAAAGTAAATGTACAAACTTCTGGTTTCGGAAATAATTTCTACCATTGACAATATTGTTTTCTGATTTTATTTGTTAAATGAATTTACTGTTGACTATAAAAGGTCAAAGTCATCTGATAAAATCTGCAGAACTGAAATCGTATGCCAAAACACACAAGATATTGTCAGTAAGGAGGAATTTATAGTTCATATTTGTATAATTGATTCGTTATCGTCAAAAAAATTCACCAGGGTTCTTTTTATGGGAAATTAATAAAAACAATAGGGAAAGCTATTTACTCTTACAGTTCGCGATTTGATTGGAGTGGAAATCAATCATAACTAACAACAAATTCGTTAATTCTAGGTTGGTAAGCAATTCTTTGATCGATTTTATTAGATTAGCATATTGATTTTAAAAGCTCTGGTAGACATAAAATAAGTCGCATTAGGGCTTTTGATTTAGCTTTATAATATATATTAACCCATACTTAAATAGTTTTTTTTGTATAGTTAAATTTCTAAGTGGTCTAAGGTTTCACTTAGATGTTAATAAAAAGCATTTTGTGACATTTTGTGCTGCTAATAAATTTCCAGACTTTAATTTTTGCTTTATTTTTATCTCTCTGCGGTTGGTATGCACAAGTCAGTTTATTAATTAATTATTCTAAATGCTTATAGCTATTAATTCGTGATGTGCATACATGAGAGGGTCTTATTGGTAGATAACAAAACAAACACGCGACTGTCGCCTGCCTTAAGTCGAATATGCCAGACACATTAAGTGTGGTTTGCTTCTATAATTCAATTAGATAATTTAAAGACAATTCGCAAAAAATTAATACCTAGTAAGAAGTAGAAATTAACTTTTTCTGTTATCAATTCTTGTAGTTAAAAGACACCACTTGTGGACTCAAAATACTGACTCAAGACGTGACGTTCCAGGCAACCTTGAACATCGATTTGTACACCACAAAGTCGCAGGTTCATGAATAATTTTACGAGGCCTACTGCCTAGCATGCAATATGTATGCTCATAAACAGCCGCAAAGATTTATAACTGACCCACATTTTACATGAACACTTTGCAGGGCCTTACTGTCACAGTGTCTCCCAAAACGTATCCACAACGTGCCTTGTTGCACTTTGACTGAAAACAGGGATTGGACACTCACTGATTGCTGTGACAGTTTCCTCATTGTTTGCATCGTTTGACAGATTTGGGAGAGCCATTAACCATCTGATGCTTGATGTAATAACTATTATAATATTACATATTAACATTCACCACGTATCGATCATTAATCTTTATACAAACTATAGCGAGAAGAATCAAATCACACCCTCTTTAGGAGCTTTCACAGTTGAATAAAAACACAGGTAAATATTTTCCTTTTTTAAGATAAATGAAAAGTGAAAGCATGTATTTCGTTTTTTTTTTCTTTGGTTAACTTATCAATGGAAATAGAGGAAATTGTTCTGAAAGAGAGTCCTAAATAAATAAAAAACACGCCCTATAAATTTATTTTAGAAAGTTTCACAAACTGTTAATGGTGACAAAAATATATATTTTTTCCGTTATTTAAATCATTATTTATACAACTTTAAAATTTCTAAGATTTAATAATAAATAATTGGCAAATAAAAATTTCTGATAAGATCAGACAACTTTTGCTGTGACTCTAAAACTGCATTTGCAGGCATATCATTCTCCGCACTAAGCTTTCCGTGGGATTTGAGCTTTTTGACTTCGGATTTGGGCTCGGCTCTGACGGCCTAAAGCCTTCGAATCGAAATTCGTTGGATTTGCCTGGGCCGCATTTTGTTGTTGGTGGCTTCGTGGTTTCGGCTTGGAAAAACTTTGGAACACAAACACAAAATCGGACAGCTTTTGGAAACTATAAATAAACGTGAGTTTTATGCAGCGTTCATTTCAAGATTTGCAAGCAACGCGCGCCGTCAACTCGAAAATTCGTTTTTGCCAATTTTTTTGAGCAGAAGTTTGGCAATTAGCTTAGGTTGTGTGTTTGTGTGTGGGAGTGCTTGTGCCTGTGTGCGGCAATTGCAGCAACAATTGCAGTTAACCGAGAAAACCGACCGTAAACAACAACAACAAACATACCGCTCGTGAAGAAATAAAAGTGAAGCCGGTTTGCAAAAATTACGCAAAATAAGAAAAATAAGAAAAAAACGAAGGAAAAACGGAGAAAACAAAATTACAGCCTGCACTGTATTCGTGTGTTAAATCGAGTCACACGAAAATAGTCAAAAAGGCCAGCCCCCATAATCGATTAAAACTAGTTTGCATCGCCTGCATCCCATTGTTCGATTGTTAGTTTTCTTTGAGGAAAGCAAAAGAGTCGCCTGGCCGAAAATGCAGTCGTTTTGCATCTCGCTGACGCTGGTCGCCTTGGCTATCGCACTCGGAAGTGCTCCTCCAGTGGCGAGTGCCGCCACGCTGCCAACATCCGCGCCAAGCGTGTTCAGCAGCGATCCCAGGAGCGGTCCGACGAGTGGCAGTGACGATTTGGGCGGCCAGCAGTTCGATTCAGGTAAGAGGTGGCTTATGCAACAAAGGCCAGAACTTGATATTCAAACGAAAGAGTGCCAGTCCCCGCCCTCAAAAAATGTGCCACCAAAAATTAAGTACGAATCGAAACAAGTTTGTTGCCTAAGTCTTTCGTTTGCTAAGCGGCAGTTAATGTAATTGTAAATGTAATCGAAAAGCACATGCTGCGGTTAGCTGTGCCAGCAACGAATGGAAATGCCAAGATTCAATTTGTGAAAGATGGAGATTTATTTTTAAGAAGGCAATCGTAAATAGATTTTAAATTACTAAAAATGTTCTCAAAGGTAACTCGCAAAAAATCAAATTTTAATTGATAAAGTAATACTACGTTTCGATTTTTAAAAAGTTAATTGTGTGGAAAGCTATAAAGAATTATTCTAATTTATTAAAATCCTTAAAATGTCTTAGGCAAATTGTTTTACGAAGGATACAATGACACTCAATGTCCCAATATTTTCACTTCCCTTTGTTTTCAGTACTTTGTATGTTCGTATAATAGTATTTCCTGTCTTTGACCACAATTCTGTATTTCCTCTCAGATTATTTTATTTTGCCAACTTGAGGTTTTTCGTTAAGATTCAGTACAGGCCTTGGCCAGCGGTGTGCTGTCCATGCCAATCCGTCCCGCTCGCTTATTGTAAGCTTCTTAAAAAATTTTTAAATGTGTTTTGCATATACTTAACACCACTTTTTATAGGCCTGTAACCTTCGCCAAAAAAAAATTGGGAAAAATACTAAAGAAACAGCGATCGTAAACGATAATTTTAATGAGATTTGGCAAGAGCCAAGCAATCTCCGTAAATTGCAATAGAAATTAGCAAGTGTATTTGCACTTAAAATCTTTTTTTATTTGTTCGACTTTTAACACTTTTTTAAATGACAAAAGAAATATATACATATACAACCTGCGTATATTTACATTAAAGAGACCAGCAAGTCATCGCCTAGGCCACCTGAACTTGACATACTTACACATAAATTTGAGTAAAAGTTATCGTCGCTTCCACGCTGTTCAAATAGAAATTGTGATGCAAGGCAGGGCACATGCTCATAATAAATGCAGAATAAACACCAGAAATACAGGCCCAACAAAAAATCACAATAATATATTGCCAATTACATTAATTTAATCAGCGACGAGGTGTTGGGGTTGTGTGTGTGTGTGTTTGCGCTCTTGCGAAAAGAGTTCAGCGCCAGAAAGAAAACAACACAAAAAATAAATAAATAAATACAGCAACAACAGACAGGCATAAATCCGAAACCGGCTGCTGTCGCTGCCACAGATGCTGACAAAAAGCGAAAAACTGACGCTGAAACTGAAACTGAAATTGAAAAAAAAACTGACCTACATCAATGCGTAAGCGTCGCTGCTGGGCTTGTGCCGAGCTGAAAGCTGCAATTGTAAGTTGTCTCTAATTGCGCAAAGAAAACGTCAACGGCAGCCGACGATGAACAAAAAAAATTAAAATTAAGCGAGCAAAAAAATTTATTGACATTCACTTGGGCAAACAAAAGACTTAGGCAACGAACTTCGAGCCGAGTTAGCCCGTGTGCTTATGCTACTTTCTGACACCTTTTTCGTGTTGGTTTTTATGTGTTAAGCTATTCCATGTCATAACAAGCGGGACAGCTCACCTTTGACATTGAACTTGTCAGGCGAACCGAAAGGTAAAATAAAAGACGAAAACATTGGAAAACTAATTTTTTTTGGGCATTTAAGCCCAAAATGACTTAAGTGGCTATTCACGTGCGTAACTCACCTGAAAATTACCTGCGGCTTATCTCTTATTCTTTAACTACTTAATAGCCAGCATTGAGTTCATTTTCATTTTTAATTTAGTAACTATAAATATTATAAATGCTTTATACAAAGGAACATTTAAATAATGGAATTTTTATGCTTCGTTTTACCCTGTCATTAGAAGCAGAAGACAATGACTAAATATCGCTTAAATCTTAATTGTACTTTAGTGTATATTCCTCATTGTTTCCTTGATGATCTATTATCTATTTTAAATTGTTTAGAATTAAAGTGACTCACTTTTTTATTAAAATAAAACATAAACTAATAAAAATATAAAAAATTATGTGAAACTGTTAAATTATGATTTATATTCCGATTTATTCAATTTATTTTTCCCCTATTATCATGCCTAATGGTGCTCTTCCTTGTTCACAAAGACCTTGACAGGTGTCACCCTGACACAAACCCCATTTGCATGTGTCGGAACCCGAGAGCTGTGCAGTGCCCATCAGACTGGGGACACGTGAAGAGTGCTTCATGCCCGGTTGGCTGGCACAAATACCGAAAAAAACAGAGAGATATATATAATAATTATTATTATTATCCACTACGGGCTAGGCGCCATGCTATGCCATGCCTCGGCGAACTTTACAACTGGGGCTAACCATGACTTAACCGACTTGTGCACTAACCTCCCCTCACTTTCGCCTTTTAGTTACACCACCGGCTCCGACAGCACTGTCCGAGGGCTCCAATGAGGTGACACCGTGTAGTCTCGGTTCGCCGGAGCTCAATGAGTGCATCCGTGGCCTGATCCAGACATTTGCCCCCAAACTGAAGTACCAGGGTGTGCCTGAGTTTAACATGGGCGCCATTGATCCCTATTTTTACAAGCGGGGCATCTTCCGGTACACCAACGATGGCATCCAAGGTGGCCTTTTGATCAAGAACATGGAGATCTATGGCATTAGCCAGCTCCAGGTGAACAGTGTGGCTGCGAACTTCACTGAAAACGGATTTATAATCAAACTGGGCGTTGAGCTGCCACAGCTGAAGGCTGGTGGACACTTCAAGGCGGACGTGAAGTTCGGTGGCCTGCGTCTGGTGCCCAAGGGTCCCTTCAACATCACCATCGGTGAGTGTGCAATTGCCTTTTACCTGTAGTCAAGTGCCTTATGCCTTATTACCTTCTCCAGACAACGTCAAGGCCACCATTCTGACCGACGGCCACATCGAACAGCTGCCCAGCGGTCAGCAGCGTCTCAGCTTACACCGTCTGAATGCCAATGTCAATATCGGTGACGCCAAGGTGGTGGCCAACGGCATCTTCTCCGATCGGAACTTGAGTAAGTGCATTGATATAATAATATATAGCCCGATCTAATTTATCCTCCCCCTTCTTAGATGCTATGATCCTGAATCTGGTCAACGAGAATCTGCCGGAGATCACACGCGTCGGAATTCCAGCCACCCGTGAGCAGTGGGCTCCCATTTTGATTGCGCACATCAACGAGTTCTTTGCCAAGGTTCCTATCGAGAAATTCCTGGTTCAATGAGGCACTAAATCCCCTTCTCTAGGAATAATTAGCTCCTAGTTAGTGTTAGCCTAATAATTACAATTACAAACTTATGTTAAACGCTGTTTCCAAATAATGTTCTATGCTCAAACGATTTGGCAATCATTTGGATTAATTTTCTACATAACCATTTTGTATTTATTTATGTTCAACGAAAAAAAAAACGATTTATAAATTATAAGAAATTTCCAAAATAAACGATCTTTTCAAAAATGTTCCCTAAAGCCGGTGAATGTCGAAAAAAGCTTTTGGATATTCGATTTTATCCCAAAAGTATACCTTTTTGTTTTGTAGATACAAAGATATTGTTGTTAAAGAGGTAAAATATTAGGTAAAATGTTTATTGTAACACAAAGGTCTTTATTTTTATAATTTAGGAGCCAATGATATATTGGGTCAATCATTAAATACTATATTTCCCTCGTAGTTAAGGTATGTACCACTGTTCTTCGTTTTCTATATTTATAAATAGGTCTTCTTCTTATATTCAAAGCTTATTAATTTCTTTTTTAAGTGAAGACGAAACATTTTATTTTTATACTATTGCTGGAAATAATTATTTTAGTTAGAAGTTTGCATAAAAAGCCGAGTCGATCTATCTGTGTCCATCCATGTCTATGCAAACTTGTCTCTGAATAGTTTTCTTTCTCTATCGCTCTGTCTCTCTCTCTCTCTCTCTCTCTCTCTCTCTCTCTATCTCTCACTCTCTATCTCTTTATTTTTTCGGTATGTCTATCTCTCTATGTGTATCTCTAAGATATCTCTTTCTGTCTCTTACTCTCGCTCTCACTTTCTCTGCTCTTCTCTTTACTCGGAGAGTATAAATACAGGCACTGCAGTCGCCCTGACCTCATTGTTTCCGTGTCCTCCGTGGTGTTTACATCGATAGTGATAGTGATAAGAAGTGCCTTTTGACTTTAAAAATATCACCTGACCAAGGCAAAACATCTGGACATCCAGGAAGAAACTCACTTCGATGATACAATAAAAAGCCAAATTGAAGTCACCTCCACAATGAAAGGAATAAAGCAATGACGAAATGGATAAGGATGTGGTGAGTCTTAACCATGACAATTACATATATCATTTATACATAGAAGATATAGGAGAGTTCATTGGCCACAGAGAGACGCAATTCTCAGGCAAGAACTTTCAATTGGCCCTCTACAATTTCTAACAATTCAAAACTCATTCGAAACGCATCTCTTTCAATGGCTTTTGAGTGCTGCTTAAACACAATTCTCAACACTCCCACTTGTCGATCAGTCAAACGGGCCAATATATGCCCCAAAGCACCCAATTACAGACAATTAGTTGGCAAAATATTGAAATATAATAAAAGGTCCAGGCCATGACACTCACCTCTCCATCGATCAACAACTGAGACGGAGATCGAGTGATCTTATTCCAAAGATCTCGCTAATTCTGGGAGAACAATTGATTTAATTTTGGATTTTAACACCCAAGGCGCAGCCCGATTTCGGGAATGACAGTGCATTTGCCATAGAATCCTGATTAATGTTCAAGTTGAATTTGATTTTAATTTAATCCTGCATGATGCTCCTTGGCATTCAAGTTCAATGATCGCCAAGAACGTCGTAAAGTTTCCATATTATTTAGCAAACACATTTGCATCTACTAAACTTGGACTGGGGAAGTAGAAGCGGCAATTCAAGAACTCAGAGACGGGTCTACTTCTGGTGGCCAAGTGGAAAATGAAGCACCCAATGCAATATGCACCAAGGAATTTAAATGGAAATTTAATCTGGTAATGCAGAGAAAATATATATATGGTTAAAGGTGAGATGTAAGCTTGAGTCTCTATTTTAAAATACAATTCTTAAGCTAAATTATATTTAATAGAGTGCAAGGATAAAAAACCCAGAATAGACCATATTTAAATTATAAAAAATACTTATATAAATACAAGAATTAATATAAAATAAAAACTAAATCTAATTTTGTGTTGCTTTTCTATTTCGGCCTTAAAAGAGGACTTCCAACAATTTCTCCAAGTGCTTAACAATGGCAAATCGAGCTGCTGTAGATGCAAAAGATGCAACCGCAGCTGGATTTTTCTTTTATTAAGTAGTTTACAGTCGCACAAACAACTTCCAGGCGGCCACGGCTGTTGCTAGACTCAGTCTGGGTTGGTGCGTGTTTGGGATCGGATTCGTGTTCGGGATCGAAGAGGACAACTCGCCGCCGGCTGCCTGGTGGGCACTGGCCATGAAGGCGTTGCCTAGAACTAGTTTAGCGGTAGTTTTGTCGTCGCGTGAGCAATAGAAGGCGGCCCAATAACTTGGCCAAAAGTGAGCCGGAGAAAGAAACCGCGTTCATAATTGACAATTCGGCGGCTTCTTCGGCGTCAACATTTCTGCCGCGTCGCTGCTTCTTCGGTCTCTGTTTGCTGTCTGGAAGCGTAGCTGTTAACCGAAGCCCAGATCCGCTCTTGGCTCAGAAGCGATCGGACCTCACAACCCAACGGACGGTCCTGTCCGTCTAACGCACCGATTATCGAGAATCGAGCACCGAGAACGGAGAACCGGGAACCGGGAACATAGAGGAGAGCTTAGGAGCAAGTCCCAGTCCGAGAACTTCGTCGTCGTGGTCAGGTGAATGCCATCGGGCAACGTGCCTGGCATTCGAAAAAGCTATATCGACAAGGCGTGTTCGTGGTGTCGGTTCTTAATACTATATAGCAGCCAATTTATATATGGTTTGCCCAGTTCAAAACGAAAACAAATTGGGAAGATAACAACAATCGCAGCAAGAATGTTTGCATTTTTGAGAGTTTTATTACTTTGTGTGCATTTGTTGCATTTTAAAACAATCTCTGGAGCAGATCTCCCATCCCCAACGGACGGCGTGGCAGGAGATCCTGTGTTGCACCATGGTGTTATAAAGGCGGCGCCGGGAGCAGAATTTGGTGCAGCTAATGTCACTGAAGAGAAAATTATCGATGAAGTGGCAAAGGGTGAGTATTGGTGATATATTAAAGGATTTGAGTTTACCTATTCAACTCCATAAAATATCCTTACTTTTTTGGCCATGTTCATTATTCTTTATAAATGTATAAAATTGTTGCATCTTCTTAAAAAGTCATTGAATGATTGCCTCGTTAACAAATCCAAGTAGGAACTTGGGACATTCACTTTTAAATATTTTTTGTGATAATCAATGAAATGTTTTCTTATTTCTTTGTGATCGAAGATATACATAAGTTCGAAAAGTAGTCAGGAACCAAGTATAAAGAACCCCTGCTTTATAATATTTGCCTTTGCAACTTGAAAAATAATAAATTAATATAGACTTTATGGTTCTATTGGCATTACTCATCAGGAAGGATTATAGATTAGATATTAGATGTATCTTTTTAAATGCTGAATAACCTCTAAATTCCTTAACTGTCGGGATGTATATCTTTAGGACTTCTACATTGGTCTGGGTTTCACTAATATATCGAATATAATTAAGAGATCGAAAAGGTATCCTTAAGACATAATATATCCTTAGACTTTAAAGATGTTGAAATAACTTTACAATCAACCACTGATTATTGTGAAGAACTTAATCCTATAGCTCCTTCGCACTATCAATAGTTTGTTTAAAATATACGTCATTAATATAAACGCAAGTTCAACGACTTCAGAAAGAGAATTTTCTGTTTCTGTTTGATTTATGCACAGCACGCACGTACCATTACTTGTTTGACCTTCAAAAGTCTATAAATCGTATATGGCAACAGGGGGGAAATGCGAAATAGTATCCGATGATAGGTGTATAGGCCTCTTTTGGCCCTTTTTGGATCAGTTACAGAAAGATTCTAGTGCTTGAACTTTCGGATCAAACTTGATTGCTCGTGCTATGTCGCCTGTCAATGTACCCGCCAATTCGTTCTCTGTTATTTACGACCAACAATTAGACAATTAGACAACACTTTTGATGGAGAGAGGCGTGATCTGGGCGCGATGTCTTTTCGGGGGCGACGACATAAGCCTATTAATTTGGGATGGCTCACAGATTGGGCTATAAACGTATACCAGGTAATAAGCTGACACCTTAAGCGATTTAACAACATGCAATATTCATTAAAAATTAATTTTTATTTACACTTTGTTGAACGGTTGTTAACAGCTTTTGGATTGGGAGCCACGATAAATATCGTTTATATGACTGCTGGTCACATAAAATTTAAGAGCGGTTATAAAGTAGACCTCCTCCGAGTCAAGTTTGCAATGATTCTGTGCAGGAATTCAGGTTTATTTTTGCCAGCAGCAGACAGCCTGTAACGGTCGAAAGACCTTGAACTTGCCACTTGCCCCTGATTCCTCGTAAACGTTTAGTGTATCTTTAGTATATCTTCAAGGGTTTCTTCTTTACTTGATGGGTGTTCCGAGGACAATACGAATTTCCAGGAAAAATTAAAATTATCCTTTAAATAAAGTAAATATAAAATACAAAAGACTTTATGTTTCATCTCTTGAAAATGTAACCAATTCAAAAGCGTATTAAGTGTGTCGAAATCGGGATCATCGATCAATCAAAGCTTATTTATTTTATTTTGTTTTTTGGGTGACAGCTTGTCATAACAATTTAAAAAGAATTAAAGTTATAGCCCATAAGCAAAACAAATGACATTATTTGGGGCAAATGAGTAATATTATTCCACTGAAATATTGGAATGAGTCAGAAGAGGATTAACATTTTTGCGCTGGGGTTTAGGCATACTTTGTAAAATGTACTGAAAATAATTATAAATTCCTGTCACGCCCTGAACGTATTCATCATTACGAGTAGAAACCACGTGCTGATTTGTGAGACTCTGCAGCTCCAGAGGTTTACCCATTCAAATGGACATTATATAGGAGTTAGTATCAATAAAATTTACACCTAATAGAAACCATAAAGGCCATACGTTGACAAGAAGCTCGTTTAAATTAATCGGCACAAAGGAGAATAAACGATCGAAATAGCTCATTTAGGCGAATCTCGAAACTCGAACTTTGTATATTTTTGGACCAAGAGCAGCGAGAGGCATGTCTAATAAATTAAAGTTATGGCAAATTCATGCTAAATAGCAAGAACAACCACATAAGGGAAACCAAATAGAGCCCGCGATCTAAACAAAGGCCTAGACCAATTTTAAGAAGCTGCCAATGGACATGACAAATATATGACAATTGACAGTAGAAAGTTGCCTCGCTGGGGGGCAACAACTCAAGCATCTCTGGCGCAACAAAAAAAAATGGCACAGCAATTGTCATTCAGTATGGAAAAAGCTTAAGTTTATTGTCAATATTCTGGGCGACACCAACAACAACAAAAAAATGTCAAAATATTGAGTAATCACTCTCAGCTGGGTGAGAAGCGTGGACCCGAAACTCGAAACGTGAACGAATGTTGTGTAAATATTGGCTTGGTCTTTCTTTATCCCATATGCATATGTATATATTTTTTAGGTGCTTTGTCAATACCGCAAAAGATTTGGCTCAAAAATGGGTTGTAAAGTACCATAGTTTTGGCTAGACAATTTCGTATGTAGCTCAAATCTATCTACGGGTTAACGAACTCAGCTCTCTAAACTGCCTCCAAAAGTGTTCATTCAAGTGCGATACAGATTCTGAAGATCTGGAGTTATGACAGACAATTAAAAGCGTTTTTTTTGTAATTTCCGGAATAAGCGTATAAAATCTGTGACCTACTTATATACATAAGTATTATTGGTTTGCAAACGTTTTTCAAGTATCTTCTGTCCCAGCTTCAGGTATTGGAAAGATATTTTGGGAAGACAAATTTCAAGAAGATATATTTTGAAAAATTTGTATCAAAATTTGTATCCTTTCAGTATCATGCAAAATGTATAATTTTAATAATAATTTTCTTTCAATTTACAGACTCCCCCCCTTTGGTCAGTCTTAGTCGGCAGCGTCGTCAGTTCTTTTTCGACCACAATCTTTTGCTGTGGCAAGCGGGTCTAGGTGGCTCTGGTCTCCCTGGTGGTCCCGGAGGCTGGGCTCCCCTGGAGGGCTCCAAGTGCCTCACGGTCCGTGGACAGGCTGGTGTTTGTGTTCGGATTGATGGATGTCGCCAGTACTATCGGGTAGCTCGTCAGCTGACCTTCGTCACCCTGCGCCAGTGGCCATCAAACGCTGGAGGCATCGGTCTGAATGGAAATCTTTGCAACTTCTTTGACCAGCTGGGAAGAGTCAATAATGGAATTTGCTGCACGGATATCGATGCCAATTCCTTTGGAGTGTTTCCACTTCCCAGCAGCACGACAACAACGACCACTGAGAAACCTCTGGTGTCTGCTGATGATGCAGATAAGGTGGACTCAAATGCAGGGGAAGAACAGGACAATGAGCAGCCCGCGGATGCTCCCCAACCTGAAGATCCCATTGATAATGCAAATAGCGTAGAAGATATGCCGGATTTTCAGGACGTCAACACCATCGAAGGTAATGCTCCAGAGCTGAGTCCCGATCCCGAAGTCCAACCAGAGGAAGAGGAAGCGGAAGCGGAGCACCCGGTGCCTGTTCAGCCAGCCACTCCAATTAATCCTTACCAATGGCCCTTCGGTTCCTTTGCGGGCGGAGTGGCCCAGTGGCCGCCACCGTTGCCCACTCATCCGCCCACCACCGGCGGCTGGCCTCCACCGCTGCCCACGCATCCCCCAAACCATCATTATCCCACGCACCCGACCACAGGTGGAGTTCCAAGCACGAAACGAACCACTCCGCGTCCTAGTCCCATTACCACCAAGCGTCCCAGCTACCCAAGCTATCCAACTGCGGCACCAACAACCACGACGACCACACGACGCCCGGTGAGTGGCAGCAGTCCAGAGGGTTTGCCACTGCAATGTGGCAACAAGAATCCGGTGTCTCCCGACCAGGAGAGGATTGTGGGTGGCATCAATGCCAGTCCTCATGAGTTCCCCTGGATAGCTGTGCTTTTTAAGTCCGGCAAGCAATTCTGCGGAGGCAGTCTCATCACCAACAGTCATATTCTCACTGCAGCTCATTGTGTGGCACGGTAAGGATCGAGGAGGATCGATGCTTCCTTAAAGGAGCTTTTATTTTTGTATATTTTTCAGCATGACCTCGTGGGATGTGGCGGCTCTGACGGCCCACCTGGGCGACTACAATATCCGGACAGACTTTGAGGTGCAGCACGTTTCCCGGAGAATAAAGCGTTTAGTGCGTCACAAGGGATTTGAGTTCAGCACGTTAGTAAGTTAACAAATATCTTTTTTCTTAGATATATTTTGCTCTAATTCTTTACTTTAATAATATTTTCCCAGCACAATGACATTGCCATACTTACGTTGAGCGAGCCTGTGTCCTTCACCAGAGAGATCCAGCCCATTTGCCTTCCCACCTCGCCCTCGCAGCAGTCACGTTCTTACAGCGGTCAGGTGGCCACTGTGGCAGGATGGGGCAGCCTCCGGGAGAATGGACCACAGCCATCGATCCTGCAGAAGGTAGATATTCCCATTTGGGCTAACGCAGAGTGCGCCAGGAAATATGGAAGAGCAGCGCCAGGTGGCATCATAGAGTCCATGATCTGCGCAGGACAAGCAGCCAAGGATTCCTGCAGTGTAAGTGTGAATCCTTCAGTCGAATATATGTTATTTTTCAGTTCAAATACATATATCCTATGCTTTCAGGGTGACTCTGGTGGTCCCATGATCATCAATGACGGCGGACGTTATACCCAAGTGGGCATTGTATCCTGGGGCATTGGCTGTGGCAAAGGACAATATCCTGGCGTATATACACGTGTCACATCCCTGCTGCCTTGGGTTTACAAGAATATTAAGTAAATATAGAATTGCGGTTAGTCTAAGACGTGATATGCAATGAGATATAATAATAAAGCCAATCAACTTTTAAAGAAACGCCTGAACGTATGCCATGAATGCCAGTGCAAGTTTGAATTATTCTTTGTGGTGATAGTTTTAGGGGCTTGTGTTTGATGTTTACATTTAATTACAAAAGAACATATAATAAAAAGAAATATATAAAAGACAACAAAGTAGTCCCAGCTCGTTGATTATTATACTTCATAATTATTTCTAAGCACAACACAAATCCTTGTGCAAAATGACGACACCTAGACTTTTCCAACTCGAAGATATGTTCAAGTTTAACCATATTGTACTCGATCCATTGGTGGAAGTGTACTCACTGCCGTTTCTTCTCCCCAAGATATTGGAATATCCCGATCTGGTCCTCTCGGCAGTGGCACCTGATGACCGCCTAATGGGTTTCATCCTGGGCACCCGAATAATGGACTCTAAAGAGACACACTTCATTGGTGAAGGAAAAGAAAAGATTGCTAGCCACGGACACATTTCTGCCTTGGCCGTGGCCCATGAGTACCGGAGATTGGGTCTAGGCTCTGGTCTAATGGAGATTATAAGGAAATTGCTAGATACCTTTAAAGACCCTTATGTGGATCTCTTTGTGCGTCAGAAGAACGTCAGTGCTATTTGTCTTTACGAGACTCTGGGATATGTGAAGTATCGCTGGTTGCCTCAGTACTATGCCAATGATCATGGCTACGATATGCGACTGCCTTTATCAAGTGATGTGGAACGAAGATCCCTGAATGGTATTACGAGGAACAAGTTCTACAGCTTTGGCAATATGATTTTCAATCTTCTGATGCTCTATGTGGTGGGAATAAGGCATATTTTCATGGGTGACACGCAATAAACTAATGTTAATATTTCCATTACCCTAGTTACCCATCGCAGCTAAAATCATATCGCAGACATGAATAAAAATTTCAGAAAAAGTTCATTGCACTCGAGCGTTTAGAAAAAATATTGGGAAACCTCCCAAAAGACAAAGATGAAAACTAAAAAATATATGTCAGAGAACATATGGAAACAAGATTTGTTTATATGACAACATTGAACCAGAATTTTTCAATTCTGTCCGTTTCAAGTTGCGTAAAATGGCGAAAAAGCAAAAATCATTGCGCGTGTTTTCAGACACATGCTACACCATTATATTTCTATATATATATCAATATATATATAAATTTGTTTGCTTTGAAATATGTTGCTAATAGAAAGCACAACAACAAGGGCCTTGACCGTCTCCAAACGCGAATTTGCAATGGAAATTCGCTTGGCAAGGAGACGGAACATAAATGCGTTTGGCAAAAGTATCTGCACTGTGTATGTGTATCCGTATCTATAGTTCGCCCTCGTGCGTCAACGGAAATCTGTCCGTCGTTAAAAACTACCTCAATTGATTTTTTTAATTAGCTGAAGCTAAAATTTATTTCAAATACAGATGCTGCGTATCTGGGAAGTCCTGCTCATTACCTAATTGCCGTTGGTGCTTGAACCTCCATTGGCCGTCGTATGTACTTTCTCATTTCAAAAGCATTCTCCGGCTCCGGATAGTAATCCAACACAGTTCGCTGATGTACATAACCCAGGGAACAGTATAGATGATAAGCGACCAGGTTAGTGCATCGCATAAAAAGGTTGATGCAGGAAGCACCTCTGAGATCCAGAGCCTTGTAGAAGTAGTTCATCAAGGCGGTGGCCACACCAAGACGTCGATACTCCGCGGACACAGTCAGCGCGGAAATATGACCCTGCGAGCCCCACTTTTTGCTAAGGTTCTCTTTCTTCCCAAAGATATAGCCCATACGTCTGCCCTCGGGACCTGGAGCCACGGCGATCTGGGAAAGTCCTGGAAACTCCAGGAGGTGCTCTACAAAGAATGTCAAACTATACACCTCGGTTAGGGCATCGAAGACCAACGAATTAAATTTAAACAAATCATCAAATCGCATTTCTCGCAGGCTCGTCATAATTTAGTAAAAATAATTTAATTTATTAACAATAAATTTCGAAAAGAGCGGAGATTTACAGCACTACTTATATAGGGTGTAAAATGTTTATTATGTGACAAGTTTGGCTAAAGTAAAAGTACTCTTTTGGATAAAAAATCTCAGCAAATTTTGTCTGCTTTTGCTTTAAAATTATAGGAATTGGAATAGGTTTCTCTTTATCTTATTTGGACTGTAAAAGGTTGAATGCTGTTTAATTTATTTATTTCATTTGACAATGGCTTAAAGACCGTTCTTAAATAAAATAGAATCAAGCCGGACAGCTGAGAGCCTCTGCACACAGGGGAATCACAATATATATATCTTTTGATTTTCTAATGAGGTTAATGTTCGAGGCACTCATTGACTCAGCGGTCTGTGCGCGTTTCAAAGATCTATTTATACAATTTAATGGCGCATTTTGCACAAAAATAAATAAAAGTACAAACCGATATTTGTCTACATATGTACATTTTGTGTACACAAATATTTATGTAAATATTTATATATATACTAATTGTGCCGGTAACGAGCTAACAATCTATTTATATTTGGAAGCATCATCCCACAGTGTTGTGATCTCCTTGCTCCTGGACAGGTGGTCCAGTCAGAAAGATTTAGATCTTGAATGGTCGTCTCTGTACAACCAAGTGTAAGTTCACAGATCTAAATACAAAAATTTGTCTGCTCTCCGGCCTGAAGATGAATGATTTGCTAATTCCCACAACATTTGTCTATTCGCTTATATCCCTGCGCTCGAGACTTGCGCCTTGTTTTAAGCGAATATCTACATATATAAAAGATATTTACACATCTGTATATATATACACATATCTGCACTGAATGTTTGTTTAGCGGTCTTTTCCTATTATTTATTTTTCAAGCATGTGTGATTTATAATGATTTATCATCTCATTCGCCGACAAAGAGAGACCAGAACAACAGAATGAAATCATTCACATCTTTTAGAATAGAATATATGTATATGTTCCAAGAAAATTTGAAAACATTGCATATATTATTGACAAAGTTCATGGAAAGTGCTAAACATAATATTAAATTAATTAGTAATCTTTTAATTTAATAAATAACACAAAAAAGTGCAATATTTCATATATTTATATAAATATATATATATTTTTACTATTATTATAATTATTCATTTTTTTACATATATTTTTAAACAAGTAGGTTAAGAGTAAGTATTTAAATAAGTAAGTAAAGATTGCAATTAAAAGGGGGACTCCCAGTCAAAATTGCCTCATTTGTATACTTTTTTATATAGAATTCATGGTTCTAAGTTTGTTATACATTTTTCATTTATTTACAAGGTCTACAGTGGGCGTAAAATTTTGAAATTTCATGCGGACATGGCTAAATCAGCTCGTCTGGTGATGTTCATCAAGTATATAAATATATGCTTGCGTCAGCTATAGATACCAGGCATAAATTTCGTATTAAAATAAAATATCAAGATCTAATATCTATAATCAATTACCCATCATTATAATTTCAAAGCATTTAAAGCACTCATAAAATCTTTTTGGAATGCCAAGTATCTAAGTAAATAGAACCAGAAGTTTAATGTTGCCTGTTGATTGCTAAACACTTTGCCTGGTGCACATCATCGGGACGTGTTGAACCCGTCCAGCGTGAAAGTATCCGAGTGCCAATAATTGATTTAATGTGGTTGAACAATCATAAGTGCATTGCGCATTAGGCCAAACTGTGTGAATTGTTCTGACACGGGAAGAGAGGAGAACAATAAGTAAAAACGACCGAAGACTTGCCCAATTTCTAGATTTCTTTTAAATAAACTCAAAAATTCATAGAACCGAATTTTCCAAGCAGACGCACTTTACACACGCTCGAAAGTACGCACACACTCGAACGGGGGACCACCACAGGCCCACTGATGTAGACACAGACGTGACCGATGGTCGAATAGAATATGTACCAAAGACCAAGAAGAACAAGCAGGAAAATTCATTTCGAAATGTGAAATGTATTTTTCGGCTTTTCGGCCGAGAAAATTCGTGTGCGAATTCAGTGCGACTTGGGCTGCTAACTTGAACGCGTTGCAAACGAGAAAACCATCCGAAATAAAGAAATTTTCAACTAGAAACTAACACATAGATATATCTATACCATCTATCTAGCTGGGCTGTCTATATATACGGATATATAGATATAGATACGAGTATTTTCCTCTGGCAAAAGTGAGCAATGCGTTGTGCCGCGTTTTATAAATAGAAACTTACAAAATTCTCAACAGAGCATTGGTGAAAAAAAGGGTTTTTCAATTTCCTCGCCAGTGCCAAAACCTTAAATTTTTCAAATAGAGTGATCATCCCGAATCTGTGCGAATATTATTTAAATATTATATACTATAGTCTATATACTATATAAATGAGGAAAACTATTTCCAAATGGATTGCTTGTGTTCGTGCCCGTTCCGAAAAATTATATAAGAACGCGTGATATTCTGTGCAAAAAAATAAATAATTCCCGACTTAATATTCATGATTTTCTTTCAATTTTCCATAAATTTTCCAGTGCTTCTGTGTGCATAGGCGTCGTTTGCAAAATCTTTTCGTAGAACTTGCGTGCGATTTGGCAATAACCAACGCCTACGACAAAATAAAAATTGAAAGAGCGCGATTTCTTCCGACAGGCGGCTGTGTGTGTAGGCGGTGTGCAAAAGTGTATTAAAGTTGAACTTGAAATTCATAATAACCGGCTAACATGAGTTCTGGGTAAGTTAATAATCATATTATTTAATGGCAATTCATGTAATTTACAAAATTAATATAGTCGACTGTCAGATTGCGTTTAAATTGCTGCAACATTTCGAACTTTTCAAAACTTAAACCTTTTTTGTTTGAATTTGGAACAGTTAAAAAACAGAATAATTAAGTAAAGTAGAAAGCTCAAAAATACTCCCCACACAAATAATATACTTAAATTATATAGTTTCTAAATATTGTTGCCATATATATATTTTTTCTTTTAAAGTATGGTTTCCTACTTTTCAATACCATTTTCTTCATAACAAATTTACCTTTCAAAGAAACAGTTTTTATGACAAATAAACAAATTTACTTTCATGTTATTAATTTATTTCTCTAAGATATAAGGGCTTAATTAAAATTTGAATATATTGGACCTTTAAAAAATGATTTACAGCTTCCCTATAGCATTAAATCGAAATGTCGAATTTTGCTAATTTACAAAACTGATCGTAATACCTAAAAATACCTAGTAGGGACGACAGCAGCTGCTAATTTTTCCTACCACAACTTATCATCAATATTTTTAAAAGAGTAAACCCAAAAACGAAAACTAATAAAAAGAAAAACAACTGAATCCGGGAAAACTCTTAACACGAGTCGGAGAATAAATAAAACAGATGTGTGTGCATATGTGTATGTTGTATATATAAAATATACTTACATATCATATATGTATGTACATATATCGCTCAACATCTTTATGATCTCTTCTACAATTAAGGCTCACACATGAGTTTTTGAAGGCCATCGGCTATGGCCCACGCCTACGCGCCCACACCCAAAGCTCTTTTGGCCAGTCCCAAATGGTGCACGCGCTTTTTGGCAGGCGACACTTTCGGTGTTCGTGGTCCCTTCCCCTCAGTTTCCTGATCAACATTGTCAGGCCATTTAATTAATTAAATTTCGTATTTTTCACAAACATTTTGCTCGGTTGCACAGTTTTATGTCTTACCCCCAGCGAGGAGGAGGAGCAGTCTTTAAGTTCTGTCTAGAAGCATTTGGCACACGTGTTTCGGAATTCGGACGACTGACGGCATTCACCGGAAGTTTCTCTCAGAGCCACGCACTTCATATAGAACAAATTCCCCAAGAACCTTTCAAAACAAAAAGTCAAGAATTTGGCATCAAATGCATTTGTGTTTTTATGTTTGTCGTATTTTTCAGGTTAAGATGTTTGGTTTTTCACTTTATTTATTTTTGCATTTCTTTTTGTTGACGTTGATGTGTAGCGCATAAATTTTCTTCAGCCGAAAATATGAGAAAAATATATTGAGGAAATTGGGTCAAAGTCTTAAAAGAAATTGACAAATTTGCGAGAGTCAAAATGTTTTAAAAATTTTATAATTCACAATATCACTTTATGATAAATATAAATGCAGCTTTAGTTTTGAAAAACAATTAATGAAGATCAATATCAACAAGTTATATACGTTGTACATTTTAATGCCCGAACTTGAAATAAATATTGTTCAAGTCTGTGTTTATTTTCGTGTGAACTTTTATTAAGTTGAAATTATTTTTCGCATTTTGATGCATTACTGGACATGACTTTGATTTTTTCCAACGACAATTATTTTCACACTTCATTGTCGGCTGTGTCTTCGCCTTTGTTGATTACGTGAATCAGGTGTGAGTTTATTTATTTTTACACATTCTTGCATTTTTAAACTTCGCAAACAGATCGGTGGCCTGAAGTTCAAGCGAAGCTCTCAGTTGACCATGAAATTTGAATGTCAAAAAGGGAATTAAAATTAAAGGAAGATTCCCGAACCGATATGGCAATGGAAATGAAGCCACACCCAAGTGACAAGTCAACACCACCAATTGTTGACTTAATGTCAGCCATGGGATTGATTTGGATCGTTTTTTAGCTATGATTCACGGATAATTTCCAAGAGGAAGTTGGGAAAAATACTCTGCAATTAATAGAATACTTGAGAAATGTACAAATCGAACTGAAAATTTTTTATTTCTATATACTTTCTTCTCTCTCCTTCTCTAAAATCAAACTTTTTCTTTACTAGTTTTTAAATCCAATTATTCGTGTGCCAAAATCGATATCCTGGCTATATTTCACAACTGCCAACGACTTAATCTCTTAGGAATAAGAAAAACATAACACGGGGCGTCTGGCTGGTCTCAGTAGACGATGAATGACGACAACATGTGGCCAGGGTAGAAATAATATTAAAAGAAAAATGCTCATTTTGCATATTCCACTATCGGCGGAGGAGATATATGGGCGCCATCGATTGTGCAACGGGCTTAAGTCGGAGCAGAGCCTGGCGTTTAACTTTCACCCGCGATCGTTGGGGGCGCCGACTCAGCAACGTTGACCCAGGCCAGATTAATATAAATAACTGCGAGTCCCAAGCCAATCCCATGGGCAGATCTGCCATGGATCGGGCTGCCCGGTTGCCCGGCTGATGTGCTCATGTCATGCAATCAACGCAGCAGCCGCAAGAAATGACAAATGCAAAACGAGTTGCACACACTCGGGCGGCAGTCGTAGAAAGTGATGAATGAGTTCCCTGATTGCGATTGCGGAGGCCTCACCCGGGCCACTTTTTATTTTTTTATCATACAATGTATTAAAGTTTTTCCTCAGGCTATGCGATTTTTATTTCAAGGTCAATTTCACAGTGAAAAAAAAACGTTAATAGTTTTGCACGGGCTCGTGTCGGTGGGATTTGGGGTGTGGGCGTTGATTTGAATAGATACTTTGTATACACTTTGAGAAAGTACATTTATTATTATAGCTGTGAAATTTCCGATTTTCAAAATATGTAGAGTTAAATTTTTTGCGCTGATTTTACAATAATTAAGCCAATGAAAAAATAAAACTTTTTAATCTAATTCGCAAATGTTATGTGGTTCTTCTTTAAAAAATGCTTCTACTAGATACATTTAATATTATCCGTTCTTATCTTTAACTTTTTAAAAACTTTTATGAACTAGATACAGTAATGTTTATATATTCTTATCAATATTTATACTCTTCTTTATAGATATCTTAAGCTATAAGGGTATTCCCGCTTCGGTTCTCCTATCTGATCTTGCTTTCGTTTTCTTTTTATGATTAGTTTATCACATTTTGTTTTATTTTCTTGCTAAAAGATTTCTTCTGCTTTTGTTTTTAATGGCATATAAATTTGCTGTGTTTTATGTTGGCAGCATTAAAATAGGTAAAAATAGTATCTAATCGATGTATATATGCCTACGCTTGTGTATGTATTTGTTTTCTTTTGAATATCTATATACATATACTATGTGGATAAACTATAGTTTTGGTTAATTTATGGGATTAAATGGCAGACGAAAAGGCATTGCTTTGGGTAAAAAGTATAGAGAACAATCTGAATAATGTTAATTTAAATATTAAGTCAAATTTACTGCAAGAATACCACACCACTTGCATCAAAACGAAAGGGAAAGAGTTTCTAAAGAAATTAAAGCTAAAGAACCGTGGCAACACTTAGCACATAATTAAAAATCTCATTCATCTCTCACAAAATAAGAAATCACATCTCCCATTTCCCACAATGAGAGGCCTGTGGCTAACTAATTAGATGGCCCTGGTGATTGATGGCTACAGAGTCCCGAATATCTCTGTCTGACCCAGTTTTGCGGCAGCCAAAATACTATTATTGAATGATTTAGGGGAAAAGCACATTTTCGTATATTTTCGTGTGAAATCGAATATTATTGACAGCCACTCGAGTCGACTCTCAAGTGTGCGTCAATTGCCGGTGGTTCTAATGTGTCTGTCAGTCTGCACAATGAGTCACTGCAACCGGAAATGGGCCAGAAGGTACCTCTACCAGGTTGGATTATCAATGGATCTTGCTCCTTGCAAGTGGTAGTCTGGAACAGTTCGTATATGAAATCAATCGAAAGTCAATTCAATGCCCAGAACCTTCCACAAAATCAATTCGCTTCGAACGATGAGGTTGCAGATACATTTTCACTAGCGGCCTGTCGTCTTACGACTTTCCCCTTCTTTGTGAGAGTTTTTAGCTTTTGGCCAGAGCAAATGCTTTTAGCCCAGTCATTCGGTGTTTAAAATTCTTTATCGCTTTCTTGCCAATTATTATTTAATCGCAACAAAGGCTAGAAAGGAAAAAAACAGCAATCTTATTTGTTGTCTGCCAAGGCTAGTGGGCCACATTTCCGCCAAAGCTTGTTAATTAGAGCAAACCGAGTGCGCGGATTCGATAAAGAAATCCCCATGAAATTCCACTTGGAGGAGTGGGAGATAGACTTCGGTTTAATTGTGAAAAGCGACAAAAGTAATAAGCAGACTACATGACAGCGGAGTGAAGACAATTAGCCGCACGATAAGAGATGCAGATACAACCGCGAGATACCAGATACAGATAAACGAAAACGTCGAAAGTATTTGGCGCTTAGCTGGAGATTTGTCGCCAGCATCGAACCACTTTGACAGACGTATAAATGGCTCCACTCCGCTCTGCACCGCTCCGCTGGCCACTGGCAGGCCGTGTATCTTGTGGATACACGGTCATAGACAGCGACGGCCACCGCGTGCCAGGCGAACGTTTGTCATGAGCTCGGTTTTCCTTTTGCGGCACTGCTAAAATGTAAAATGTATCTGCAACAAGTTGCCGAACGACTCGACTCAGCCGCAGCCGCAGCCGCAGTCTCCGCTGTCCAACCTCCAGCGAACCCGCTTCAATGCGCGTCGAGACTCCGCTGCGTTCGGTCGTCCAGTTCGCATCCAAAGATACAAAGCGAACCCGCGAGATACATCTACGCCGCGCGTGTTTCTCGCTAGTGAGTGACTAAAGTGGGCTGTGAGGCCAGGGCCAGATCGGTTCCCGTCAGAGGATCTGCCTCCAAAAGAGAACGCGGCCAGTTAGCGTTAGTTTAGCTTCAGCCAACTCTTTTTAGCTCATGCCTAAAAATAATAATAAGAAAAGATGCGTGAGCGTATCTTTCGGTTCTCAGCATGAGGAAAACCAGCTGTTCATGCGCCTCTTTGATTCTGTTCTCGATTCCACAAAAGAGTCCAATGATGATCATTCTCCTCCGCGGCTGTGAGTCATCGTCAGCGTCGAGCATTTGCCGGCTGCCCTGTGTCAAAAAAGGTTAAATTGACAAGCCACAATCGATCGATTGTTGAGTCACACGCCGTCTAGGTCCCAGTCCCAGTCCCAGTCTCTGTCCCCAGTCTATTGTCCAACCCATAATTTTTAGATTATTCATTGAACTCTTTGTTTTCGCCTTGCGCCAGAGCACATTTGCTCACAAAACTCGAACGATAAGGGCATTTACATTTGCTATTGTCAGAAGAAAAAAATATTACAATTTATTTTCTTTAAGAAAGATAACAAATGAAACAGCTGGCTGAAGCTCTGTTAATTATTGTATAAATTAAACAGTATAAAAAACGTTTAAGCAGAGTTGTACATATACTTTAAAAAAAGAAATCAGTGCCCTGGCTAAGTCAGCTTAATTAAACAACAAAGTCAAGATAAGAAAAGTTAAGAAATAGAAAAAAATAAAAGCAGCAAACAATGGCCACCTCAACGCTGCACTCTCCGGCACCATCATCATCATCAGGCCCTGTTTCGGCCAAGAATCCACAGTTAAAGCGAGTGGTCTATTCCAAGTATCGCGAATTACTTGGTTCCTACAATGATAAGGCCAATGCCATCATAGACACGTTGCCTGCTTATATGGTTCGTCAGGATCGCGGCTTTCAATTATCAACGGATCTGTCACCAAACGGGGATGCTGTCAAAAACTGCACGGATTCATTGTAAGTTTCACTGAGCAAATAAGCAAATAAGTGAGCAAGTGAGCAGGAAAACTTCAAGTGAACAAGTGAATAAGTAAACAACTGCTGGGTCACAAAGAAGGCAAGGAAACATCTAATTTAAAAGAAAAATTTGAATTGAACACCACTGTTTTCCCTACTCTTACTTAAGAGCAATAAGAAATGTAATAAAATGTACTTTATTACAGACATAACATACTACTTATAAGTATATATACTAACTAACGCGCAATAGGTGAAATAATAGCTGAAAAGACCTAGACTGCACAGGCGAAAACAATTTCTAAGTAAATATTTATCGCTAGATTAGCTCAACTGTGGAATGTGGGCGATGGCTGGACGGGACACCCTGTACTCCGCCTGCGGCTTCAGCTATTTATAGGCACACTCACAGAGAGCGGCGGACGGGCGGACAATGACTATCATTATGTCATGTTGCATGTGGCAGCTTTCAAGTTCTCGGTTCTGCTGTTGCCGCTGCTGCTGCTGCCCTTGATCTTGAAATATGCGCAGCCAGCTGCAACTGCAGAAACTTCTAGGCAACGAGTCTGCTCAATTTGCAGGGTATTCAGGGGGTATTATCGTTTCAGGAATTTCTTAAGTAATTAAATGTAATGTAATTTAAATATTGTTTTAACTAGGTTTAAACAAAATGTGTGGGTATTAAGTTATAGAAGTTATACTGACCCTAAACAATATTGCTGCCACGAGTAGAAATCTAAAGAAATTTCAATGTAACTATATACAACTCTGAGATAACTATCTTTACCTACACTATTTTTATTAGCTCAAGTTTAAAAAATCTTATAAAAACTCTTAGGAAAGGTTTGTAGAGTATTCTTTGTGGGGAAATCAAGAGATCGATCGATCTTCAAAAATAAAAGTGTTGATAGTAACATAAAAAATCAAATTTTAATTAAATAGAATCAAATATTTATAATATGTTTTACTACAATTTAAATTATAATTACCTCTTAATGTTATATCCCACAATTGTGCCCCCAAATTTATATTTTCCCGAGATATTAAAGAGTTCATCATTCGGAAACTGAAACTCCTCCCCCGATCCATTTCCCGTATCTGGTCTAGATCCACCGGTTCCACGCTCAAGTCGGTTGCCTGGAGAGGCATATTTGCACGCTCATTTGCATGAGCACATTCAAAACCGAAAACAAAAATTAAAAAAAACGCAAATATTAAAAAGTGAAAATGAAACAGATTTTCCGTTTTTTGAAATTGTTTTGTAAATTGCCATCGTTGCATGTTTTATTCTCATGCACGGATAGATGCTTACGAGGGGAAAAGATTGCTGGCATTCAATTTTATTTTTACCAACATGATTTGGATATTTTGCCAGGAATATATATGGAATGAATCTTGTATATTTAAGGCACAGAATAGCTTTAAGTGACAAGGAAAATGTATCATTGTTAGCAAATTGCAACTAAGTCTGCGAGCAAATCCAGCTAGCAGTCGAACATGCACTTGGTCGTTGGCTCTTCCTGCTTCCAACGTACTTAGTATAGTGTAGTTTTTGGGTCTGACACTTTAATTGCCAAATCTGTCAGGGCAGAGCGAACAGTTGGCGGTCTTGTCTTGTGGTCAATTGCTGGCCATTTGAATCCCCAAGTACCGGGGTACTGACGCCATGTCCCAGCCATTGACGTCACCGGACGACATCTGTCCCTGAGTGCCGGTGCCGCGTGTGCTCTTAGTTTTGGCCCAAAACGCGTGTATCATTTAGTTTTTAATATCTGTCTTTTTCGTCATGGGAAATTTGTATATTTTGTTGCCTGGATTTGAGAACAATGAATATGAATGGTGCTGAGCTAGTCGCCCCAGGAAGTGTCGGTGCACAACCTGATATTTTTTTCTGGGCTTGTCTCTGGCCACCAATAACTTTCATAATCGCGCCTTATAAGTCCGGCTAACGTTTAATAAAGAAAAACAGTTAGCAAAACTGTTGTGTAAATTGAGTTTCCTACCCTGCCATTTACACTGAATCGAGTCGAGTCAATAAACGAATCGAACTGAACCGAACGACCTCGCAATTTTGGGCACGTCCCGACAGTTATGGCAACGCCTGATGCTATTAATTCGCACATAATCAATGGCAAGTTCATCAGACATAGGCATGAGTGCCTCAACCAGCTGGGCATATCTCTCCATAGTTTTCCCCGGTGTGTATAAGGAGTAGACAGCATTTCATCGTTCGCCCCCCCATATGGCGGCAATTAAAGATCTGGCTTCGATTCGATTTGCCTGCAAATCAGACGCCAGACCACACTGGCAACTGAGTTACGTCACTTTTTGCATTTGACTTTGATGCACGCGCTCCAATTTGCATGTAAGCCAGTTCGATACTTAAATCTTACTTGTGGGTGATTTCGCAACTGTTTTCCCACACAACTTGGCCTTTGCGGTTGCGATTACGGTTGCGGTTGCGGTTTAAGTTAGCTTAGCTCTTGGCCAGGTCATCTTTTTTGCAAAAGCGACAGCACCAGAGACTTCACCTGTTCCTGTTCGCCTGACCCACTTGGATGCGAGTCACTCACGACGCACAAGCGCACAACACATAAAAACTAATGAAGCGGGCAACAGGCCCGACCACTTTTCAGAACCCGAACCCGAGATGAGACTCAGCCGCACACATAAAGAAATTTTAGTCAGGATCAACTGAATATCAGATGGATTATGTCCTATAACTTTGGTTTTAGAAAAGATAATCCTGATTAGTTCCACTAAAAGACCAATTTACAATAATCAAAGTCGAAGTTAGGATGATAGAAATATTGATATACCATTGATTTGCTCGAATCTCAACCTGAACATAAGTTAAATCATTATTTTCAAGCTAACAAGTTTTATATATTTACAAGTGTGTTGCATTATCTATATATTTTGAAGTAAATTAAGAAGACTTTAATTTCATGATAGTATTTTTCTTCTTATGTACATTGCAAGCTCCAGCTGCAGTGAGATGCCTGACCATCACTTTCTTTCCACATAACAGGCTTTCATACTTATGCTCTGGCATCGTGCGGAGCATACGTTAACGAGAACGTCACCGAGCATCTTCGATTTTCGCTTTTAATTAGTAAATTGTAAGCACTATAAGTTAGGCAAATTATAAGGAGAAAATGCGGCACTAAGCACCAAGTGTGAATGATTTCTTGAACGTGACGCTGGGAAAGTGCCAAGAAAGTTGCCACAGTCTACGGGGTCAGGAAAAGTCAACGGATTATTAATATACTTTAAAGTGGAACTGTTTTTTATTTGATTTTATTAAAAGGTATTCAAAGTAAAGTGAAATTAAACAAGTTTCAAGAAAACCTTAGTTTTCATTATACAACTGATTAAGATATATTTACTTAATCTCATATTGAAGACTGAATTTATAATAAATTATCATAATGCTCTCTTTTTATTTATCGTATTTCGGCAATCATTTAAATATTATGTGACAGGTAAAGGTAATGTTTTCATTAACAGTTTTATTGTTATTTTTTCGCGATAATACAGCCACCACTTCTCACTTTCGACCTTTCAAATTTTGCACTTCATCGTTCGCCTCACCTTTTATGGACGGTTGTCCATAACAACTTCAACTCAATTCACTTTCCCCCTTGATCGTAAAATATCCAAACATTGGCTCATTGAACTATCGATGAGCGACTCATTAGTCAAGCAGCAGCTAAGAAAGGAAAATCACAAATGAGGGCTTTTGCGAGGCAATAAATTAGAAAAAGATTTAACAAAAATTATGATAAATAGACCGAACAAAGTGGAGACGGATGGTAGATTAGCATTGCCCAAGGGGGAAGCACGCACTGAAAGAAAACCTCTAAACAAATCATTAAAAAATTAATTGCATATTTTAGTATGTATTCTTTTTAAGCCTTTGTGGATAAATTTAATAATGGTTTAGCCGAATAATCGGAATATATGTTATTTTATTAACAGTATTCTTTATTTGTAAACACTTTATTATGTTAAAAGTCATTATACGTAATCAAGTTATGTAAATTAATTGTATTATTCCCACTCTAAGGTATGGACAACGCGGAGGAGGCGGAAACGGTGGCTTCGAGGCCCCGGCCTGCGTCCAGAACGCGATGATGACAAAAGATAAGAAGCCCTTCACCTACACGCCCGGCGGCATCGATCTCTCCCAGATCCGTTCCGAGCGCATGGCCAAGCGCCTGGCCCGGAATGCCCAGTCTGAGGGTGCCACTGGCGCCGCCCAACAGAACAGACCCGCCCAGCCCCAGTCGCCGGGTGGAGCCGCCAGCTCCATTGGTGCCGCTGCCATGGGCATGCCGTTCCAGGTGCTGCCGCCGCCACCGCCGCCGCCGCAGCCGCAGTCTCAGCAGGGTAAGAATGGCACACAATCCGTCGCTGCTGCACCCCCACCACCACCCCCACAACAACCCAGCTCACTCGCGCCGCCCGCTGGTGGAAGACTCAGTGCACCCGGGTCGCCGGCCACGGCCCGCAAGTCGCCGACGCCACAGCGTTTTGAGCCGCCGCCGCTGGGTTTCCGACCGGAGATTAAGATTCCGCCAAATCCCATGGCGGCGCTCCGTAAGGTTCCTCCGCCGGTGGAGAAGAACACATTCTGGAAGGATGAGTACGTCAAAGATCGGTCCAAGAGCCCGTTGCCCGAGGTGGCAGCAGCAGCGGCTGCCCCAGATGCCGTTGATGGTGAGCAGAGCTGAAGGATTTGGCTGGCTTTACATTTCGTTGGGTTTTTGGTTCCGCTACTGATCCCGATACGACTCACCACACATCGCCAGCATTTACTAAGCGGTTGAGGTTGCTTCTTTTAAACCCCCATTCGACTAACCAGACATCCACAAGGCCCTACAAATTGGCAACAAAGATCCTCCAACTAACAGCACTAAATTTGATTAATGAAGTTAAGCAAAATCTATGGGCACTTTATAATATCCTGTCTTTCAAATGTAGGTCCTAGGCCAACGCCAGCCTCCGTGGACAGCAACAGCAACAGCAACAATTATAGCAGCAACTACAGCCCCTACTCACAGCCCTCGTTGCCCTCCCCCAAGACACCTCCACTGCAGCAGCAACAGCAATTGCCAACTCCACCGGCCACACCGCCACAGCAGCAGCATCAGCAAGTGTCGCAGCAGCAGCAGTATCCGCAGCAGCAGTCGCCGCAGCAACAGACCGCTCGACCAGAGTTCCGCAGTGTGCCCATGCCCACATCGCCGGCTGTGAATGTCTACACTCGGCAGACGGACTCTCCTGTATCGCCATTCGAGGCGACACAGCGATCCACCGAGAGCCCCTTCCGGTATGCACAGCAGCAGCAGTCACCTCAACAACGTCCTGCAGCTGCGCTTTCACCATTGGCTCAGACTCCAGTGCAGCAGCAGCAGCAACAGCAGCAACAGCAGCAACAGCAGCAACAGCAGCAACCACAGCAGCAACAGCAGCAACAGCAGCAACAGCAACAGCAGCAGCAACAGTCTGTTCCCTGGCGTACACAGCGTGCACCATCAACTCCACAGCAACCACAGTCGCAGTCGCAGCATCCGCAGCCCATTTACAACAATGTGCAACAGCAACAACGATCTCGGGATGTTTTCAGCCCGGCACGGACTGAATCACCAGCAGCAGCAGCAACGTTCAATGCACAGCAGCAACATTTTGGCACTCAACAAAACCAATATGCCGGAGCGGCCAAGCCGGTGAGTGTGAAATTTAAAGTCCAAATAAGCGAAACTCATAATATTACCAAAGATGTTCAGGTACATTACGCATGTTTACACACTAATTGTTGTGTAATTTGCATATGTCCTTTAGCTTTGAATATTACTCATACTCCACTCAGGGACTATGTCAACACGGCGTATGAGTAATATTCAATTAGTTGCTTTCAAATAGTAAATGACTCGCGGAAACACAAGATATTTTTAAATCAAAATCTATAAGAGACTCTTGCCATCACACTTTGGACGGAACATTGAACGCACTCATCAAGTGCAGTGGCTAAAAATAGATGAATGCAAAGGCCAAACACGAATTTTGAACTTGAGGCAATTGGCAATACATGAAAATGCATTGAATAAAACACTAAATGGGAATAGTATTTGGATTTTTAACAACAAAATAAAAAATAAAATATTCAATTCTTTTTTTGTAATATAGACCAACGTTGGCTCGCTGTACATAGCTCCATTGGCGCAGCCCACAGAGCCCCAGGCTCAACGAATTCTGTTGCAACAGCAGCAGCAGCCATTGGCTCGGGATTCGCCAATGCGACAATTGCCACAGCAGCAGCAGCAGCAGCAGCAACAACAGTCGTCACAGCAGCAGCCGCAACAGGGCAACCAACCATTGAGATGGCTCAGCTCCCAGCCGGCCAGCAAGGAGCAGGCACCATGGGCTCGTCCCGAGGAGAATGGCAACGTGTTGCCCTCCACTCTCAGGCAGACCACGCCGGCCCCGCAGCCCCAAGTCGCACCGCCGCAGCCACAGTCGCAGCTATCGTTTCAGCAGCCTCAGTCGTTGCAAGGCAATGGCTATGGACCAACTCCAATTGCTGCTCCCATTAGCCTTCAAAACTTTGGCTCGAATCCCCAGGCAGGCGGACTACGTTTGCAGATCAATCTGAATACCAATGGCAGCAGCATCAATAATGCCAATAATCAAAATGGTCCAAGGGTAAGTTTGCCAATTAATTAAATATTGAATACAAATAATCAATCCTTTTTATAGGAGCGCATTATACCCATAACTTTGGAACAGACGCCTACCTATGCCGCAGCTCAGCCCAACTTTGGTGGTAAGTCCCTGGCACAGCCTCCTGCATTTGTGTGTGTCCTATACGATATGTGTGGCGCTTTTCCTAAAAACCCGTAGATGTTTGTGACTAAACCCCTAAGTAGATTACTCCCACCACCCAAAAAACCACCACTCCCATGCACTATCCGCCCCCAAAAGGAATGTCCTTCCCAAGTATATCACCTCCTCCTGCAATCCAACTTGCTCTCGTCCAACAGTGTAACTCTCCAACTTCTTTATCACCGTGTGTCTATGTATACTCTTTCTTTCCTACGAAAGCGCCTGCAGGTCACATTATTCGCTCAGCTAATCAATTTGTCGATCAAGGTTATAACAATTTCCCCGCCCAAGCATCGGGCGGCCAGTGGCGTGAGCCAAGCTCCCAGCGGATCCTGTCGCCGCCCAGCCAGCAAATCCCAACTACCGGTGCCCACACCAATGGCAATGCAACCAGGATAATTCCGATCGCTATCGAGGGAGGCGGTCGTGGTGGTCCAGTGTCACCGTCGCCGGTTCTGCTGCAAAAGTAAGTAGAGTCCTGCGTGTTTAGTGAGTTATTACTCCTTGTTGTGCTTTGCCAAACTCAAACAATTGGTCCTGCTCTAATCCGTATTATTTTGTGCTTTCTTACAAACTAATCCAACGACTTTAGGGACAATTACAATTTATTTGTGCACCAGTGTCCGCTCGAGGCGGAGGTACGCTACAGAAAAAATCGTCTCAGGTACATAGTACTGCGAGTAGAAGACCTTAAATTCAAATGTTCAATAATGTTTATACTTCATGCCATGAACTTATCTGTGTTATTGCAATAAAACTAACTAAAGCCGAAAAGATTTACTTTAGAATATATATAGACAGGAAAATTTGATACAATAAGATTCACAAAAATATCACGCTCAATATGATATCAAAAAGTTTAATTGCATTTTTAGTACATCATTTTTGACTTCCTTTTTTATTTAGTTTAAGCATTGTTAGTCTCAAGAAAGTTTAGGCTCTGCTGAGATTAATTTTTCTATATATCAAGCAATCAATAGATTTATTTTACATATGTATATCATAATCTCAAAATATTGATATAAGCGCACAAACAATGGTTTTTCTGTCATCCCTATTTTATTTAGTGACTCTCTTTTTTGAATGTCAATAATAACCATGGGAATTGATCTAGATATAGTTCAGACGTCATGAAATGTAGAACGAGTATATGAAAACTGAATCATTTGTCTTTCGAGATATTATAAGTTCAGTTAAAGTAATAAATGATTCATAAGAAAATCAATATATTGATCCTGATCCTTGACATTAACCATGATTAAGTATGAGATACATTTGTAGTTCTTCTAATCTCTCATCTAAAGCTTCGCCTATTTGCAAAATTATGAAAAATTTGGTTATTTTCATGGTCACATCAAGATTTTATCACAATTCAAGGTAATCATAACACGTAACACATTCGTTTGCACAAAACAAAATCGCTGTAATTTGGTTGACTTCAGACATACTCGATGGCATGCTAACCATCAACCTAACCTAACCCACGCCTATATCTACTTACAGCGATCCACGCTCACCGCCCATCCAATCGAAATCGTTTAGAATATTGCAAAAGATAACAGACACCGTGGACGATGGCAGCGGGGATCAGGGCCAGGATCTGCAGCATCATCAGCAGATGCAGCCGCCCCAGGAGGCGGAGTTGCAGAGGCCACAGTTCGCCCGGCAGATGAGCGCCCAGCAGGCGCGGAATAGTCCGACCATCGAGCAGATGCGTCGCCTCCAAATCGCCCAGGATCAGCAGCAGCAGCAGTCGGGTACGCCACTAGCTTGGTCCCCGCAAGGTGAGATTTGAGTGGTTGCTCCAATTCCCTCCCCCTTTTCCATAGATCCCTCATACAGCATCGCTACATCCGGCGGTGGGTAAGACTCGTTAGAGTGGTGAAAGTGCTTTATCATTGGGAAGTGTCTTTTGGGTGTTTGGGAACTATACTAACAACAACAGCTGCTTTTAGCCACAACAGCACCAATTAGTTGGTAGAAACTAAACAGCTTCCTGTGTCTGTCCACTCGATTTCAGAGATTCGGTGCCACATAATTTATATCAAAAATTTGCAGCACTACTAATAATCTTAGATTATTAAAACTGGACCGTAAGATACTTATAACATAATGTTTTTCTTGCAGGTAATGGAGGATCTGCTCAGAATCGATTCACACCACAACGTTATGGTAAGACCACGACAGAATTAATTAAGGGAGAGATTCCAGGCCTTGAAATGAAAAGTTTTTATTGTTATAGAATAATATAGATAGATATTTCTCTTCCATAGATACTCCGCCACAACAACAACAGCAATATATACCGCCAAGTGAACAGCAAGTCCCGGAACCCAAGAAATACACTGGCAGCGCTATACCCAGTCGATCATTCAAGATTCTACAGGCAATGACAACACCTGAAAATGCCGGTAAGTACAGTTGGTTCAAATAAATACAATATTTCGAAGATACTTTATAAAGGAGCAACCTTTTTCTGATGAACTCAAGTTAAAAGTTTTGAATCTCATGCACAAACATCAGACAAAATAATCATTGCTGTATATATGGTCAGAATTCATCAAGCATCACTAACCCCGATAATCATTTGCTCACCGAAACACAGGTCCATTTAACACTAAATCAAGGATCGTAATTTAAAAATAAAAACCTTTTTGAGAGATTTCACCACCTTTTTTGCCAAATAGTTTCCAGACAAGAGTTTAATTTAATCCCCCCATTTCTTATCATTATTATTTTGATCATGAGACTGACACAAGTGATGCGAATGGAAAAACACTGTTTGACTGCATGTTGACGACAGTTTTTTGTATTTTCTTGAAGCATCCCACACACTCTGCACATTTCAAAGGCATATCGAAAATGGGACTTTCCATTTTGCATTCCTCATGCGACATTTACTTGTATGTACATAGCTTGCCTGACCGTCTAACCAATCGCTAAATCAGACCATATCAGATCAGATCGAAGTTATTTCGAGGCAAACATAAACACAACATTTTGTCTGCGCACTCACCGTGTCTCTTTCTCTTCTTCTTCTTTTATATTTGATAACCGTGTACCAAAAACCGACCTCAGACCATAAAATTCACACCGAGCTGGACTCGGGTTTGGAAAATGTTGAACTGAACGAAACCCCAAATAATAACAATAATGGAAATACTGAAAACAATAATAATAATAATAATCATAATAAGATTAACAATAAAATCAATAAACGTCATAGTTACACCTCAGCCACAAGCACATCCACACCGACACCCACACCACCCCCCACATCTTCATCCAGTGCAGAACCCACTCACTCATCCAACTCATCTCTCAACTCAGATAGCTCTTGTTCCCCGCAGGCACCGCGATCGCAGTCGGTGCCACCCCATTATCCCTATGCCTATGGCTATCCGTATCCCTGGTACATGCCTCCTCCTCCGCCAGTGAATGGTGAGGCTGCGCCATGGCCCTATCCGTACCCATATCCACCGCCACCGCCGCCGGCCCAAGCAATGGACGGAATGCCGGCAGAAGGATTTCCCCCTTACCCCTATTACTACCCCTATTATCCACCGCCAGTGCCTCCCTATGGACAACAGCCAGGAGAGCCGCAATCCCCCTCCACTGTCTATCCCCAGTTTCATGCCATGCCTCCTTATGGCCACCCGTATCCCTATCCAGTAGCTCCTAGCTATAGTCAGAGCTCCACCGAGGAGAGTCGAGCCAGTAGTGTTTTGCCTGACATTATCATCACTCCAAGTACCGATGATATGCCCTCTCAGGTGATCATGCAGCATCACATCCGCGTCCAGCCAAGGGAGCCAACCAAGAGGACGCACTGCGTAGAGATTGAGGAGCTGGTCACCAAGCAGAAACCACGAAGTGTTTGCACCAATAATCACGAGGTCATTGATGTACTGAGCCAGCGTTTAGCCAATATCAACAAGATTGCAGGCGGAAATACCCAGGCGAATCTCTCCAAGCAATTGCAAAAGAATTATGCTGGCGAACAGTCCAAGGAGCTTGGGGACAGATCTCCAAGTGAGAATGCTTCGAACTCCGACAGTGATTCAGATGACGACAGTAGTGAAGACGAAGAAGAGGATACGCCAAAGATGGGGACTCGTCCACCATTGCAGTCCATCAAATCGGTGTCAAATGTGCAGGTCTACAAGGGTAAGACTCTGGAGCAGAATCTGGAGTCCGAGAGCAGTGGAGACGAAGATGATGATGTTACCACAGCTGATGAAATGTATGACGAAGAGGAACAGATCGAGGAAGAGCAGGAATGCCTGGTCGAGGAAATGGACGATGATTTCATAGTTGAAGAGGACCTAAGTGTCATATACGAAGAAGAGAGCGAACTAGAACGCAGCAGCGAATATGCCAAGACAGTCATTAGAAGGGATGACTCTAGATCCACCCTGGTAGATGAGATTGACAAGGAAATTGAAGAAAACGATAATGATGATGAGGATAATGAGTCAAATTCGGTAACGGTTCGATTGCCACTTCGTTTCTCGTTCAGCAAAAGCTCGAATGATGAGAACATCGCCACCGTGCAGGTGGGCAGCACAACTCAGTTCGAGGAGAAACGCCCAAGCGTTGTGAGTTCCTTCAGTGTGGCCACAGTAGAAAGCGAGGACGAGGAGGATGACTGTGAGGTCAGTGTGACTATCAGTTTATCAAACTCATCCCGCTCCAATTCGGTGGAGAAAACTACACATCCTTATAGGACCTCCCAAGCCTATCCCATAGAGGATATTTCCACACCGATCAAAGCCAGTGATGAGGATGTCTCCTCCTCATTGTCACTGGGCATGCGCAACAAATTTGTGGGCGAAACAATAACCAATAGTGGTGTGACCAACAATATTTCCCAAACGGAAACACAGTCCGACAATATAAAGGAAGTTTCCGGATCGCCAAAAGAGGAATTTGATTTCTTTGCCACTTTGATGGCCACCAAAATGCAGGCTCAGAAAATGATGGAACAATCCAAAAACTTATGGAAAACACCAGATCCAAAGCCCGCAGAACAACCAGCAGAAGCTCCAAAGCTTCGACCCAAGGAGAATGGCTTGGAGGCTAAGCCACCTAGGCCCAAATCTGGTGACATGTCCAAGACTCAGGCATCGTTGGAGGCCGCCAAAAATAGCTTCTGGTCTACGTTTGCAACTACCTCAAAGGAAACCGAGTCCCAGGCAGAGCTTCCCGAACAAACGAAGGAAGTTGACTTTTGGGCTCAAATAGAAAAAAAGGAATCCATTTATACCGAAGAGAAGCAGTGGACCAAGAAAAAGAAAACTGTGACCTACACTCCATTACAAAAGGAAACAGTAAATAGGGTGGAGCACTGGACAACAACTCTCAGGGCTCAGGTAGAATCACTGCCCAATTCCCAACGAGCAGAGGTGCACTTTGTCGTCGAGTCAAAGCCAACAGAAATCGAGCAACCCGAAAAGGAAGAGGAGGAGGAGGACTTTTGGGCATCAGTAGAACAGGCCAATGCCATGTCCACTAAGAAGGAAAACAACGTAGTCAATACAAGCTGGGAGCCGCCATCATACAAATCGGAGGTTCAGCAAGAAGCAGAGATTGACATCTGGTCAGCTCAGGAAGATGATAAGCAATCCCCTGATCATGTGGACGAGGAAGTGGACTTTTGGTCGGACATTAAATCAACAAGTTCCCACGACGGAAATAAACCTAATGAGTTTGTGTATGATCCCACCAAATATCCGGAAGAGCCACGCGAAGTTGATACGGATGAAGAGATTGATTTCTGGGCTGAAATCGAAGCCAATCGGAAACCAGGGCAAGAAGACGATGACGATGTAACCTTCCACAAGTCAGCCACCTTCTGGGCTAAAAAGAACGCCAGAATTCTGTAGAGGAGACACCCTACAAGCCAGTGGAAGTTAAGGCTTTCAGAGCCAAGTTACCCGATGAACCAGCTGTTGAGATAGATGTATGGGCTACTCTAGAGGCTGCCCGGGGCGATGAACCGGAAATTGTGGACCCAGTGGTTGAAGAAGAAAAGGTTCTGGCAGAACAGTTCGAGGAACTAGAACATGAATCGCCTGAGGAGGCTACGGAAGAAGAGGAGATCAAGGAACAGTCCCAGAAAGAGATGGCACCGAGCAACCTAAGCCAAGTGGACACCATGTCTCTGGCTTCAATGCACGAGCCAGCCACAGTGTACACGTGGGCACACCCACCCCAGTATGATAATGATGATAATACCGATTTCTGGGCGGATATAGAAGAGGAGCGGTCAAAGAAGGAACAATCCGAGGAGGCGGAACAGAAACGACAGAATTACCGGCAGGCCATGGCCTTCTTCAACACCTCCATAGATGGTCAGCAGTCGCCTCCACAACAAAGTTCTACCCCCAATCGCAGCAGTGTTATCTTGGATGTGGAAGAACCACAAGACGTGGATCTAGGCCCACCTGGTGACTATCAAATAGTGGGTGAGGACGGGGCCATTATGGAGGATTACAAGCAATCGATTCCACAAGTTGAGGAGGAGGAGGAGAGAGGTGCGCCGACTCCCACTAACACAGAGCCACAGCTGCCAGAGGTCTATGTTGAGCCGGAATTAAAACGTCTGCCCAATGGACTGCCAGATCTAGAGGTACAGAAGTTTAGCGAGACCTCAAAGATCTCAGTGCGTGATCGGATCAGTGCCTTTGAGGTGATACCTACTAAGACCGAGTCCAAGGCTCTAACCACACAATCATTGTCTGTGGACAGTGGCCACGGCAAGGGCACTCTTTCGCGTAACAGCAGCACACAGCGTTCCGAATCGGAAATCGAAGAGGATGACTCCGGTGTGACGGATATGAACCGTCAGTTGTCCGAGACGGACACTGAGTCGGAAAGCTTCCCAGAGCTGCGCAAGATGACCAGCTACCAACGAGCAGCCACACATTCCAGACTCTTCAAGCTGCTGCAGGATGAGAACGATGTGCCAGAGGCGGGTGTCAACCCAACCGATGAGTTCCAGCTGAAGCCGAGTCGGAGAAAGATCGTTCACAATGTATCCATCACGAGGCGACAGAATCCCGGAATGCTGAATGACGCTGAAACCATGACACAACGCCGGGAACGCCTCTCTCTGCCGCTCCGGAAAAACACAAGCATCGATGCTGACAACCCTTCGACCCCAAATAGCCCGGCTTCCCCCATTCTGGGCCCCTCCGCCAAGAACCAGCGAGTGGTGAGCGATAAACTGGTCAACGAACTCGTCCAGAGCCTACTCCTTAAGAGCGATAGCTCGCATTTAAGGAATCTCCCCATGGAACGCCTGCAGGCTGCGGCGAAGAGGGCTCTGGTGGAGGAGATGGACTCTGCGCAGGAGAATAGCTCCCTGGACAGCACGCCGGCACCCACACCCAAGCAGGACAAGGAGTACTCCGACTACTATAATAGCTGGTGCGATGCCAGTGGCAGTGGCGATGAAGTGCTGCCCTCCAAGGCCTTCCGATCTCTGCAGGATCCACGCCGAAGCCCCTGGACTGTGCGATGCCCGCGAGTGCTGAGCTCCAAAACTATCAACAGAGACTTGGCCCGAGTCACAGAGTCACCGGAAATAGCCAGTGGTCGGGGTAGCAAGAGTCCTGAGTGTTTCCGCCAGAACTCGCACTCACAGTCCCGGGAACGCTCAGTGAGCAGCTGGCGAAGGGTCTAGGAAACGGCAAGAGGTTACCTATTGTATATAGTAGGGCGGGTCTTAGTCATAGCAGGGATGTGAGACCGGTTCATCTAAAATCTTACCCAAAGAAGTCATAGATTCGAACGAATTAAATCGATTTGAGGTAAAGAGAACTATTGGAATTCTGTGCAAGTTTTAAGAACTAAAACTTGGTTCCTTTCAAACCGGCTCTCGCTCCCAATATTTTTATAATTAGGCGCCATGAGCGTATATTTGCATTTGGCATAAGCAGTCACTGCCCACGGGAACGAGTGATACAAGAGCCAGTTGTTGCATTTCTCATCTCATTATCATCTCTATCATGACATGCACATTGTACAATTTGAAAACCGATACACTCAACACATTAATAAACTAAATCTAATAAATACATGTAAATAAAAACCAAATGAAACCAATGAAAAATATCGTTCATTCGTTCGTTCGTTTGTTACCTCAGTAAAGCGCCACAAAACAAAAATCAAAATCAAAACCAAATTCTAAAACCAAACTACTACCTGAGCATCTCAAAGTTTGTAAGATGTAACTCTCGAAATCGAACTAAATAATAACAAGCATATAAAACTGAAAATATATCTATCAAATCGCCACAGTAAACAACAAAATAAAAACAAATTTCATCTCAACTCAATGATTTTGTAAAACTCGTTCAAAATCCTAAGGTACCTAAAATGTGAAATTTTATTAAAACGAAAATATCCTCAAAGCAATTTGAACTAATTGAATGTTTTCATTATATTCCGAAAATTGTCCTCTATCTATTCTATGTATTAATTTTATTTTTGCCGCTATTTGAGTTTAATTGTGTGCTGTATTCTTTTATAATTTGTCTATAAAAATATTTGCGATATTCGACATAACTTAACTTCTCATAAACTTTAACGAAAGGTTTGTACGCTCACTAATTAGCCAACCTAAAGAGAATTGTAGTAATCAGAACTATTAACGATTTCCAATTAACAATATTAATTTAAACCACCAAAGAATTAGAATATTACACATATATCGCAAATATTTTTATTGTATATCTGTAGTTCCTATCCCAAATGCTTCCCTACAAAAATGAGCTTGGAGAGCAAACTCCACCTTACAAGGAACAACGAATGAAGATTATTTTTTGTTGTTTCGACCATAAACAAATACAATACATATGATATAAATGAAATTGAAATGAATTGTACAATATAAATATAAATTGTCGAAAAGTCGTTCGTTACATTAACCATTCATGAGTTTACAAATGCATAAATAAATGTTTCTTTCTCTTATACTCAATTAACTTGTTTTATACACTCAATAAGAAATATATATTTTTAACAAAAATTAATCGTTTACTTTAATAATGACAATGAATGGCTTTTACCCCGAAAATTAAATTGAACTGACTTGAATTGAAGTTAAAAAAAAACCAACAAGAAATAAACAAAAAAGGTGAAGTTTTCTCTCAAAACCCGATTTGGCTGGCACTTGCACTTTATTAGTTTGCTGCTTAAGTTTTTTATTATTTTACCATTTATTTTCGTTATTTTCTTCCTTTTTGTACACACAAGTCTGAACCCGGATCAGAGTTCACGACTTGACAGTTTAGTGTTAGCTTTATTTGTTTGTTTCTTGCAGTTTAAACTATTGCCATAATAACACTATTCTCGATTTGATATTTTTTCAGGACCTGGACAATCGGACTTATAATTATTTCTCAAAGCCATAGAAATCAATTATAGCAACCCAACAACATCAACATGTAGAAAACGAAACAGAAAATAAATCTGAATACTTATTTTTTATAGTTATCTATAGTTTAAGTACCAGCCACTCCAAGGATCGCCACAATCGTGCCGCTTGGGAACGAAAACAAGTTTTTAGTAAAATTTCTTTACATCGACTAACCCAAACACCATTGTAGCTGAGAAGAGGAGAGTTTTTTTTGTTAAACGCGATTTGGTAGCAGCACTAAACATTAACAACATTACGAAACAAACACACAGCGAAAGCGAATATTTACTAATCCTTAAAAGTTAAGACGAAGAACAGGTGCAGTGAGGTAACAACGAAACGAAACAAGAACTAATTGAATAAATTTATACAAGAAACGACCATGCTTGATATGTATCCGGATAACACGAAAGCGCACGCACATCAAACTCGACTAATAAGATATATTGCAGATATTTGTTATTTACGAAAATCATAATTTCTTTGAACATTTTGCGTATCTTTTATCTCCTATTTTTTAATCATTATTTATTCTCCTCGTATGCATACGAATCTTTTAAAAATGTATTTCAATATTATCATTTTAGATCTATATCAAATTTATTTTGTGTTGTATTATTTTTTATACAATAAACATTTGTAGTAAATAAATCGACGTTGTTTCAATAAAAAGAGATCCGGGCTTTTATTGGTCTAAATTTGAAGATAGATAGATCCCTAGTTAAACGAGGTAAGAGGTTTTAAATAAAAAAATTCATATTCATTTTGGAACGGGGACATATTTATTGTGTCGTTCAAAATTAAATTCGACATATGCGTATACATATTTATTTATTTCTATCAACATTCATCTAACAATGATGTATGTTTATAATGCGTTAATATATTTCATATTTTGGACTTGCAGGTCGATGTAACGCCAACAGGACAACGAACATTTAAAGCTATTTATTATATTGCATAGCCACGTTATACTAGTAGTCTGATAAGCCTGCTAAACATTAAATGCATTCGAGTAATCTTTGTTTATACAGTTTATATGTAAATACTTTTAACAATTCAGTTGCTAGTTAACTTTGAGATTCTTTTGATTTGTACAATTAACTCGTTCGAGATCGAAAATGATCAAATCAAATGGAAAGAATGTATAGTTATTGTGTACAATATTGCTTGGCTAAATGGAAGTATATATTTTGTCATCGAAGTTTTCATTTAACTTGCCGTTTGCAGCTTCATGAGCTCCTGTACAATGCGGAACTCGTGACAGTCGGGGCACACTAAGCGACCATTAGAACGGTTCGTCCGCTGTACCTTCTCGTGGCAGACAATGTGAACGAGTTTCAGGTTTTTGAGAGAAAAAATTTCAAGAAAATACTCGAGAACCGAGATGTCGACTACGCGCTTTTTGTGCAACGAACAATTTCTTTGCGGCTGGCTGACAAGATCCTCCACATTAGCCACCAGGGATGGCAGAATTGTACGGCAGAGTTCGATCTGATGGTCCAGATTCCAGACCTGGAACAAAATTAGATTCTCGCGCGATGCATACGGATTAATAGTGTGCTGCATGGGGCAGCAATTGCCATTCTCCGAATAGGAACCCTGACAGTAGAAATCGCCGAGGTCTGTGCATAGGGCCACCGACCACTCGTCCAGTATGGAGTTCTCCTTGGTGTATTCCTTAATAACCTGCCGCAGTCTCTTGCTGGGCAAAATGCTGCCCGCATCCGTTTCTTCGCCTTCAAGTTGATGCTGCTGCAGGAAGTCGTGCTTCTGTTTGCATCTCCTATCAAACATCATCGAGAAGTAGTCGCAGCCAATGAGCAAATACCGAAACTGGTCAAGCACCGAATTAATAACCTGACGAGCCTTGGCATTTTGTCGGTACAACGGATTTCGGGTTAGCTCTTCTTTGGCCTTGTAATAGTAGCCACGCACTCGTGTCTGCGCCCGCATGGCCATGGCCTCCTCCTTCGAATGAAAGCGCTCCTCTCCGCCCTCAAACCACTCCATATGCTCGGCCTTCAGACTTAGGTGGGCCTTAGTGTTGTCAAGGACGCGTCGCTGCTTTTGGAGCTCGTAATCCGTGATCATGCGGCGGAACTTCTCCGGATGCTTTTCGATAAACTCGTAAAAAATGTCCGCCACTTTTAGAAGCGGTGACTGTTGTCGCATCTTCTCAAACTCAAAGTCTGCATCTGTAAAGGAGCAGGCATAGAATTAGTTATGTATATTATTTGTAAGTTAATAATATTAAGTTTACCAGTAGTAATGACTGCATCCGGTCCTGCGGCAATAAACAGCGTCTGGGGCGGCAAGCTTTCCAAGTACTCGTCATCGGACACCTCGAAGCCATCGGACGCCAGATACAAGTGTAATTGGGATAGCTAAGGAAGGAGTAAACGAATTAGGTGAACTTTCCTTGACATGGCTTAATTAGGACGAGGGCATGGTGCTGGTGCTGGCTGTCTCGCCTAAATTCCTGGTTCAGTGGCCTTCAGAAAAGGTTTTTTTTTAGCCGGAGCAAGGCCAGCGAAGCAACAAGTGTCCAGTCTACTCCCCAGCCAGGATACGCAGGCATGCGCACTGGCTGCCAAGGCTGTTGGCATTGAAAGAGAGCCAAACAAATGCGGAAGCCACTGCCAGGGACGTGGCCTTGAAACTGCCAGGGCCAAGAACTTTCAGCACCAAGCAGGGGGAATTTTTCAGGCTCTGTTTGCTGCAAACTCACCGGAAACTTGTTGTTCGCCTTAAATAGTAGCATATCCAGTGAATTGGCTCCAATGCCGTACTTTCTGGTTCGATCGTTATCAGTAACCTTGTAGCCACGCATAGGAGCAGCTGCTGCTTTTTCCCTCGATGTTGATAAACCTTCGACGTCCTTGAGATCTTGCCCTGGGCTGTTGCTGTTGCTATTGTTGTTTTTGCTGCTACGTGTGGTTGGCGCCATGATCGCTTCTCTAATGTAGTTGAGCATCGTGGAGCTGGGTCATAATAGTTTTCACGTTTGGAGTTGTATTGGAGCCTTCAAGCAAGTTTCCTTTTCCGCGGACAAAAGCCCAAATAAACCAAGTGCAGCAGTGTTGGCAAATACAGTATCCACTTTTTGTCCTCAGTGGCAGTGTTGACAAAACCATAGCGGGTAAAAAGCTAACAAAATAAACCATTCAATACTATTAACAAAAATTATAATTATAAATATTAATTAAAAACCAAAATGAATGAAATATAAATAAAATAAAATAATTTTTTACATTTTATTCATATAGAAGCATTGATTGAAAGCAAAAACATAAGACTTTAGCCAACAAGTGAAAATTCATTCGTTTTATCATATATACTATTAGATTTATACATTACTAAATTTATACGTTTAAAATTTCACTCTCTCAACGGTATTAACAACATTCGGCTATAAAATAGTTAAATCTCTGGCAAATTTATCGTTTACCAACACTTACCCTGCTTCAGAAAACAGCTGTTTTGCCTAATCGTCTTTTTTTTTGTTAAGAGTTGTTGCGAAAAAACTACAACAAACGATTTAAAAGTGTAACATGTTCCGGGCTACAAGCTTCGCGTAATAACACGCCTCCCCAGATACCGTCGTGCGATGAATCTGCGGCCCCGCTGCCGCAAGTGGCTGCCACTGGCCACCCAGCAGCTCCGACTACGGAACCTGGCGCGAATTCAGGGATTTAACATTGTGTCCGGGGCCCTGGAGTCAGGGGAACAGAAGCAGATTGAGCCGGACGTGCTCCTCTACTACACGCTGCACACCGACAAGGCCAGTGAACCGTTCTACACTAGCGAGAAGCTGCCCCAGAGACATCAGCAGCAAAAGTGGGCGGAGATTTGTACGGATGACGAGGCCTGGCGTAAGTCGAATGCGCAGTGCGTGTGCATAAGGGTGTGGAAACACCGACCGGCGGAGGGGAGAGATGGCCAACCAACTGAGACTGAAAACAGGACTACAAAGATGTGCAGGTGGGGAAAATGTCGCCTTACTCTACCCGAAGTTTTCTTGACCCATTTCCTTTTTCCAGGAGGTCCGCCCAACAGCAAACCCCTAGCAAGTTGCCACGCCCGCCCGAGCTGTTGTTCACCTGGGGTGTCTACTTCTCCGGCCTTATACCCCTGTCGCCACTAACCCTAGCCAAGTGTGGTCGTAATTGCTTGGTTTTTCAGTTAAACGGCGAGCAGTTCGCATCTCCGTTGATGATTACCGAGCAGGGCCTACAGGCGCAGCTGCATTTGCATTATCAAAAGTACGCGGAGGAAGAGGAGCGGGAGGAACCCCGAGATGAGGGAATAAATTCGCCGACTGCCAGCCGCAGTTCCAGTCCTGTGCTGAGGATGAGCACGATGCGGTATGCCCAATTAAAGTGCCAGCAGCATGAGATTCGGCGGAGCTGCAACCTGGACAAGCTGTTACTGCTGCAACGTTTGCAGCGACTGCAGCAACAGAAGCTACGCCAAATGATGGATATCAAGAAGGAGATCTCTCGCCTCAGCGTCCAATGCGTGACCAAAAACGAGCTGCGCCTTAAGCCTCGCACTACTTCATTGTCCGGCGACCATGCTGCCCACCATCATCACCATTCCATGGGACGTGCCCTAAGCGTGCTGCTTGCTGAGCAGCAACAGATCTCGCCCCTTACCCTGTACAATGCCCAGCAGTTGACCAAACAGATCGAGCGACTTAGCAGCCAGCAGCGATTGCTGCAGACAGAGCGGGAAACCTTTCGACAGCGCAACGAACAGGTTCGCCAGCGTCTTTTATTGCTCCGTGAGCAACGGGAAAAGCTGCAGCAACAGTTGCATAATCGGCGGCTTCGGCTGGAGCAGGAGTGCCTAGAGCTGCGCACCATGGCTCCTCAGCACTTGGCGCAGCGAGATCAACGACGTCAAATAGTCCGACAGGTGAAGAATCTCCGGCTAGGTCTGGTTGTCTGAAATAATTCGAATTTTGTTGCAGGTGGAGCGCCGAATGTCGACACTGGTGCTGGAGCTGCAGGAGATCTACAACATTCAGAACGTGGGCGGGCAGCAGCTTAGCATCTGTGGCATCGCCTTCCCTCACATGGAGCAATATACGAGCGAGTCGCGTCAGGCAGGAAACGCGCAATTGATGGAGAATGTCTCGCCGCTGGCGGTGAGTGCGGCCCTGGGCTACATAGCGCATATGGTGCAAATGCTGTCCATCATTATGGACCGACCGTTGCGAAACCGCATTCTCTATGAACCCTCGAGGGCACGTATTGTAGACGATATCAAGGAGTTGACCTATACTACCAGGGAGTAAGTGCAGCGTAGTCTAGTTAATTATACATGGTTTTTTACGTTGCTTCTTTACATTTCCACCGCAGATTTCCCCTTTACACACGATCTATACTTCCGTCACAGCAGACAAAGTATGCCATTTACCTGCTGCGCCAGAATGTGTCCCAGCTGTGCTTCGACATCACCGGCCACTGCGACCTACGGAACACCTTTGGTAATCTGCTGGAGCTATTTAACACCCTTCGTTACATCGAACGCACGCAGCGGGACGACGCCGATCAGCGGGACGGAGGTGGCAGTGGTGGAGCCCGGCTGACAAATGGATTGTCAGCGCCGCCGAACTTGTCGCAGTCCCACTCTTCAGTAGACATGAATCATGTGCCGCTGCCGACCAGCGCCAATTCGGCAAAAGATGCACTACTGCAACAACTGTTGCCACCGGGGGTCAGTCAGGCTTTGGCCATCGAAGGATATGCGTCAACGCAACGGTAGGCTTACCTTTTTTTTTATATATTTTATCCTATTTGATATATATTGACACCGCTTAACCTCCCACTGCTTTCCATAATTTTCGTAGCATCTGCCGATCGGTGGGTTCTTATTCCGATGGTGAAGATGATTATCGGCCTCGACTGGAACACAACTATTCCAATTCGGACTCCAACATAGCACTTCAATCGGAGCGAAGCTGAAGGGCGATAGATTCTGCAATATAATTCAGGCGTTTTATTCAACTATATAAACACAGCAATCTGCAGTTGTTGCAGTTTTTGGAATGTATTAGTTCAAGAAAAATTTGTGTGTACTTTTCTATTTATCAAAGTTCGAGGGCAATGCACAGTTGGTATAATTGCTTTCAACGAAATAGAATGCGATTATTTATGTGTATATTATTTTTAGTTGTTTAAGAGATCTCTCTGTAAATTCCCTTTTATTATTGTTTGTTTGCTAATATAAGCTACGAATAAACATTTTATACACACCAAGTTAATACATTTCTGTTAGTTTTACCAAAATTAACTTTGGAATTGCTGGAATTTATTTCAAATTATTCTTTGGCGCCAGCTAGTGTTGCAAAATGGTATTGTGATTGCATGGGCGTAGAAAGAACCACTGTTTGAGGACTTATGGAAACAGTGCCCACTGGCAAAATTGGCTTTTTTGACAATAATTAATATTAAATATAAGATTTTCTATATTTTGTTTAACCAGAAACATTATCACAACAAAACCATTCACCAGACATGTTTGCCAAAGCCGCCAGCTTGAGCTGCACAACACTGTCACACCAGCTGATTCCGTTTGGCCAAAATTATTTCGTTGGCAGCTCGGTCGTCCCGGTAATTCGAACATTTTAATAAGACTATCAGGCTAATAATAAATAAATATCAGTCCGGGAGGTGCGGAATGAAGTGGAGCATAAAAGTGCGTAATAGTTGGCTTCCGAGATTGACCCATATCGACGAGCGGATGAAATGAGAACCTCGGTGTGTGCGTGTGTATTGCCCGATGCGCGAGTGTGAGTGCCATTGGCCCGGGAGTCTTGGCCCCGTATTTATTATTCTTTATTTCTGTCAATTAAAACACCGATCGCACAGTGAGTTTATGATGACGAATTGTGGTCTATAACTGTCTCGACCGATAAGCGCTGCTGGATCGTCGGAATTCCGCTTTGGGGAATGCCTGTGATTTACGTTTGCCACCCATGTTTACCGCGCAAACAAAAAACTCAGGTGTGATAAGAGAAGCACCAGCAGACTTTACCGAATTTCACACCGGCCTGTATACCTTAGATTGCTCAACGGAAACGTGGCACTAGGGCTAAGTAGAAGAGTGCAGCATTTACCCCTTATCAACTGGACGGTGAAGACTGAAAACTACATTTACCAGTGGGGCAAGTTCGCGTTCCGATAAGTTCAACAAATTAAGCAGGCGCCAAAAGTAAACACCTGTGTCTGTGCCTGTGCGGCTCTGCCCCTGCTCTACAATGGCTGATAACAATGTGCCGCTACGCGACTTCGACGAAGAGAGCGAAACGGACTCGGAGACGGAATTGCTCATACGCAGAGACGTCCCAAGCAGCAGCGGCAGCAGCAACAACAACCATGGCAGAGGCAAACGCCGCAAAAGCTCTATGGGCTATAGCGGCGCTGACGGCGACGTCGGCGCTGGCAGCTCTGCCGCCGGCAGCTTTCTGGGCAATCTCTTTGGCCATAGTCTCGGCTCTGCCGCCGGCCAGATACGTTATAGAAATGAGCGGAGTCGCGAGCGCGCCAAAAACTCAAACAGCAGTCACGGCAGCAGCAGCGTTTCGAAACTGGCGCAATTAACGCACACGTCATCGGGGGCGGGCAGTGGGAGTGGCAGCGGGGTCGGTGTCGGCATCGGCGGAACAACACAGGGAGATAGTGCAGCGACGCCAGGAGCAGTACCTAGCGATCTTGCCAATGGCGGAGCACATGGCGTCGTCGATCCGGAGAACGGCTCATCCACGGTCTTCTACCAGCATAATCGGCGGAAGAGCAAGAGCCGCAGCATTGGAAACATCTGCAAGGTTTGTCTGTGCAGGTGAGTTTCCACGTTCCCGTTCGTCAACGCTGCGTATGCGCAATATTTTCATTTCGCTGTTGCAATTATGGCGGGGAGTTAAACGACCGTAAAGAGACATAAAACACACATAAGTGTGTATAGACTTACATACATACAGTTAGAGTCAGCTAAAAACTTGCGATCTCTTCTTCATTTACTTACAATTATTTTAGATTCTTTAATTAAAGTTATAGGATAAAATTAAAATTTTTACAATACATTTGCACAGTATTTTGTATGTAACTTATGTTACGTGATAAAATGATGACTTCAATTGCTTAATTGTTAATAATTGGCACATAAACACTATGTTAAAAAGTATTTTTAAATTTTAAAATCATCATTCTTGATTTTACCGCAAGCCAAAGTTTTACTACCGTCCTCTAAGAGCTAATATGTTAATTTATTAAAATTGTGCAAAATATAAAGAAGATTTTATTAATTGTTCTATAAATAGTTGTTAAATATTCCCGAGAGGCCAAAATAAACATAAAATTGTTGACCCTACAGCTAAAAACTGTGTTATCAAATACACAATGCAGACAAAAAAAAAAAGAAACGAATCAAGCGAGACCCGAAAACATCATAACTTTCCAAATCGCACAAAGGCCACATTCATGTATTACTAAAACCAGCCATTTTTGAATTATTTATAATATAAATTTTATATACAAACTTTTTAAATGCAGGCTATGAGCAATAGATATATGAATTCACATCGAACAAGTTGTTGGGTTCTGCCACTCGCCTTTTGTTTATTATTTCTTGGTCTGAAAATAATCATATTGCTCGACATTTTTATACCCTTGAAGGGTATATTATTATTAGTCAGAAGCTTGTTACGCTGTGAAGGAGTCATTTCCGACCCAATAAATCATATATATTCTTGATCAGCATCAACTGCCGAGTCGATCTAGTCATGTCCGGTAGATAAATAAATTTTTTAAATTTTTTCAAAATTTTATAAGGGGTTTCATCGTTAAAATTGTCAAAAATTGATAAAAATTTTAATTTTTTGAAACTTTAAATTGAGAACGCAGTTTTGTCAACCTAATAAAAACTATGATAGGAAAGCTTTTCTAATTAAAATAAGTTGTTTCAAGGCTTAGTTATAAGTTTTTAAAACTTTGATTTGTCGAACAAATTTTCATATAAAAAAATCGATAAATATTGATTTAAAGATCCTATAGTTCAATATTAAACTGCAAGGGTATATAAACATCGACTTTTCAAAGTTAGCTTCCTTTCTTGTTTGGAGAGATTTCAACCATTTCTCAGCCATTAGCTGTTTCTGTTGCTTTGCAGTTTTCCGAAATTCATTTCCACGAAAATAGTTCTGCCTAGTTCTGATGTTTTGAAACGCGAGTGGAGACATATGTGCCACTAAATGACATACATATATATATATTATTCTTATATACCTACAATGCAAGCATCTGTATATATGTATATAGCGATTTCGAAATATATTTTTAATTTACCTAATTAGAGAGGGAAACACGAGAGAACTTTTGAGAAAGGCCCCACATGTGAAAAAACAAACAAACAAAGAGGCATACATATACGACTGTAAGTGGATTGGAGCAAGGTAAATTGAAAACATTTCGGTTTCTGCGACGAACTGCAAATCGATAAACGTGACGGAGGGGGCCCCCAGACACGTTCCAGGGGAAAGAAATTTCAAGAAATAGAAATAATAACCAAAACAAAGCTATAAATAGTGGCCCAAGACACAACCGAGTCGGATGACAAAGCGTTAAAGTAAACGGAAAACGTTTCGCCACAATTCATAGGCAAACACAAACACACGTGGAGTGTTTTGTAGGACCCTAATTGTTGCAAACTTTCCCCAAAATGACCCCTCCTCCCACGGTTACCAAGGTATTTTTAATCAATTTTCGTGCGATTTAGAGCCAGAGTTGCGGGCGACCAATAAATAAACAGTGAAGACACCAAGTAGAGCTTAAAAAAAAGTTCCAAAACAAAACCAGTTTCAGGCTACTCCTCAGCTGGTTTAGATAGAGATAGTGGTTTTCAAGGTTTCTAAAAAATTCAAACGGGTTGCACAGAAGTGGCTTAAGGGTTTTCGTCGGTGGTCAGTCGCTGCTTTTTGTGTCGAAAATTTTAAGTTTTGCTGCTGCCTTCTTGCAGCTTAAGCCGAGCAAAGTAATGACTAAGCAATGCATCGATTTGTTTGCTCAAAACAAAAACATATAAACCTACACTCATCTCGTAATTTGTAATTTCTTATTACTTATTTTGTTTCCTAATAATTTCGCAAATGCCTTTTGATCGCCCACTACCCTCGGGAGATTTGATATTTCTGGAGTTTTTTGTCGGTAAACGTTTTGAATTGTTGAAGGTTTTGTTACCCTTAAGCCTTCCTGTAAATTGTTTGGGTGTTTTGTTTGCTTCATTATCGTGGCTCCACTCCGATTTCCGTTTCTGTTATATGAGGCACAAAGATTTCGACAGCCCGATTAGAATTGCAAAGTGAGGCGCCATGCGGCACATTGTGGTGCTGTGATTTTTGCTGCTGTTGCTCCCAGAGCTCAGTGTTGTGGAACCAACTGAGCATTTTGGACTTTCCTATTCCACCTCCAAACATTGTGGGTTAGAGTATGTCCATTGGCTTATTTGGCTAAGTTTTAACTAATCTGAAAATGCCTAGCATTAAGGAACTGAACATACCCCTTAAATTTAACCATTATTTCATCCCAAATCTTATTCTAACAGCTTATGTGCTAGGTTAGCCAGTGTAGTAGCTTAAGTGCTTTTATTTTGTGGGTTACAATAATGCAAAGCAAATGCAACATAAATTCGAATACGTAAACTAGATACTAGTATAGTTTAGTTGTCCCAAAAAGTGACAATATGATAACAATCATGTCAAGCTAATATCTACTACTACTACTACTACTACAACTACTATTAAACTATTAGACTATTATGGTTTGCATTCTCTGTACTCAATAGACCTAAAACAATTTAATATCTGACAAATAAAAGACACTTATCTATCTAACTCACAAGTGGTTTCAAATGCCAAAATTTGTTTAGATGTCATTTTATATTGGGGAAACCTAAATTGCTTCAAAGCTTGATAACTTTTGGGATCATAGTGTCATAAAGGAAGTGACATGATACTCAAATCAGCTTATAGTATATAGTTATAATGACTATGACAATTGGCAACTGGCAGCAGACTTTTCCCAAGCATTTTTCACTTCGCCGCATGCAAATTGGACCGGGCCACGTCGCCGAGAGTTCTCCTCTATGCGCTACAAGCTGTCAATGGCAACGCCTAATGCTATTATTTTCTAGTCGCCGTTAGCTGGTTATCTAGTTGTTATTGTTGCGCCTATAAGCGAATTCAAATGGCTGGGAAAAGCAAAAGCGACCAGGTGGGGAGAGCTGTGGCAGCGGACGACAACGATAGACGCCCGCAACTTGGCCTGGCTTTGTTTTCCCACCCACCGGCAATGTGGGTTAATAACCAAAAGCCAGAAGGTATCTTCTGCCACTATCGGCTCTCTTTCTATTCCCGGTTACCCTCAAAAGGGTACATATATTGTGGGTACTTTCGTGTATATATGTATCTACAAAACTGGTTTATGTATATTTGCTTTTAACAATGTTATGTGTGTTTGAGGATATTTTGAATAAATACAAAAAAGGAAACTTAACTTGAAGTCATAGCTCAAATACCTTTGCAGTTGGCAATTAAACAATAGGATCGAATCGGATATTGTTTATAAGTAAGCTTAAAATTAAAATATTCACATGCTTTAAATTGATATTTATACTAATTTTTATGTGAGAATTTTTTCGATAAATCAAAGATTAAAATACTCATAACTAAGCAAAAAATTAATTAATTTCAGTTGGGAAAGCTTTCCTGTGTTAGTTTTTATTAAGTTAATAAATCTACAAACTCAATATTAAATTAAAAAAAAAAAAAAATGCCAATTTTTGAACATTTTAACGATGTAACCCCTTAAAAAATTTTACAATTTTTATAAAAAAAAGAATTTTTTTAACCGGATATGGCTAGATCGACTCGGCTACTGATACTGATCAAGAATATACATATATAGGGTCGGAAATGACTCCTTCACTGCGTTTTAAGATTCTGACTGAAATAACAATACCCTGCAATGAATAAAATAAGTTTGCAAAGAAGTCATGAAAAAAGGTCAATAAGTATAATTCCCTTTAATTTCAATACGATGGACAAGGCATACATAGTTTTTACACATTTTATAAACCGAGAGAACTACGTAAACTATTACAAACATACTTTTTAACGATTTGTTTACTTCTCCTAGAAAAAAAAATTGTGCAACTCGACAAATTTGTATGACAATTGGCAGCTGTTTTGCAATGATATTTAATGAGAAATGCGGAAAACCATTTCAGTTTAAGCAATACAATGAAATGAAATCTGCTGAGGTATACGAAACACTTAGAAGTTTCCAGTTAATTACTCAGAACAAAACGAATTGCGGCAATTATATTTTACGATGCCTGACAAGTGACAACAAACGAACGCACTTGAATCTATACCGAGTGTTGGCGGCGTTACCTGAATCATAGTTTTACTCAAAAAAGGGAAATATCCATAAAATTACATTTGGGTTGGTGTAGTTTAACTAGCGAGACATACTTTGTGATTATGGAGAAACGTAAAGGCCATTGCGGGTTAAAGCGCCGACAATTATTCTCGGCTTTTAGCCACTTTGAAGTGCAATCTGAGTCACTTAAGGGATCGAATTCTTTCTCTCTTGGCCCTTTTGCCTCCGCTGCAAGCGGAATTTCTTTTGGCCAAGTCGTTGAACTTTCGCTTTGCCACTTTTGGGCAACTTTTTCTTATGAGATCATGACACGAAATCGTCTCGCAAGCGAATGTGAGTGTTATATTGACAAAACTTGAAGGCACGCTCTAGTCTATTCGCACACACCCAGCGCAGGCAGGCGGCCAAGTAGAATGGCCATAAAGCTGCGTTGGAATGGAAACAGAGAACGAAAAACAAGTTTACTGGGAGGCAAACAAATAAGAGGAGCAGTAGAGGGTGATGATGATGAGATGGCCGCGCACATTTCGCTGATCTAAGCAGCTGAAGCGTAGACACTCGGAAAGAGCTTATTTAATTAACGTCTGAGTGCTAACGAAAGCGGCGAAGAGAAGCTGCTCAGTCAGCAGTCGGGGCCATAAATAATTCGCATTACCCGTCTGACGCTATTTAAATAAAGCGGGCTCCTCACAGGGTTGCCACCTGTTGAAATCTCAACATATGGCAACGGGGATGTTTAGTTAGGAAGGTGAACATTTGGCAATAATAGTATTTTTTTGTTTTAATTTTAAAACAATAAAACGAAGAGTTTGTTGACATTTTCTTAAAAAGCTTTTTCAAATAGTAATATATGTAGATCTGAATAAATCATGTCCGTGAATTCAAATTGTATATTTATATTTCTTATAAAAACATGTGTATAAATAGTATCTGTATCTTAATATACAATAAATAATTGCTGGCTGAATATTAAAATACGCAATTTCAAAAGCTAGCTTGTAAGCTTAAAAAGCTTTCTGTATTTTTTTTTTAGTTTTTTAAATATACCAAATATACCAGATATAGCCTGAAGAAAGCCAAACTGGCAACATTGGACGCAGTTTTGATGATACGTAATTTTCACTCGAGTTTGTTTTGTCTAAAAGAATTTGCCTAATTAAATATTTCAATTACTTGTGCGAATTGTGTTAGTGACTGTGCCCTGTGCGTATCATGAGCAGGGCCAGTAGTGATTATGTGACAGTCGCAGAGCGAAACAAAGGCATCGAAACTGACGCTGCAGCTGCAAAGTACAAAGGCAGGCTGTAATAGACTCAAACGTTAAATTAGTGGAGCAAAACGAATAGAAAATCTCGGCCAGTCAGCAAACATGGATGATGCCACTTCCCAGAACTCGGCTGCAACGCCCATGACGCGCGAGAATATCCCGCTGCTGAATCGCCAGCGCAGCCGATGGTATCTTTTCAGGTGTGTGAATCATCGCTGTAGCGAAATTTCCCCTGAGCTCGACCAGTTCCAGTGACGATTTTCTCCCCTTGCCTTATCAGCGCCCATTACGATTAATGCAGCGACACCGCTTCCTCTCTTACACATCCCCTTGCATCTGGCTGTTTCCCTCACACTCACACTTACACCCAGACTCCCACTCAACCCCCCACAATCACACTCTCAAACCAAATGACCATGCATACACATTCCGCTGTGGTTGTCGTCTGGGTTTCACTTTTGTTTATTTTTCGAGTTTTCATTATCGATTTTCCTTTACGTTCAAGGTCGCCTCCTTTGCATAGGTTTATGGACACCCGTTATAAGAGCGATGTGTGTGTGAAATTTTAATTTAATTGGTTTTCGAAAAGCCCTTACCACTGATCGTCCGACATTACCAAGTCAAATATGGGGAGCTTGCTACGAAAAGGGAATCTTAAAAAGGAAGGGCACGTAAATTAGGTGACAACTCGTGCGAAGAATAGGTTCTGTTCCGACACTTAAAATTCAATCAAAACAGCTGATTTAAATATTTGTTTTATGGCAAATACACAGCTCCTGTCGCAGACACCCAGCAGTCCTTTTTAAAGACAGGATCTACCATCAGTAGCTACCCAATATCATTTAATTCGCTAGACCTTCTTGGGCAAGCAGGAATACGCTGAATTCTTCAGTTAGTTGAATCTCTTGACATATTTTGTTTTGTTGTATAAAAAATGTTGACAAAATTCTAGGTGAAACAATACAATTCAGTTTTAATAATAATATATTGGAGAGTGAAGTTCGTTGCTTCTGCTCTTTTCATGTTATACGACTGTTAAAAAAGAGGTCTATATGGCTTACCGGGAAGAGTCACCGCCACAAGGATGTTCTTGGCAAACACTCTGACGGAGAGTATCGTGATACTAATTCTCGTGTGTCTTTACAGCTGCTGGCGCAAATGGTTCCGACCGCGCGAGCTGCGGGCTCGCACCGTTAACCTCGGCCGGGTCAACACGGAGAAGTTTCCCCCGAACGAGATCCGTAATCAGAAGTACAACTTCATCACCTTCCTGCCGCTGGTGTTGTTCGAGCAGTTCCGCTTCTTCCTCAACCTTTACTTCCTGCTGATGGCGCTCTCGCAATTCATACCGGACATCCGGATCGGGTATCCCTACACTTACTGGGGCCCCCTTGGATTCGTCCTGATGGTCACTATTTGCCGAGAGGCGGTCGACGATCTGCGACGGCATCAGCGGGACCACGAGGTGAACTCCCAGAAGTACAAGCGGCTGTCGGCCACCAGCACTGGAGGGTACGAGATGGTGCCCAGTTCCAAGCTTAAGGTTGGCGACGTTATCATTGTGGAGAAGAACGAGCGGGTGCCAGCCGATTTGATCCTGCTGCGGACAAGCGATCGCAGCGGATCCGTCTTTGTGCGAACTGATCAACTGGATGGAGAGACGGACTGGAAGCCCAGGCTGGCCGTTCCTTACACCCAGAAATTGAGTCGCGACTCAGAGCTGCACAGCATCGACGCCAGCTTTTATGTGGAGAAGCCACAAAACGACATCCACAGCTTCATCGCCACCTTTTGCATGACGGACGGCAGCGAGGACACCGGACTAAGTGTAGAGAACACGCTGTGGGCCAATACAGTGGTGGCGGCGGGCACAGCAACCGGCATTGTAATCTACACCGGATGCGAGACACGCAGCGTGATGAATAACTCACAGCCCAGATCTAAGGTCGGCCTGCTTGATATGGAGATTAACGGATTGACCAAGGTAAAGAATCCCTAAATGACGGCTTATATGGCTTATTAAACTAATTTTCCTATGTACATTTCAGGTTCTTTTTTGTGCCGTGCTGGGTCTGTCGCTGGTCATGATGATGCTGAAGGGATTCGGCGGCCCCTGGTACCGATACATGTTCCGTTTCGTGCTCCTCTTCTCCTACATTATTCCTATCAGTCTGCGTGTGAACTTGGACATGGGCAAGGCCTTCTACTCGTGGCAAATGCAGAACGATTCGAATATCCAGGGAACGGTAGTGAGATCAACAACCATACCAGAGGAGCTTGGCCGGATATCATATGTGCTGACGGATAAAACGGGCACACTGACCCAGAACGAGATGGTCTTCAAAAAGATCCATCTGGGCATCGTGTCCCACGACGCGGACACCTTCCATCACATTGGCCAAATGATACAAAAGCTGTCGGGAAACATTCTGCAACAGCAGCAGCAACAGGGTAGCGTTTCCAGCTCGAGCAGCAGCGGTGAGTCAAACAACAAGCCACCCATTATGTTTGCCGGCAATAGAATGCGACGACCGGAGGGCTGGCGAGAGTGGGAGGCAGTGCGAGCCCTGGCTCTGTGTCACAATGTTACCCCGGTGAGCGATGACGAGGACAATCGATCCGTTTCAACGGCATCAACAGTGACCGGCGGTAACAACTCTCCCACCAAATCTGTGATAAACATCGAGGCCCCTGGCAGTACGGATACGGAGCATCAATATCAGGCAGCATCGCCAGACGAGATAGCTCTGGTCAAGTGGACGGAGCAAGTGGGCCTGACCCTGATTGCCAGGGATCTCAACACAATGACGCTCCAGGTGAAGACACCCAACGACGACAGTGAGTATAACCCTGCACAGGAGAAGAGAACTAGTGTAGCTCATTGAATGCTTTTATTACCTTCCAGATGACATTCTCCTGCACTATCAGATCCTGCAGCTATTCCCCTTCACCAGCGAGAGCAAGCGGATGGGCATCATTGTGCGCGAGAGCAAGACGGGCCAGATTACGTTCTACCTGAAGGGTGCCGACGTAGTCATGTCCAGCATTGTGCAGTACAACGATTGGCTGAGCGAGGAGTCTGGCAACATGGCACGCGAGGGTCTCCGCACTCTGGTCGTGGCCAAGAAGGTGCTTACCGAGGAACAGTATTCTGACTTTGAGATGCGGTACAATGCTGCCCGACTCAGCATTACGGATCGTGTTGCCAAGGTGGCAGCCGTAACGGAGTCGCTCGAACGTGAGCTAGAGCTGCTTTGTCTTACAGGCGTGGAAGATCGCCTGCAGGAAAATGTACGCCCCACGTTGGAGCTCCTGCGCAATGCTGGCGTACGCGTTTGGATGTTAACTGGCGACAAGCTGGAGACGGCTTGCTGTATCGCCAAATCGTCTCAATTGATTGGCCGGAACCAAGGTCTGCACGTTCTACGTTCCGTCAAGACCCGGACGGATGCCCATCAGGAACTGAATAGCTTCCGGCGAAAGCAGGGCCATGCTCTGGTCATCTCTGGCGAATCGCTTGAGGTGTGCTTGCAGTATTACAGGCCAGAGTTCCTGGAACTGGCCACGGCCTCCCCGGCAGTGGTCTGTTGCCGCTGCTCGCCCACACAGAAGGCGCAGGTGGTAGCCCTCATCCAGAAGCACACGGGCAAACGAACTTGCGCCGTGGGCGATGGCGGCAACGACGTCAGCATGATCCAGCAGGCGGACGCTGGTGTCGGAATCGAAGGACGGGAGGGTCGGCAGGCATCGTTGGCCGGTGATTTTAGCATTCCGCAGTTCTCTCACATCGCCAAGCTGCTACTCATTCATGGCCGGCGGAGCTATAAGCGATCGGCAGCGCTTTCCCAGTTCGTCATTCATCGTGGCCTGATTATCACAACCCTGCAGGCGGTGTTCTCGGCGGTTTTCTACCTCAGTTCGGTAGCCTTGTACCAGGGCTTTCTGATGGTCGGATACTCGACCCTGTACACTATGTTCCCGGTATTCTCATTGGTGCTGGACCAGGACATTACATCCGAGACGGCGGTTACATATCCGGAGCTCTACAAGGATCTGTCCAAGGGACGCAGTCTCAGCTACAAGACCTTCTTCATTTGGGTATTGATCAGCATATATCAGGGCGGTGTCATTATGTACGGGGCCCTCATACTCTTTGTCGACGAATTCATCCACATTGTGGCGATCAGTTTTTCGGCTCTGATTATGACGGAACTTATCATGGTAGCCCTCACCGTGCGTACTTGGCATAGGTAAGAGCTTCTGTTATTAATATATTTATTTCATCTAAATGGATAAACCTTTACAGGCTAATGGTGCTAGCGGAGCTGTTTAGCTTGGCCCTATATCTCATTTCACTGGCCGTGTTACACGAGTATTTCGGTAAGTTCAGCTTGATACTCATAATAATAACTAGCCAATAACTTGCCATATTATTCTATTGCAGACTGGGAGTTTATCTGGTCGTACGACTTTCTTTGGAAGGTCTCCCTCATCACACTGGTCTCCTGCTTACCTTTGTATATAATCAAGTTCTTGCGTAAAAAATGTTCGCCGCCCTCTTATCTGAAGCTCTCTTAGACGGAGACTCCCACACTGATTCCCTTTCTATATTATTTTCCTTTTGTTTCAAGCTTTTGATTTAAACTTGATTTATTATTTAACACTGTCTGCTTTATTTTCCACTATGCATCCCCCTTTGTCGTTTCGTTTTTGCCAACACCCGCACCGCACCTACCCCTAAATATACGTGATATCAGGTTAAACCCTTTCTCCCCTCGACACCCCACTTTCTCTTTATGCTTTTGTTTAATTTGTATTACTTACACGAAACGTAAGAGAAAAAGTGATTCGATGATCGTAAATAAAATAATATTAAAATAAAACGATTATATAGAACTTCAGCTTTTTGTATTTGATTAATATTTAAGTCGCAGAAACCAAATTATGTTACTAATTATTTAAATATTGAAATTGTAGGTATATATGGCCACAAAATTAAATCAATTTCAATGGAATAAAAAATAAAAAATTGTAAAACGAAAAATAGATTTTGTATTAAGGCTTAGAAGTCGCATTTGATTGTGCAATAATTACTTGTAATGAAATAATATATATATATATACAAATATAAATTTAAAATGTAAAAGGTAATTGAGTTTTCTTTGGTTTAAACAATCTCTCTGAGCAAAACAGGGCCCTTTTAGATGCAAACAATATCGAATCCGATATGCTGATTTCTGGGAGATATATACTGAGACTCGTTTGTATTGTACAATCTTTATTTACCATTTTGCTTGACATTTTTTTGTTTATTTCTAATTCACAATTCTTTGCTTGAAATACATAATTTAATTAATATGTTATATTTTGCATGTACGCACATACAAACATACTTACGTACGTAAGTTTATTGTTTGTGTGTTGTTATCTTTCTGTTGATAATATAATAGTTTAGCTGTTGCTATCCTTCTTTTAAAATGCATGACATCCATTAGTGTTTACACTAAATGAGTTTTCTAAACAATTGTTATCTTGCGTTCTCTGTTTATCCTGTTGTAAGACTGCTTTTCTGCTCATTAAAATCTTACTTTGGTTGTTTTTTGGTTTTGTTTTAATTGCTTAGCATAACTTCGGCTCATAAGTTGAAATTATGAAGCATTGGTTTTATCGATTTTGCTTAAATGCGCAGAAATACTTTTGAAGTAAACAATTGGCTTGTTCTTGTTCTTGGTAATTATTAAAATTTCACAACATTGAAATTTTATTTCTTCATCAACACATGCAGTTTTTTACGTTTTTATTTTTGGAGTGCTTTGTTAAATAACATTTTGATTTATTTGTTTCATTTGTATACTCGCTTCGCCTCAATCCTTGCCATTTGCTAATACTGAATCCTGTTGAGCATAACCCGGGATCTACGACCTGTTGAGGCAACGCCTGCCTACGAACTCGTCTGAGCAATTTAAATGAATGCAACTTTTATGTCGGTGTATAAAAGTGTCGTCCAATTCTATTTGGTTTCTTAAAGCTTTTCCATTTCCTCGTTTGTTCAATCAACAATATCAACTCTAATTCTCAACTTGGGTACAGGGAGCTGAGCTACATATGTATGTATAGGTATGGGGATGTATATAGTTGGGATACATATTTTACCGATATATGCATGTCTGTATGTATGTTGACATTTGGTTTTTAATCGTTCACTTCTAATTTACTAAAAATCTACAAAATATAATATTCGAATTTCCGACTCTCTCTCTTTGCTAAATATATTCTGCATTTACATACATATTTTATAATGATTGTTTTAAATTTATACATATTTCTTTATGCAAGTACATGTTTATTTATTTGTTCGTTTTGTTTTAGTTTGGTGTGGTTCTTGATGAGGTCAACTTGTTTAATTTGAAACATTTTCTTTTCGTCTATTTAAATGGCAACACTTAAAAATACCACGAATAGTTTTTACGAATAAATCAATTTAGGGTCTCTGCGATAAATATTTCCACGAAGAAATAAAAAATATAATATCTTATTTTGGAGGCCGACATAACAATTAAAAATCAGAAAAGCTTTCCGTGTTGGTTTTCATTAGGGTCGGAAATGGCCTCTTGAAAACTTCTGGCTAAAATTGAAATACCCTCCAAGGGTAGAATAAAATATCAAGGCTTTATAAATTAAAATAATATGCAAAGTCAGCATTTATGAATCGTTCTGAATGAACTGGAAAATTTAAGTTTAATCCAAATTACTCAGCACATGGAAATATTTTGTTTTGTAAAAATTGTTACCCTTGCAGGGTATTTTGTATTTAATCAGCAGCTTAAAAAACCGTGAAGGACACATTTGCGACCCTATAAACCTTCATCATTCATATTTTTCATCAGAATGAACAGCCGAATCGATCTATCCATGTCCGGTTAAAAAATAAATTTTTGAATTTTTTGAGAAATTAAAAAATTTTATAAGGGGTTACATCATTAAAATTTTAAAAAATTGGCAAAAAAATTAATTTCTTTAAATTTAAAATTTAGTATTCAGATTTACTAACCCAATTAAAGCAAACATAGAAAAGCTTTCCGATTGTAAATTAATGGATTTTTGACTATGATATGAAGGATTTTATCTGCAAGGATATAGTAATTTCGGTTTCCCGAAGTTAGTTTACTTTCATTTTTAAATGTAAATAAATAAATTATAATGAAATGATTGGACCTGTTAATCTTGGGCTTAAAGAGCCCACATATTTTAAAAACTACCCGTGGTTTTAAACAAAAGTTTGATCTTGTAGCTAAGTGCTGTTGATATGTGTTTGCGGTTTTTGGATGTTATGAATTTTAGCATTTTATTGCTATTGCTTATATCTTTAAAGTTCCAAAAAGGTTAAATCGTTTCATTTCATGTGTTAGATTTTTCTTTAGATTTTTTCTTCTCTTGTTTTAATAATATTCAGTCTATATAAATATTTATTTATACATTTAAGCTAAATTTTGGGGAAACAAATTCGGAAGAAACGTGCTCAACTGAAATAATTTCAGTTCTTCAACAAAACTGGGAGGTTGTGTGATATATGTAGTTGTGCTTGTGGTAAAGTAAGGTTTCCTGAAGATCTGAGGATGACCTGATTAATATACTCGTATGTCTCGTATGTATGTAAATCTATCAAAAATTAATGGCTGTTTACCTGTCTATGCATTACATATATAGTCAATATTAATTATGTGAGGGGAATAGAATAGTGGGGAACTGCTATTTCGTGTGATTGTTTTTGTATATTTTGGTTAAATATTCTCTTGTTTTTTGTTTAGCTTTTGCTTGTTAACACATTCCTCTTGACGAGTTTTATTCCATGCATTTGATTTTTAGTTTAATGTATTCCTTTTGAATTTCCGTATTCAAGTCGGCTTCTATACCCTTTTACGTGATCTGATATTTTCCTTTAACAGTTTCCTAATTTGGTTGTTGGCTAATGCATTTGAATATAGATTGAAATCGGTGAACCTATTCAAAATGAACTATTTACACACACATAAATATGCATAATACCTATATTGAATTCCGCATTTCTTCAGTGCCTCGGAGTGTCCCGAGTAACGGAGAGCAACAAAAGGAATTCTTGTGAATTTTTGTAGAGTACAGGAATTTCGATACTTATTTTTATTTTCTGAGCAAAAAGGAAAATGTTAAGTAATACAAACATCGTACGCTAAAATATTTATTTCTGGTAGTGTTATTGGTAACTTTCTTCGGGAGTGGTGCTCTGTAGAATAATGTTTATTAGAGTGTCCTTTCAGCGCTCGAGCTTGCTGAGAAATAATTAATGTAAAGAAACGTATTATATATATATATTATTAATTCACTTCACTAATTACTAAGCAAATCAATGCCAAGCATGTCCTAAAATTAATGTTTTCTCTATTTTCTGTTTATGTTTTTAGTTCCGTTAAAAAACTGCCAATTTGATTAGCCATGTCCATATGCTCCGTAATCGTTGCACCCAAAAAGAGCCACTCAACCTTAGTGGTTGCCCTGGATGAAGCTGGATGAGCTGGCCTTACACCTGCACCGATATATAAAATTTCTTTGGATTAATGAAAAAAAACCTATGCCCAAAAATATATAATAATTTAAGTTTTTAAATTATTGTAGGCAGTATTGAACTTGTTTTCCGTCTTCCTATTGATCGTGAGGAGCAAGAACCGAAGGTAAGTGTTAATACTCGCAGTGTAATTATATTTTTCTGAACACAATTGCGTTATATAGGGACCATAATCTAAATGGATCATCAAATAAATACATACATATGTATATGAGGGGATTTAACACATAAATTACATGTTCAACTTAGTCCATTAAAACGTTTTAAATTTGTTGGAACGACTTGCTGAAGGGATTACCCTAAATCCTCGTCTTAAAGGAACATCTCTAGTATTCTAAACTTAGTTCATGCTACATATGCGGGCCCTGGCCTGCCCGCCGAGAAGCGTCTACACATTTAAAAAATTGGCAAAGCTTTTACAAAATTACGAAACTACGGTTACAAACTACTTTGCCAAACAACAATACCAAGTGCAATACTGATTTTGGGGGCGACCGATCGATCATTCGATTGGCCTGGCAGGTAGGTACTCGAAATCTAGACAGACGCCTCCAAAGCAATTCTAAGAACTAACCACTGTGCTCGTGTGCCTGGGCCAAGGTCGAGTCAGTGACCTCCGCCAAGTGACGCTGCTCCTCGCAGACGGCGCTGCGCGTCGCCTCGCACTGGGCACAGTGCTTCTCCAGAAACTTCATGGACAAGTGGAACGTATACCGGTGCCGGGTGCAACGCCTTTACATCTTGTACTCGACAATCTTGTTGGGGTTGAGGAACTGCTCCCGCTGCGACGCCTCCAAATGGGCCACGGTGCGCGTCAAGGCCGAGCCCGATCCCGATCCCGAACCCTGCCCCTGGCCCTGTCCCAATCCCTGTCCCTGTCCCTGTCCCAGGCCCTGTCCAGTTCCCGATCCGGAGCCCGAGGTGGTCTTATGCTTGCCGTCGACGCCACCGCCTCCTCCGCTGGTGCGTCCGGCATCGGTCCCAATGGGCTGATATACGCCCTCGGCACTGATTACGCCCACATTGACACCGGCGACCACCGGCTGCTGCAGATAGCCGGAATACTGCGGCGGCAGCTGGTAGCTGCCCGGCGGCTGCTGCTGCTGCTGTTGGTGGCTGCCCGCCCGCGGCTGCTCAGTGTGGGGAATGGGGTATTGCTGCTGGTGTGCATACTCCTGGCTGCTGCCCCCAGCGCCAGCGACACCCGCCGAGCCACCAGCTGATCCGCCGCCGCCGCCAATGCCACCTGCTCCACCTACGCCACCGCCTCCGCCCATGCGGGAGCCCGAGTCGTCGTTGAGGCCCTCGCCCATTTCGCCGTCGCGGTTATGCCGCCCGCGGATGCAGAGCTTGGTGAAGAGCCACACCCGGCCGCGGTAGAGGAGGTAGCAGCAGAAGTGCACGAAGAACGTGAAGATGATGGCGCAGGCCGTCACAATGATCGCCTTGCCCGGCTTGGTCCAGTCCATCATCGGGTAGATGGCAGTTTGGTTCTTCCTGCAAGCGATACACAATCGTCAGATCACATGCTCTACCTGGATTTGCTGGGACTCACCTGTCAGTGCCGCCGGCCAAGAAGTAAATTCCCGTGAATATGGCATAGGCCAGGCCAATTCCAGTGGTGAAGTAGGCGTGGCTCATCTTGATTGGATGTCCCACAACGGCCAAGTCGATGAGCATTATGATCGAGTTTAGAACGTGCACCATGATGTTCAGCGTATCAATCTTGTGAATATCTGAAAGTCGATTTAGTTTCGGGAATATTTTAATTGTTTTGAATAGTAATGGAAAGAAGTAATGTTTAAAACAATGTACATAGACATATTTGTTTTTCAATATTTAACTTCTGATCTTATGATTGAAAATCGTATGCTCCTAGCTTTTCGGGAAGTGATCCTAGTATTCCCGATAATATTTGATGGTGAGGGCCAGAAGACTCGTTCTAGTTTTATGCATTCATAAAGAACTCTTTCAAAGAGTTGTTAGGAATTATTTATTTAAATAAAACATATTTCTCAGCAGGCCTTTACCGAACACTCAGCTCAGGTGTCGTCCACATCAATAAGACGGTTGAAGAATTTACGTGATGACGGTTTGACGATGTAGTGAAAAAGCGTTCCAATATCTTCAATACAGGACAGGAAAACGAAGCAGGCTAGGAAGTCCAGCAGTAGCATTAACGAGCACAGAGGCTTGTCGAGATGTGGCGGATCGTTATTCCAGTAGCCGGATATTATCTGGCCCTGAAAGACGATCACCGGAAATAGCGCTTCCCACAAAATCAAGTGCAACGCCATCTTGATGCCCCAAAGGCGGTCGGTCAAGAAGTTGAAAGTCACCACAGTGATGAAGCTGGCCACCACCGCAAAGATGTACCAGCCGATGAAGAGCTGGGCTATTGTGGGCCAGTTGGGCAGTCTGTAGGAGCCGAAAAGCAGTAGCAGCACCATCATGAACAGGATCTCCTCGCTGAGGATCATTATGTCGAGCGGCTCCTGCTCGGGCAAAATCGAGACCGTTCCGAGGGACAGGAGGGCGGCAATGATGCCGCAGATGATCCAATTGAAGGGAAACTGGCGGCGCAGCCACGTCACACACGTGTACACGCACAGGGCTTCCAGTCCAATGCCGAAGAAGATGTAGGTGGCCAAGGCGTTCGGCACCACCAGCGTGGCTATCTGGCTCGGCAGGATGAGCAGCACAATGGTCAGCACGATGACGACCAGAGCCGCGCCAATGATCCACAGCCAGACCTTGTAGCGGAGGCGTCCGACGCCATTGTGTGGCTGATCACTCATCGATGTGTGTCTTTCTGTCTCCCCTTTTGTTTGTGTCCGGGTCGTGTCAGTGTTGTGTATTAGGAAAGAAATCTCGGCCTGACAGCTAGTATGCCAGGCATTAACAAATCGGTGTCAGCCCCGGATTTTAGGGAGCCAAACGACTTGCAGCTATCCAATGAATCCTTTCGGGACACTCGATACCACCCGGAACCCAGCTCGGAAGTTGGCCGGTTGCAGTTTGACGATGCGGCCACCTCCTTCTCGAGGATACACGCGCGAATGGAGACTTCCACCTGCGCCTTCCGGAGCTATGTGTTCGTGCTGCTGGGCGCCCAGGTGTTCCTCTCGTCGCTTCAGTGGATGGGGGCCACCTATCGATGGAGACCACAGGTGACTCCGGCAGAGCGGAGCCTTTACTGCCTGCTCCTGCTGCTCTCGTGGACCAATCTGACCCTGGCCTTCATCGGCTTCCGCCGGCTGCAGTTCACCTTCCCGCTTAACTGGATCATATTCGGCTGCATTTTCGAGAGCCTTACGCTGCTGGTAATGAGCGTGCGGCTCATTGAGCAGGATATCACTTGGCCCTTTATCGTGATTAGCTTGGGTGTGCTGTTGGTGTACACGGCTTTGGGCTTGTGGGTGCCCGGCTACCTCACTGCCAACCTCTGGATCCTCATCCTCGTCAGCATGATAGTGCTCGTGGTCTCCGCCACGGCACTGGGCTGCCGCTTGCAGATGCGTTTCTATGTGCCACTCAGCCTCAGCGTGATGATATTTGGACCCTGGGCCATGTACAACTCCCAGCGCATCTTTGTGCCCAAAAAACAGCCGGGTTACTTGGCTCACCAGTATCTGGAGGCGGCCTCAAGGATGTTCATTAACTTTGCCTTCACCGTGGGCGGCATTGTCTTTGCGCACGGCATAGCGGTCAATCACTTGGATGTCAAGTGATATTCTGACGAGAAACCTGCAGTAAGTATTTCTGCCCTTCATATTTCGTGTCCAAAATTATGTTATACGAATTTATCACTACAGAGTTGGGCTTGAATGAAAACTGGTGGAAAAGACACTAGTGAGACCACAGACAGACAGGTTTTATTCTGAACCAGCATAGACGTAGGCAGTCGTCTTCTATAAGGAATAACCAACTAATCTGATAATATAACCCTTAAAATTCAATATTATACATATCGGATAATAAATATATATATTTTTACGAACCCCCTATAAGCCGAAAATATATATTTTGTTTTAATCTGAAATTATATCGGCTTTGTGGTCACTGATCTCTACAAATCACTTATTTTAGGCAGGTAACTTTTGCAATTTAAACTTTTTAATAACGCACCCAGCGATTTAATTGACATTTGGCTTGAGTAAACCCTTGAACTCCATTATGTTTGGTTGGACAAGGGGCAATAGTGCAGATTTGAGTTAATTTTCTTTTTATGTTTTGCGTTAAATGTTGTGTTAATAATTTAATTGTTTTAAATAAATTCCAAAGACGTCAATCTTATGAAATCACATTTCTTATACTGTTACAGTGCGCCTGTTCTAAAATGAATTAGATTCTACTTGCCTCGAATAAAAAAGTAGAAAACATAAAAAATATCTGGTAGTTTAATATGATTCTCTCACCTGGATTGTGTACTAGAAGCCAATAGCACATGGTGACAATGAACGCATAGACCGTGGCACAGGTGTAGAGCACCCAGTACAGGTGGTGCAAGCGGCTCTTCTTCGCCTGGCGCACAATCTCAAAGTCCTCCCGCTCCACCATCATTCCTTGGGTGACGATCCAGGCGGCCAGCCAGGCCTGCACGGTGCAGAAGAGCAATCCCCAGTGGGTCAGGTAGATCCACCACTTGGCATAGTGGTGCTCGAAGTGCTCCTCGGTGCGGCCAATGTCCAGCAAGGAGCAGACCAATGCCGCCAGACAGGTGATGGCCGTAATCCAGCGGTAGAAGAGGTACACGATCCGCACCTGAGTGTTGCGTTGCCACTGAGGAGAGATGGGTATTACAGAAAGAGTCAGAGGAAGAATCACATATCACTTTGTGGCCTTATTTTGACACTATTGTTATATAGTCACTTTTTGAATAGCTTCTTATATTTGGAGAAATTAGTGACTTATTCTATAAGTTGTGGAGAATTATATTTGTAGTACAACTTTTCGTTTTTGTGGTGTGTAAAATCCTATGAATGGCTCTTTAGCGTCATACGCAAACATCTTCGTTATTTTGATCGTTGATCCGAACTGAACAAGCTGATGAGTTTGTTGACAAAATAATGCTACTTTACTTTAGTTAAACCTATAAAAACTCATTTACGATACTCACACGGCATTCGGAGACTCGACGGCACTATGGCCCATTACGAATTTTGTAAAATCTTGGAAAATATATTACTGTACAACTTTATTTTTGAAGTTATAACTGCTTACTTCGTGTAATGCTGATGTTAATAAAAATAGTATTATATTAAATGATTTTTATTCAAAAAAAAATTAATGAGAATTAACGAATTGATGAGAAGGTCTAAGTGATCTCGGTAAGCGAAGTTAAGAGCACTCATAATTATGAGTCTAAAAAATGCGGGGTATTCACAGAAATTTGAGCGGTTTTGGAGCACTTTCAATGCTTTCCAGGAACGAGTTACTTTAATGTCCGTTTTCTGAGAGTTTTCGATAGTAAATATGTGTTGGAAAATTGTCAGGTTGGAGACAGAATTTTTCCATGTCTGTTTTCAAAGAGCAAACGCTGTTTCCGGTCACTATCTTAAGATCATTATGACTATGTATGCTCATAAAGAAAACCATTGGAAACATTTAGAAAACACTCATATTGTTTGCTGGGACGATTGTATTAGTCGTACTCTAGCTTCCACCTGAATTAAACGATTTTCAAAAGTTCTTTTGGGTTTAAATGATGACATTACCTTTGATTTATATAGTTATATGGAACATACATAGAATAAATATTAATAGAGATAATATAGACGCATAATGCCTCACCTGACACAGATAAAAGTTGTGGCGATGCACATGGTCCGGCGTGAACTCCGGGAAGCAGCTGTTCCACAATTTGCTAACCATCATTCTCTGATTTCCCAGGCAACTGCCGGCGTTGGTGGCAAAGTGGTTGAAGCCCTCACAGCTGTCCTGCGAAGGATATTGGTACGAGTGGTACGCCTGCTGCTGCTGCGCCTGCTGGAACTGCTGACCTTGCTGTGGATATTGCGACTGCTGTTGCTGCCGCTGCTGCTGCTGCTGCTGCTGATTAAGCGGCTGATGTTGCTGATGCTGGTGCTGTTGTTGGTATTGGTAGGGCTGGTAACGCTGCTCCTCCGAGATGCGCTGCGAATGACCTCCGCCACCCACTTCGCCTGTCCCTCCTGCTGCCCCTCCCGCTGCGGCTGAGCCGTGCTCCGTCTGGTACTCGTGTTGCGGCGGCGTCTTGTGGCTGTGCAGGCCGTCCCGGCCGCTGCCGCCGTACGGATGCAGAAAGTCAGGCAGGTCAAGGATGTGCGCCAGCTGCGTGGCCACCTCCTCGTCGTCCTCGTCCTCGTCCTCCTCCTGCAGGTGAAAGAAGCGCACGTCCTCGAGACTCGAGCAGTCGGTGGAGAGCAGTGCCTGGGGCAGGCAGTCCTCGAGAAGGTCCTCCTCGTCTTCGGTGGTGCTGGCGAAGCCCGGCAGATAGCCGTAGTTGTCGTAGGCGTCGTACCGCCTGCGGGGCGTGGCCTTGTAGCGATAGCCAGCTTGCAGCTCCTCCGCCGCACTATAATCCCGGAACGGCGATAGTCTGGCGGCTGCTGTTGCTCCCGCCGATACCGCTGTTACCGCTGACGCTGCTGCCGCTGCCGGCGTTGGTGGTGCCGGCGGCGGTGGTGGAACTGTTCGTGTACTCCGGCTGGTAAAATAATAGTCGGTGGCTACGCTGGGCGCCGGCGGTGGTGGCGGCAAAGCCGCTGGAACGGCTAGCGGCGGTAGATAGCCGGGTGAGGTTCCCGCTGAGGCTAGCAGTGGTGTGGGCGAGGCATCGAAGTTTATTAGCGCCGCCGCCGGATAGCCGCCGCCGGAATAGGTGCCCAAGCTTCGGTATGGATACGGGTAGGCAGTGCTATCCGCGCCACCTCCGGCTCCTCCGGTGCTGCTGCTAGTGGTGCCGATGTAGATGTGGGCCGAGGTGGAGGGCAGGTGGTACCAGCTGGCTAGGTTGCCGCTGCCCAGACCAAAGCCCAGGCCCAGTCCCAGACCCAGGCCGCTGCCGGTGCCGGTGCTTGTGCTGCCGCGACTGAAGTAGTAGCTGTACTGTTGCTGGTGCTGCTGGAGCTGTTGGTGGTGCTCGAGCTGCTGGAGATGCTGGAGCTGCTGGTGGTGCTGCAACTGCTGCTCCTGCTCGTAGCCGGTGAGCCAGCGCTGTCTAAGGGCCGCGTAGTTTTGCTGCAACTCCCGCTCAAGTCGCTGCAGCAGCAATTGTTGCTGCAGCTGCTGGATCTGCAGTTGCTGCTGCTGCTGGGCCAGCAATTGCTGCTGCACGAGCTGCTGGTGCTGCTGCTGGCGCTGTTGTTGCTGCTGTTGGCCACTAATTGGCACCGCTCTAAAGTAAAACTGCGCGTAATCCAATGTGAAGGCGTTGCTCTACAACTCCGGCGCGCCTCTATCGCTTTCACGCTTGGCAATTGTGCTCGGCTCGGCTTCTGCTGCTGCTGCTTTTGCTTCTGTGGCCTTTGTGGCTTCCTTCAGCTCCTGTTGCAGTTGCAAGTGGCACGAGATGTCTGTCCGCCTGTAAGTGGAGCAAAGGCATAAAGGCATTCGGATGAGTCGGCTGTTTCTCACATGCGAGTGCATAATGCACTAATTAGACGGGCGTTGAGCATACGCCATGTGGACGCGGGGAAAGATTGCCAGGAGGCAGGGGATAAAGGCGGAAGGGAACGCTCCACTGAGCACAGAAACCACTTCTTTGCGACACTAATTTGCTGCCGTAAGACAGTACTAGAGTCAGATAAATAGATGCAAGAAGAGGGGAGTAAGCCTGAAAGGCAGGAATAACTTGAGGTTCAGATGGATAGATTGCATAACGATGGATTTCTTTATTTTCAGCAAATAAAAATCTGTGTAAATTGTAACCACTTCTGGTTTTAAGTACATTTCCTGATACCTAGCTTGGATTTTTGAATGGGTTTTTTATACGGCTCACAACTCTTCATATTTCTCATAAAACCTTAATCTTAACGAGATTCCCCTAATTTCCGCTTGAGTTTCGGCCATTTTCCCAGTCCAGTTTTATACTATAATTATCACGATGGCGGCACTTTAGTCGCTGCAAGCGTTTGCTCATGGACATAATATCCTTTGTGAGTGTGGGCGGAGCAATAAAATCAAATCAAATCGCGCGTGCCTCAGCAAAACGCAAAACGCAAAACGGCGACCAGGAAGCGCCGTTGCGGCCATTTTGGTTGCGTTGCTTTTCCGCTGCAGAGTTGAGTTCCCGTTAGTTAGTTGAGTTGTCTGCTTTGTGGGAAAGCGGGGCGAGGAAAAGGGGGTGCATTTGCATTTGTATGCGAGTGTGAGTCTATGTGAGTTTGCGAGTCTTTTGACGTCATCAGCAAATACTCTTATTGCCCTGCACAGTGGGCAAAGTGCATGTTTTTGGCGGTCCTCAGCAGAAGTGCTTTAAAAAGAACATTTCTTAATTCCAAGAAGCGAACTATGACTACCTGCCTTTCTTGATTTTAAAGTATATTTTCTATGAACTTGGTTAAAATAGTATTTTCTTTACCTTGGTCAAATATTACTTCATAAGGATACAAAATACATTATTGAAAATTATATCAAACTATATAATATTTTCCCATAAGTTAACCAATTTTATCCACTGTCCAGTGTGTGCTTGGGTCGTTGTTGCCTGTGCTGCCGCTGTTTACACAGCTGTTGTGGGCCGCATTTAGTTGTTGCCGCTGCTGCTGCTGGTTGCTGCAACATTTACATTGGCAATTTGCTTGGAAAAGCACTTACACCACAGCTCCTCCTCCGTCTTGCAGCAACACAGCTACCAACGTGCACACTTCCGGCCACAAGTCTGTGCTTTGGCCTAGCCCGAACTTCCGACATCGCCGCCGAGCACCGAATACCCTATACCCGTTCGTTCCATTGAGGCCACTGCAGCGGATGAGGAAGTGAATCGACATTCAGCTTATCGTGCGCATCTATAATAAACCGATATTGTAGTAGGTCCTTTTAAAAGGATATTGCCTGATTTCGGAGACTGCGTGTGTCAGCTTATCCCTATCTCTGAAATTTTAAACTGAGGTTTCCGGTAAAATTATTAAGTTAATTGTCTCTCGTCGTTTTGGCTGGCACTTAGTCGTTTCTACTTTAGTTTTCTATACTGGCTTTGTGCTTAAAAACTTCTCCTAACAAACTTTTCACTTCAATCATTTCAACTCGCTTTTTTATGGTGACGCACAAAAGAGGGAAAAAGGCTGACGAGCTGGAAAAAGAAAAGGGGAAAAAGTTTTTGTTCAACATTTAGTTAAAGTCGATGCCATGGTTTTCGACCCTGTGTGTTTATTTATAGTCCACTTGGCAAAAATGAAAGGAAGACAAAATTTGATAATAGTTTTTGCAGTGGCAATTAGCAGCAGGAGCACGTGGCTGGTCATAAAGCCCGGAATGAATTTCTCCCAGCTACGTTGCAGTTGAAAATAAAAATTTAATGGTCCACAAACAATATAAGTCGTGGCAATGGCTCAATTGTGTGCTGCAAGTGCTTCATAAACTCTCGAGTGTCTAGCGGAGTGAGGAAGCGCAACGTGTCGTATGAGTGATATTTAATGAGGCGTAGTTCTGGAGGCAATAAAGGTGCACAGGCTTGCACACATGAGAAAGATTGCTAAACGAAGATGGTTTATATATTCTTTAATATTTATTTGTTCTAAAATTCTTTGAATTCCAATTAGCTCTCTCATGTTTAGTCAGCTTTTAAACTGTAAATAAATGGGAAATTCCTGAAAATAACTTGCCAAACATTAGAGCTTTGTATAATGTTGAAATTTGCAACATTTCCCCGGAGGGACCTACTACTTTTCTTCGACTCACAATAAACGAAAATAAAATGAAATTTCGTTCTTTTTAATTAAATTGCATTCTCTTCGCATTGCCATTCTCAGCTGGCGCCAGGGGAAGGTAGCACATTTAAGTCCTCCCCCTTGGTGAAAGACTTTCACTTGACTGACTTGGAATTTCTGTTAATCAAAAGCAGCGTTCAGCATGAAAGTGCTTAATTGTATTATTACACAACTTTTACATAACTCTGCTGAAAGCATGATGAGAGGGGAGCGATCCAGGAAAGACCCCCTCGTTGGCAATAATCCATGCGTTGCCAAGGATAAATCGATGTGGTCTCAAAGGATAATTAATGCGTCACCAGAACATACAGATCTGAGTGTGACAGCCGCATCGAATGTGCTATATATGGAATATTTAATCTTATCAGCGGAAATATATGTGCTAATGAAACTATACAAAAATTCGCAAATAATAAATCAAAGCTAAACGAAACAGAGCTCGGTTTATGGGAACGCTTAAGTAAGGCATCCTTAGTCCGTACAATGTATAGAAAGGCACTTCCTAGTTGCGACACCACACGGTCTGTTTCCTTTTTTTATTGCAATCTGAAACCTTGTCGAGCTAATGTAGAATTTTGTGTTCTGTGAAAGGGCTGGAAAGTGAAGGGCGGACCCGGGCCCGGACCCAGGGGGACCTGTGGGTGACAGGAAAACGGGGGCCTCTGGGACTGTGTACGCCAGGCAGACACATTGACGTGTTTGTTTATACAAACAGGAAGTGTTGCACCGCAGGCAATGTTGCAACCAATAGTCTGCTTGCTAAAAGCACACCTCCCTTCCCTTCTTCATGGATTCTCTGGAAAAATATTTGCCTACACGAAACCGTAGTGGGGGCCAACATTTAATGAATGGCCTGTGCCTGCCACATGTGATATGCTTTTAATGACCTAAAACAAGGAGCGCATTATGAATGGGTTTGGCAGGCGGATGTTTACCGTAGAGAGCGCATCACAGCTAAGCTTTCACATTATTAGAACGTAACATACATATATGTGGACATAATTGACTGTTTAAATGTGTATCGAGTTGGCAATGTCATTTTAAATATAAATTATGGTTACCAGTAGGCGGAATATGACAATGCCTAGTTTAACTTAATAAAGGATGATGGTTGGGTCATTTTAATCTATTATTGTTTTTGTAAATATTATTTTTGGTTATCTAGAAACTATGAAAAGCAACCAAAAAGCTCTTTATTTTGGTTTCGATTCAATTGAAAAGAAAAACACTTTATTCCTTAATTGCAAGTGTTTGAGACTTTTTATCTCGTGGTTTATTGTTTCTATAAATATTATTTTTGATTGTCTAAGTTGGGTTAGAAACTATCAAAAACAATACAAAAGTTCTTTATTCAAAGTTTATAGTAAATTGAAGAAGAAAAGTAGAGATAAACTCTTCACTTTATTGTTTAATTGCTGGTGTTGGAGATTGCTTAGCTTGTGGAAATATTTTCTTAAAACTGGGCAGACCAATTGAAATTCAATAAAATGAAGCACTTTATTCATTTATTGTGTGACAATTTAAAGACAATTTTATATGTTTCCCATTAATTTCATCTGGGAGGTAGCTACTACAATTGTACCCCAAATGATAGTCAACAGATTTAGCAAGTTTTCCTTTCATTCTAGCTTTAAGGTCTCTGCTGTAATCTGATAATAATGGGGCGTGGACTTTAGCTTAGTATTTGTTTATGGTACATAGTTTGGTCAGAAACCGAAAAAAATGTTTGTACCATAAATCAAACTTAAAAAAAAAGTATGGCAAAGCAAACTCGGGCCACAACAAATATGCCCGCAGAGGCATAAAGAAAACTTTGAAAAACTGCGACAAAAGGGAAAGCTGAGAATTCCACGACACATTTGCGGCTGACAGAAAGTAAAAAAATAAATAGGGGAAATATATTTCCGCCAACGACAATCAGGTGAGATGCAAAAAGTGTCGAGGAAGTTGTCAAAACATTGTGATAACATTTTCTGGTCAGCAAGGGCAGTTGATAGCTGGCCAAACAGCCGAAGATGATGATGGCGCAGGGTATATCCTGGGCCCTAATTAAGGCCGGGGTCCAACTTGTCTGGGCTGTGGTCTTAAAGTACATTATTTTCTGGAGGAACTTTTCCAAGCTGGCCTCGGCGCTGGTCCCGCTTTATTTATTGTTCAAGCCACCACAACGATGGTAATATATTTTCCCTGTGCCAGGCATTTTACATAATTTTTGCAGAATATTTTCAAGGAATTTTTCCAGCAGCCTTCAAAAGAAATTACCCTGTCCGGGTTGCTGAGAAACCGCCGAAAATTTACGAGGTGCTTCGCTAAAGGTGAGATCATATATTTCCGCCAATGAATTCGTTTATTCGGAACTATCAATTCGATTTTAAATGGCTGCAGCTTATGGTCAAACGAATTAATTCACATTAAGGCTTAAATATATGTTGACAATGCTCGATTATTTATGGTTTGTTTCCTTTCTTATATTCTTATATTTCTACCCCTTTAGGCTACTGCATGGGACATTTATTTCAATCATAATTGCCTTTGGAGAGTTTCAGAATTAAATAATGCAAAAAGTATTAATATTCAAATCAATTTTACATATACCCATATATGTACACAACTAAATCAATGTTTAAGACAAACAATAGGCCCCAGTTTTAATTAAGAAATCAATCTCTGTATTGCATTTGTTTTTCTCTGTATCAGGGAAAATGGGTAGAGTAAACA